TTGGAGGTGATTTTGGGGTCATTTTTGGGAAAAACCATGGGCTATAGCCTTGGGTATTTTTCAGATTTTTGACGTTTTCTTAAAATGGCTGTAACTTGAAAAATTGAAGTCGGAATCAGCTCAAACTTTCTACACAGCATAAGGACATCAATATGTATCAGAAAATGTAATAAAAAGTTTCATTATTCCTCCAATGATTACCTTCGTATTGCTGATCATAAGCTCCGCCTACAGGGTACCTATCATCAATATACGGTGGATAAGGTCCTCCATAGCTATCAGTGGGTGGGGCTTCAATATGAGTGGATTCATAAGGAGCTGCTTCACTGTCATAATAACTGTTATCCTGACTATAGATTACTGAAGTATCCTGAGAATATCCTGAAGAAAGGGGATATCCCTGTTCGTCATAGTAGGTCTGGTCAGCATAACCTCTTCCATCTTGATAATAATACTGATGCTGCTGATCGTAATGTCTCTCACGTTGATATCTCATATCATAGCGATCATCTCTTGATCTGTACCTCTCCTGGTCTCTCCAATCATATCTCGGATCATAGTAATCATGATATCGATCATATCTCTGATTCCAGTGATACCTGGGATCAGGACGTCTAGCACGATCATACTCATTCCAATCATTTCTAACGCGATATTGATTCCGGTGATCTCTATCACCATATCTATGCTGCTGGTTTCTATAGTAATAGTCTCTGTCGTCATAGTAACTAGTGTTGTACCTATCGTAGTAGTGGGCGTGGTCATAATGATCGTATCTCCTATCATACATGCTTTGTGAGTGCCCCTCATAATCTTGACGAGGGGACAACCGACTGCTTCCTCTCTCCTCCTCGTTGGAACGAGAAGGGACTTCCCCTGGTCTATCGGGTGGTACCTCTTGTACCTTATGCTCTAAAGTAGGTGTGGCTTGAGGTAGAGTTGAAGTAGGCGTGGTCTGTTTATCGCTGGGAGGAGAGAATGCTGATAGGGGAGGGTCTGAGGGATTGTCCGATAGTCTTAGATTAGAGGGCGGGGCTGAAATAGAAGTGGGCGGAGCAATTGAAGAGAATGCAAGAGAGACAGTTGGAGGTACAGATGTTATTGGAGTAGGCGGAGCCAGAGAAAGGGGAGGGGCAGTAGTGGTTGGTTCACCATCAGGAGGAGTAATATCCATTGGACCTTTAGGGACAGTAACTAGCGGCTGATGACCTGCAATAATAATAATAATAATAATAATAATAATAATAATAATAATAATAATAATAATAAATTTAAAGATGCGACAATTACACTTCCTACTACCAGACCCGGCCCCTCCCCCTCTCTATTACTCACAGAGTGTCTGTTCTTCAGGTTGTACATGTACATGTACGTTACCCCCGGCAGTGGCAGTAGACGTGGGTACCTCCTCCCCTAGAGACAGTGGAGGTACCAGTTGTACAGGTGAGTCCATCAGAGCTGATCGCTGGGCGTCACCAGTGTCCAGTGGAAGGAGAGATGAGAGGGAGGGAGCAGCTGATGGAGGATTCGAATCACCTTCAGTAATCTCTCTCTCTTCATCAAGAGGTGAGACAGGTTCGGTAGATACTGGTTCATTAGATTGGTAATTAACAGGGTCGACCTCATTAGGGGCTGGTAGAGAATCAGCAAGGTCAGCGTTAGTTAGTCTCCGCCCTGTTAGGTGGGCGTTGGTCTCAACCACACCCACAAACTCATTATTAATTGAAAGATGAGGAGCTAATGCTATCTCATTACTGCTCTGATGGGAATACTGAGGATTGACAGAATCAGGAAGAATGGGCGGAGCTAAGGGTGGGTGAGCCACACCCACAAACTCATTATTAATTGAAAGAGGAGGAGCTAATGTCATCTCATTACTGCTTTGATGGGAATACTGAGGATTGATGGAATCAGGAAGAATGGGTGGGGCTAAGGGTGGGTGAGCCACACCCATCAATGGTACCGGTACACTAGATGCTGGTATAGTGGACGCTGGTATAGTGGTAGGTGGATGAACAGCAGCAGGTGGTTCCTGTACAGTGTATTCAGTACTCGTACCAGTACCAGTATGAATCTGGCTGGTATGAGTATCAGTCTGACTGGTATGAGTATCTGAAGTACCAGGAACTGAAACCAGAGGTTCTGGGGCCACGCCTACTCCAGCAGTGGACGTCACAGCAGCAAACGAGAATGGATTATCAGAGGGTGATTCGGGAGACCCAAAATAAAGAGAGGATTGAAATACAGAACCAGCTCCATCCACTGGAGGAGCAGTCAAACTGTTAGGAGGAACGTCCTCCATATTGAGACAAGGCAGACTCCAACTGGTGACTTATAATGACTCGTGACACTAAGTACTCCAACCCTTGGAGACACTAATAGAGGGAGGGAGGGAGGGTTCTATGGTTCTAACCTAAAAGGGATTGTGATACACTAAAATGGCAACTGAGAGAGGACTGGTCTCTTCTAATAATTTAAACTGATGCGTACATATCTTACCAAGACTGAGACTAATGGAGGGGGTGGAGTAATAAAAAGAGAGATAGAGAGAATCACAAAGAGAATCCTTCTTTCCCTCCTTGATCACAGAAATTTCAAAATTCGCCACGTTTGCTCTTTCAATTAGAGTCAATACGGTGTCCCTTAAATTAAATAGTTTACGGTATAATTTGTGCATATGCTTTCATGTGTTCAATAGAAATGGCTGGTAAGTTAAAAGATGTACCTCAATAATGGTTGGTATGGTTCAATAGAGTTTAGTGAAGTGTGGCAGTTCCCTGAAGTATACACTCCTCAGGTTGTACCTCAGTCCAATGTACTGCCCCTCACTGGGTCAAGTACTTGCAGCAGTTCTAATCATGTGAGTGGGTGGATAACGGTATATGTCATTTGTGATCTTTTCTTGTTAATTTCTCATCCCACCATCTTCTGCCTGCATACGTTGCATCTGAAGGCGTAGGCTCCTCCCATTAATTAATATAATTATTTTTAGGGTCCTTTAAGCCCAACTGGTTACTACTCATATTTTGACGGCAGTGTCTTTACTGACACTAGTTCCTCCTTCATGAATGAGATGAACAGCATTGAATCAGTAACTTCAAAGTGAAAATAATCCCATTAAATAATAGTTACTATTATTATTATTATTTAATTCATTTGTAGCAGTACAGCCAGTTATTTAGAGGACTTTAGTGTATCAATGGATTCTTCTGATGGAAGTAGAAAGGTTATACCTACAATGCTTGTGTCCTCCTCATATTATTAATATTTAATCTATACTTATAGTTCATTCAAACTGCTGACAAGGAGAAGCACCTCATCATTAAAAAGGATGTCAACTTTGCTTTGTCTTTCTCATCTGATAGTGAGCATTGACTCATCTTTATCATAATCATGTTACTCTTATTCTCTGTAGCTCCCTTACCTCCTAATGGTCTCATAAGAGCATTGCTAACATCAGCTGCTGTGAATCCACTACTCTGTTGTAAGGCTGACATCACTGAGGATTATTTAGGTAACAGGTTTATGGTTTGCTGCACTGAAGGAGCTAAGTATACTGAGTGGAAAGGGCAGCATTCTATTGATATACTAGTATCAGATCTACCTGGTCAGATTAATGCATTCATTGTGATGTGAATAAAGGTTATGTATGTAGAAACTTCCTGTAAACCTTTTGCTGTTTTTAAGTTTCGATGTCAGTCATCTCATCTGCCGCGTCTCCATAGCAAACTGACTTTGGAATTTTACTTATTTGAGAGGAAGTCAGTGACTTTAATCATCTTCAATAATAATTATTTCATATTTATTCCCAGCACTACTGCCCCTATTGGTTATGATTCTATCAGCGTTAAGATAACCCCATGCATTGGGAGAGAATCAAAGAAACTCCTTTCTATATTAAAGCCAATACCAGCTGCTTTTCCTCCAAGTTCTAGAAAGCAAAAGCTCACAGCAACAACTCCTTCAGATGCAGACACACCTGCTGTTCCTCCTCTTCCTGAGGGAGTGCTGGACTTTACAGCAGAGAATCCTCCTGATAAAGATGGCTACTATCATTTTTCAGTATGTTTTGTTAGTATAGCTACTACCATTAGTTTCATAATTGTCTCTTTATGCTAGTGGTCTGGAAAGGACAAGCTCATTTTCAATTTACTGACTGCGATTAAAAAATCCAGTGAAATTGATTAACAAGTATCACTTATTATTTCCATTACATCACTTTTCATTAATCATTTCATCACTTTTGTTGTTAGCACAATCGATTATTATTATTATAATCAAATTTTAGAAGATAAATTAACATGTACATGTATAGCAACATTGCAAAGTCTTTTCAAACTATTTGTGGCTTCTTTTGCCATCCTATTTTCTGTAAGAATTACTATTTGTGATAATAGTAAGTGATGATGATGATACTTCACTTACTTCTTTGAGAGGGAAAGTTTTCCTTTTCCCTTTTGTAGCATAAGAATAAACAGTAAAGGCAATGATTCCTCCTATTATCAGTAGCAGCAGGAGACCAATCACTATTGCTATTATTACTATTATCAATGTAGCATCAAAAGGACCGTCTGATATAGCTTGAGATGAAAAGGAGAGAGAATCACAGTATAGTGATCAGTAGTTTGGCTTACCACATGAGCAACCGTCTTGGTCTATCTTATAGCCATCATTGCACTGGACACAACAAACAGAATCTGGTTCACATTCACCACAATTATCAGCTCTGCAAGGAGAGGGAGAGAAAGAGGGAGATGGAGAGAAAATGGAGGAAGGACGTGTAGGGAAGGATGTCATTATTCTTGTTGTTGTGGAAACAACTGAAGATGAAGAAGTTGGTCTAGTTGATGTAACTGATGAAGGTTGAGGCATTCCTTGTATTGAAGATGTTGAATACGTTATATCTGATGAATTATAATATTAATGATAGCATTATTGTTATAGTACCTGAGCAGTTCATCCCCTGATATCCAGTTCCTGTACAGTTACATGTATAATTGTTCATGCCACTAAATGATGTACACTCTCCTCCATTCAAACAAGGATTGCTAATATCACAAATATCATTGAATATACATTCAGTGCAGTTGCTGTTTGGTGAATGACCAAGAGCACAGGTTAAATTACAAACTATTAAGAACAATAAAGATAATTATAAACTACTGTATACTGTACTCACTGCATTTATAATCAGTGTCTTCACTAGCAACATAACCCACACCAAAGGATGAGCAATCATCACTACACTCTCCATTAGGTAAGAATACAAGACAGCAATCACCAGATCCTGATCCAGTACATCTTTCTAATCCAGTATTGCAAGCACTGTCACATGCTAGAATATAACAATTACATTGTACATTATAATGGACTACATTAGTTTACCTCTACATCTAGTATCTCCACCAAAACCTTCCCGGCACCGATAACAATCAGTTCTTGGAGGAGCACCAACAACACTGGCAGGAGGAGGATCCAAACTACCAGTCCTTCCACTCCATGTACCACTGCTACACTCCATATCAAGTATCCTAGTTTGTTCAGGTTCTCCTGGGTTAGGAGTGAATGTAGCTATAAGAGCTATGCCTTCATAAGTATTGATAGTGTCCCCTTGGGCTTGACAGACATATTGAACTGATCCCTCAGTTACATTAGGAGAGTAAGACTGAGTACCATCAGAAATGATTAGTAAAGGAGGCAAAACAGCCTCTATCTCTGCTATAGTTGGTAGAGGACAATGTTGAGAAGCAGCAAACGTAAGGAAAAGAGATACAACTATCACAAGTAACTTCATCATGATCAAGACTGCCAATGTGAGCCACTCCCTAACCTACTGAGCTAGCATAGCAACAACTTACAGACACATAATGACAACAACAGTGCACAAGCACCGTGAATATAATAATAATAAATATAATTAATGTATAAAGAGCAAGTACCAAGTACAGTCACACGTGAATCTAATTAATGTGATAGTACATGATAAATACTGCTGGTGATCAAGAAAAAACAAGCTCATTTTTAAGCTGACTGCAATCAAGAAATCCAGCAAAATTGATTAACAAGTATCACTTATTATTGCCATTACATCACTTTTCATTAATCATTTCATCACTTTTGTTGTTAGCACAATTAATTATTATACTCCAATTGATTTAGCAACATTTAATTAGCTGAAACGTCTTTTCAAACTATTTCTGGCTTCTTTCTCCATCCTATTTTCTGTAAGAATTAATATTTGTGATAATAGTTAAATGATAATGATGATACTTCACTTACCTCTTTGAGAGGGAAAGTTTTCCTCTTCCCTTTTGTAGCATAAGAATAAACACTGAATGCAATCAGTCCTCCTATTATTAGTAGGAGCAGGAGACCAATCACTATTGCTATTATTACTATTATTAATGTAACTGGTGCTGTTGTAACATCCGAAGAGGACGAAGGAAAAAGACTAGGTGTTACTGTATTTATTAAAACAACTGAAGGTGAAACAGTTGGTGTAGGAGATGCAACTGATGAAGGTAGAGACACTGTATCTGATAATAATTAATAATAACATTATTATCACATTATACCTGAGCAGTTCATCCCATGATATCCAGTTCCTGTACAGTTACATGTATAATTGTTCATGCCACTAAATGATGTACACTCTCCTCCATTCAAACAAGGATTGCTAATATCACAAATATCATTGAATATACATTCAGTGCAGTTGCTGTTTGGTGAATGACCAAGAGCACAGGTTAAATTACAAACTATTAAGAACAATAAAGATAATTATAAACTACTGTATACTGTACTCACTGCATTTATAATCAGTGTCTTCACTAGCAGCATAATCCACACCAAAGGATGAGCAATCATCACTACAGTCTCCATTAGGTAAGAATACAAGACAGCAATCACCAGATCCTGATCCAGTACATCTTTCTAATCCAGTATTGCAAGCACTGTCACATGCTAGAATATAACAATTATATTGTACATTATAATGGACTACATTAGGTTACCTCTACATCTAGTATCTCCACCAAAACCTTCCCGGCACCGATAACAATTTGTTTTTGGAGGAACACCAACAACACTAGCAGGAGGAGGATCTAAACTACCAGTCCTTCCAGTCCATGTACCACTGCTACACTCCATATCAAATATCCTAGTTTGTTCAGGTTCTCCTGGATTAGGAGTGAATGTAGCTATAAGAGCTATGGCTTCATAAGTATTGATAGTGTCCCCTTGAGCTTGACAGACATATTGAACTGATCCTTCAGTTACATTAGGAGAGTAAGACTGAGAACCATCAGATTCGACTAGTAAAGGAGGCAAAGCAGACTCTATCTCAGCTATAGTTGGTAGAGGGCAATGTTGAGAAGTAGCAAATGTAAAGAAAAGAGATACAACTATCACAAGTAACTTCATCATGATCAAGACTGCAAATGTGAGCCACTCCCTAACCTACTGAGCTAGCATAGCAACACTCAATACATTCATAATTGCAAGAAGAGTGCACAGGAACTATGAATATGAAAATAATAAATCTATTTAATGTATAAAGAGCAATGTAGGGTCACACATGAATCTAATTAAAGTGATGCATTTAGACACTGCTAGTGATTTTTATGCTACTCTGAATGCTGTCCACTTCATGTTGCAACCTATTGATCAATAATGAGTAACTGTACCAGCATTTTGTGATATCGTTACCTTTTTTAATCTAGCTCTTTTTATGATAATGACATTAACTAATGCTATGGCAATGGCAACAAAGATCGGGATTATAAGCAACAGAAACAGCAAATTTAACTGATTTGATGTAGTTTGAGCTAAAACAAGAAAGAGAGTGACAATTGATATAACACAATGTCTTACCACACTGACAGTTCAGTACAATATATCCATCATCACACTGATCACAGCAAGCAATATCCCCAATACACTGGATGCAGTTACTAATGTTAATAGCACAGGGAACAGGAGACGGAGAGGGAAGAGCAACGAAAGATGAAGAAGAAAATACAAGAGAGCTTGAGAAGAAGCTGGAAGAGCTTAGGAAGAATGTTGATGAAGCTATCAATGAACTTGAGAACTGAGAAGATGTGATATACATTGATGACGACACTTCATCTATAAACAAGTTATCAATAACTAATAGTAATCTCACTTACCTTTTGTACAGTTCATGCAATCTGAATCAATAGAATAGCCATCAGGGCAGGTTTTGTTACAAGCTACACAAATAAAATTGTGATAATTGTATAATTAATTATAATGCTTACTGCAGTTATAATCAGTTTCTTCACTAGCTGCATAATTCACTCCAGAGGATGAACAATCATGACTACACTCTCCACTAGTTGAAAATACAAGACAGCATTGATCTGAATATGGTCCAGTACATCTTTCTAATCCAGTATCACAAGCACTGTTACACTCTATGAAGAAATAGATCCACTCCATAATCCACAGCATTATAAAGATATTCACAAGTATACCTCTACATGTGTCATCTCCAAACCCTCTCCTGCAGACATAGCAGTCAGTCCTTACTGTAGCATTAATGATACTCGAGGGAGGTAAGGATATCCCCCCGCCACCAGTCTCAGCTACCCATGAGCCAAAATAGCACCTCATCTGAAATAGTCTGGTAACTTCAGAGTCCCCTGGATTTGGGGTGAAGGTTCCTATCATTCCAACGGCTCTGTACGTGTTTATCCTTCTCCCTTGAGCCTGGCAGACATATTGGACAGGCCCTGTAAGGTTTGGGTAATAAGGAATGCTGTTGTCACCAGTAGGAAGGAGAACTGATAGAGTAGCAATAATGTCCGAGTCAGTAGGAAGGGAGCAGTCTTGAGACGAGGCCAGGAGGAAGAATAGGGAGCCTACCAACACTAGCAAGGCTCGTTTCATCATGTTACAGTGTCTGGTGGCGCTTTGAAAGCGTTCATAGTAACAGGAGCAGCAGCTTAATGCATCAGAGATTGGGATAAGAGGACCATGCAGCAATCAATAATGAGGCAATTAATTAAGGTAATTAAAGCACTTAGGCTAGGATAAAGATTAAAAATCAGATCAAAACGATTGAAGTTTAAGGCTCAATTTCATCTGCAGTGTCTACTGTGGACTGTTGAGGTTCAACTGCACTAGGATTCACATCAACATCATGACCTACAATAATATAATAATAATGATACAACTGTGCAGGGGAGATACAACATACCTTCTCCCTTAGCTTTACCAAGTATTAGTTCAGTGAGTCTTTTCCTTATCTTGTCATAAGAACCAGGCTCACACCAACCAGTCACCTCCTAGTGGAAATGTACACTCTAGAACAGAATGCATGCATAGCTTAAGAGTTCTACTATATTCCATGCAGCAACTGCATAAGTATTATTATTATTATTATTATTATTATTATTATTATTATTATTATTATTATTTTGCTATTTACATTGCAGGAGTCTTCTTTGCCATCATTAGAGTGTATGTATGATTGAATGGTTTCCTCCTTTATGTCACAAAGCATGTATAGCAACTGCCTCTGGGATGGATACACTTGAGGATTGAAGATATAAGCAGATTCACCAAGGTCCTCGTCTAGAAAGAAGATTGAGATGTTTCATAATAATTATCAGTTGCTGTAAGGACCTGGTCCTTCTTTCATCTTCTCTTCAGCTATTTTAACACTCTCCTCCTCACTCAGAGCTGGTTTTAGATCAGACTCAATCGCTGCATGTCCAGCACCCAACGGTCGCAGGAGCTTACGGTAAGTGGAAGATGGAGCAACGAGGGCAAACTCAAGAGACCGTGGGACCCGATAATCTATGGACTGGTAACTGGAGGTAGGACATTGGACAAATAAGGAGACACACTGGTCACTAATCTCACATTTTATTGGACGGATTGGCCCGCGGATCATAACCAAACTTAACCCATAGTTTCTTCCAAGGGCCACTAGTGAAGTAATATGACACTTGTGGTAACAGCCTAGTAAAACTCAGTAATCTTCAGTATATTCTAGTATACTCTAGTAAACTTACGTTCTTAAAGAAGACGATGATAGCTTTAGTTTAGCTTGTATTGCAATTCTTGAACAAACCGGCTTTTCTTCAAAAAGCTAACGGAACGAGAGAAAGGGGAGGGGCTAGACCACACCCACTACTAACGATACCTGTCTGAGTATCCTTAGTTTTGGGTGATTTGATGCTGGTAAATCTGGGTGTGGTCCATCCGGAACTTCTAAAAAGAATTTGAAAACTGAAATTATAAATTCAATACCTTTTTCAGTGAATGTTATGCTGTGAGTGAAATTGGGTCTTTTTAGTCTGGATTGACCTGGACGTCTTGATCTAGACTTAAGAGAAAAAACTATTATAGAATAATAATAATTATTATTATTACTATTATTTATTTATTTATTTACTTGCAAAGTGTTTGAAGGCTGAGGTTTCAAGCTGTCAGATTTATAACTATGACAATAAAAATAATAATTTTATTCTTTAAATTATTTTCTTACACAAACTGAAATGGCTTGTCACTTTTTGAGAAGAACAGTGGAGGTAAGAACAAAGGGACATCTTTATTGAAACAAGACTCATCCATCAACTCTAATGAATATTAATTAATTGATTTATTATTATTATTAATTATTAGTAGTACCTGTCATAGATACCATTGGGTCATAAGGTATAGTCTTTCCTTTATGCTGGACAGTGCTAAGACCAGGAGGAATAACTTGAAAATCAAACATACCTACACATGTGTACATGCACAAGTAAAATTAATAATAGTACAGTTTCTGATGCATATACATGTACTGATGTTGTGTAGAAAGTTTGAGTTGATTCCAACCAAGTGTGGACATCTTACAAATCTTTAAAGTTGCTCCAAAATCAGGTCAAAATCCCTGTACTATAGTACAGGGATTTTGGCCAAATTTTGTCAAAAATGAAAAGGTGAGAATTCCTTAATTTTATTACATTTTCTGATGCATATACATGTACTTATGTTGTGCAGAAAGTTTGAGCTGATTCCAATCACATTTGGATTTTTTACAAATTTTAAAAGTTGCTCCAAAATGTGGCCAAAGACTATGTTAACATTCAGCTAACCATTAAACTTATATTCAGTGTTAATTAACCCCATCAGTTCTGCAGTATATCCGTACACTACTTCTCCTTTATCCTCTGAACCGGCAGCCATCTTTACTCTTCGTATTTTAATAGCCAAAGAACAGGTTCTCCTTGGTTTACCGTGTGCTGGTTTACTGTAGAATGACTCAGGACGGACTCTGACATCCAGTCTATGACCGTCACTAATAGCCTAATAATAATATAATCAATTAAAACTATATTTATTAAACCTTTTCTTCACTTTGCAAATTGTGTCAATCCCTCCCATTGTCTCCATGGCTTTATCTTCATCCTCCACAATACCTGTATAATAATAATAATAATAAATAAACAAAGCCACACCCATAAATTAAAAATAAAGGTGTCAAAAACATGGCTTCCATACCCGGATACTCGATGGAGGTAAGCTCCCTCCATCCTTTGGTACAGTCCACTACCAGTAGCTCGTTCCCTGGTTTGTATTCTTGAAGGTCGGAGCTCATACTCTCCTCTCCTTCACCGGCCATGTTGTCGCACGTGGGTATTAGAATACGATGAAGAATACGGAATAAAACTAGGATATCCGTAAATCAAGATGGCTGCTCTTAGACAACTACAAGTATGTAGGCCAGTAAAATGACTCCTTTTACTTGTTCCCTTCATTAGGTTTTAAGGTTATTCCGTTGTTATAGCTCATCACGTGTTTATGACAAGGGACCAGGTAAAAATTACAAGAGGAAGCTGCAAAGGAAGAGAATCCCACGAGTAGACCTCAAGGCCTCCCTACTGGAGAGTCTTGCTAAGAGTGAGGAGACGGGGAATGAAGATACGACAACAAAAGAAACCAAGAATGATAGGATACAAAAAACCCTACAGTACACCCCCTCATTAGTGACACATTTACATATATAATTACAGGGGTCTCCTCTCTGGACTGGAGATGTACAGTAGACCTGGAGAGAACCAGCAGGAGGAGGAGGAGCAGGATTGTAATGATTTGAATCTAAAAGGTTTATTTTAATCTCTTCTTTAATTAGACGATAGAAGCAGCCACGCCCCTCTGTCAGAGTATAGGAGACACGACCCTTTTTCAGACGATAGGAAGAGACATACCCCTCAATCAGATGATAGGAGACACGCCTCTCAATCAGATGATAGGAGGAGACACGCCCTTTTTTCAGACGATAGGAGACACACCCCTCTATCAGATGATAGGAGGAGACACACCCCTCTATCAGACGATAGGAGACACACCCCTCTATCAGACGATAGGAGGAGGTCTTTTGCGTTTAGAGCTCCTAAACCAAATTTCAAACTGCCCCTCACTAAACCTCCGCCTGTAGTGACTGACCCAGTCAATACTTCATTCACTGATGGAAAGAGATTGGGTGAGAGAGAGAGAGAGAGAAAGAGTGTGTTTGTTTAACATTATGTTATGTGTAGGTGTATTCAAAATAATGACCCAAGAACAATCTGTTCAACCACCAGATCCTTGGACTTTCAGGGAAGTAAGTATTTTAATGATTTTGTATCTTTAGGTTTGATAAATTTGCCGCTATTTTCTGTTCATTTTTTAAAGGATCAGTTGAAGAAAGAGATAAGTTTCATTAACCAGTACAAGCCATTGATGAACGAGTTTGAGCAGTTAATGAAGGACTCGCCACGTGTCTGGAAGTATCCAATAGATAACCAGTTACCAAGGTAACCATTAATATTAGTGTTATTGTTTTATTAGTTGTTCAGTGATGAAGACAATGTTGGTTTTGAGGATCACGTGTTTCTAATGAAGCACATTGAAGATAAGGACTTGCCAAGAAAAGGTAACAGCAACTAGAAACTGATTCTCGAATTTCCATTCTCATACTGCTTCATCACAGGCCCAGTTAGGCATTTCATGGAACTGGTTGCTACCGGACTCTCTATGAATCCATACTACACTGCCCAGGAGAAGGTTGAGCACATTGGATGGTACAAAGACTATTTTAAACAATTCCCTAGGGACGAACTGGACTTGGAATAAAACACCACTATTGTATTATAAATTGAACGATTGTAAATATTAATATTATTATTATTATTATTATTGATAATATTAACTGTTGCTTTTGTATATGATTCTAATTAGCTTTCATTATTACTTTGTCCGTTATTATTATTATTATTATTCATTTCTTTGTTCTTCTTCTTGAGCATGATTCTTGCTTCCCTCACTGCTTGTCCCTGCATCAGGTGACTATCAGATGACCATCACATGATAACACTTACCCTTTCCTTGATGACATGCTTTAAAACATCCATGGAGTACTTTACCTTTTAAAAAATACTTTTACAATTAATTAAAAATTATAAAATACTTTTTTCAATCTTTCTGGTCCCGGCATTATAAATAGATTTCGGTTTGCTTCGTGTCTCAAAGTTAGTAACATGTTTCTCTCTTTTAGGAGGACATACCTGCCAAACTAAAAATTATATTAATAATTAATTAAATAATATTTACCATAATTTGTGTAGGTCCTCGTTACTCTTCTGTCTCAGTTCCCTTGCTTTCCACGGCCTACCTGTTACAATAATTAATGGGTGGAGCTTCACTAATTAATTAATTACGTGATTAATTAACACCTCTTAATCCCCACCCACATATTCTGTTCATTATTACGGCTCTCCTCCCCTCACCTGTCCTCTCTGACTCTTCGATGATATTTTTAGTCTTCGGAAAGAACTCTTCCAGTCCCATCACGTGACTGCTTGTGTGAAAACCACGCCCCCTTACATTAATGAGTGTTGTTACTCCAAGAAGAGGAGAAAGGAGCAAAGCAGAACAAGAAGGAGCAATGGAGGACACGGGACTATGAGTCAATACTCTACACAGTAACATCTTATTGAAGAGAAGGACTTTGGGAGACTTTAACCAAAGCCAAGTCTGGATTCTGGGAAAAGTGCCACGTGGTTTCCGTACACTTCCGGACACTATCAATGTTCCTGAATAATTAGCCACACCCCTACAATCCAGTACGAGCCCCACCCATCAAGAAAGACAGCAAAATGGATGAACATGGTCTCCCCATAGTTGGGGCAGGATTAGACTATCAGAAGGTAAGGAGGGGGAGGGAGGGTTGCTCAAGGATTGTGTCTCTGCTTTAGGTAGAGTCACTCAACCACAGGCAGACTCTAGTGATGCTCAACAAGTTTGTGATTCATACAGCAAAGTTTCTGAATCGCTTTTCATCAGTTTGTGAAGAAGTAAGAATAACAATAATAATAATAATAACTGACTAACTTGTGAATTATTTCCAGAGGCTGTTAGATATATCACTAAGGATACAAAGACTGGACGTGTCTCTGAATATACTGGAAGCTAAACTGAATTCAATATCCAGTCTTGATGGTATCCAAGCAACCACTCAATACCAACCCCCAGAGGTACTAGCTAGTGCTGGTAGTGCCCCGCCCGCTCCTCAACCTGTCAGCCAGCCTGCCGCACCTGCTACTGGACCAGCCCCACCCCCTTCGTCTGGTGGGGCGGAGCCTATACCACCGCCTCAGGCAACTGAAGGTAATCAATAATCACATGATCCTCACATGATGTCTGTATTATTATTATTATTAGGAGAGGAAACTGGAGCTGCTGGAGGAGGTGAGAGAGAGAGGGAGACAGTGATTGGTTTTATTTTATAATGTCATAGGGATGAAGATAAAGGATCATCCTGACTTTCAGAGGTTCTTTAAAATGAAGAGACTCGTAAGACCAAGACACATATACATACATGTTATAGAAAGTTTGAGCTGATTCCGATCAAATTTAGATTTTTTATGAATTTTTAAAGTTGCTCTAAAATTGGGCAAATGTCCAAAATGACTAGGATAGAATTCCATTTTTATTACATTTCTTGTGTAGGGAGTCAATCCATTGCAAATTGCTATGGAGATGAAGAAACATGGATTCAATCCTGACCTACTAGAGTATGCCTGACCCTCCTCCCTCTTTATTTTATTTTTTATTTTATCTCAGAGATGAAGATGCTCCTGCTCCTACAGGAGGTGCGTCTGCTCCTAAGAAAGCAGCTGCTACTACTAGAGACTCTGATGATTCCTCAATGTCAGGATCAAGTGATGAGTCTGATGATGATAGTGACAGTTTTGGCTCCGATTGATAGCTCAGCCAGCTGCAATTTTATATACTACCAGAGTGTAAATTATAAGTCTAGTATAATTATGTGTATTGTAATATCGAAATTATACGTGATCTTGTTTTTAAGTTTGCTTCTCTTTATCACAAAATAATTATAAAATAAAAAACAAACAAATAATAATTACAGCCAGCCGCTCACCGACCCGCCAAAAGAAATAAAAAGTAATAATAATAATAATAATAATAATAATAATAATACATCTTAGCTAGGTTTTACGAGTGAGTACTATGTGTAGAAAGTTGTCTGGATAGGATAAATGTTCTGAGACCCACTGGAGATGAGCTACAGCTGGTATCTCAATACCATGTAGTAGGAACTGATGGTCAGCTACTGGAGAATGGAAAATAAGAACCATTAATACCCTCTCCTTCTCTCTCTCTTTACTAACGTGATGCTGATGGGAATTCTTTCTGGTAAAGATTCATTACGTCACCAAAAGTTGTATCTACATAAAGAAGTAGCCATTTATGCTTTAAAAGATTACTGGTACCTTGACTAGCTATTAAACCTTGGTACAATCTCTTCCCTTCCTATAAAAATAAATGAATAAAATAATTGATAAATAAATAAATAAATATTATTGTCAGTTGTTCTTACTCTGTAAATACTAAATGGTACGAATTTAAAAGGCTCCATCTCTCCTTTGATGTTAAGCATTAGCTTTTGATTCACTGACCAGAAATCTTCAAAGTGATCTAATATCATCAATATCAAGAATCAAATCAGTATCAATATCAGGAATCAGTATCAAATATCAAATTCTTACGCTGTGATATACTTTGCCACAGTTTCCCAAACTCAGATGGCGTGAACTGTTGGATAACTTTAGCTCCGTGCTTCAACCAGTCCGCCTGTTAGGTGATATAAAGAGGACGTGTCAGTTGGTAGATTGGAGACATGCTTACTTCTTTCAATTTTGATAGAAAATGTCCTTCAAGTGCCTCCTTACCTTCGTATATCAGTATATCGTCAGTCGGATAATCCTTAGAAGAGAGAGAGAGAGAGAGAGAGAGAGAAGAACTAAATATTACAAAAATTAACTGAATTACTTTAAAATGGACGGTAATCTCCCACGGCAACTCGGTACTTCTTGCAAAAAGATCAAACAATATGCCAACAGGATAGTGCCTGGAGTATACTGAGATATACTGATAATATACTGGAGTTTACTGACCACTTGAGAGGTGACGGCCCATAGGAGAGCCATATCTTATCATCTAATGAAGCACTGACTGCCCGAGCATACAGCTTGACTAGTTTATCATAAACCAAAGGGAAATAGGACACTCTTGGCAGTAACATCTATTAGAGTATGAATCAGAGATTGAGTTGAGGTCATTGATTTCGATTCACAAACTTACAAACACGGGTTCTGGTATTGTTGTCCCCCCGGCCTGCTGCAGCTCTTGCTGGGAGAGTATGAACGAGACTGGGACCTTACCATCCCACACCTCTCTCCTCTGATCCATATCACTCATCCTAAAGACACAGAGAGAGAGAAGAAGATCAAGCAGACATTAAAGCAAAGGGGAGGGGTAACCACGCCTATAAGGATACCACCCATAAAATCACGTGATGTGTGATTGCGCAATAAGTTATTAATAGTTATTAAATTAAATCACGTGACTTTACCGCCCAATTTTGAAAACTTGATGTCTACTCTGTTCATGTAATAAAAACATCATGACAAGCAATTAGCATAATTACAGTTAACATTATGACAAATGACATGTTCTGTTTGTATTTTAATTGAACTGTTCAGTTTAAATTGCAGTGATCACAGTGATGCGATCAACAAAACATGTTCTCTTGTATCAATTATGAAACCATAATGGGCTGCTATTATAATTGGTATAAAGTTTATGTAAGTAATTTCATTATTTGTGTACTGGCACGCCTTATTTGATGGAATGATATTTTTCAAAGAACCACAATCACTAACAGTATTCATTGGTTACAGTGTAGCCCTTTGGTCTTGTGAGTATAGTTTATCTATTCCGATTTTTCTTCTTTATCACTTGTTAACCAATAATTAACAATGTCAGTTACTCCTAGCTCTCTAAGTATATAGCTGCCCCAACTCTCACATTGCTTTTCCAACCTCTTTAACCTTTCATGAATTTTGTTAAACGTTTCGTTAAACTTTTCATTAAACTTTTCATCAAAATTTTTGTCCCAGTCTTTTATTCTCAGCTCCGCAATTCTCTCATTGAGCTGTTTCAATTCCTGTTTTAAAAGTTTTCCATTACTGATTAATTCTATTATGTTCTCCTTGACCGATTCTTTAAAGTTTTCTGTATGTTCAATATGCTTGTTTATATCTCTTTTCAAAGAATCCAATTTGTCTGAATATTTTGCATCAATCTGTGCAATTTGATCCATAACCTCTTCCAGTATGTGTTAGTCTAGGATGAATCTAATATCCATTATCAATAAATACTTACCTTCCTCTTTATCAGCTTCATATCTTACCATACCATATGCAATCCAACCAATTAGGGCTACAATTATGAAGTTACGTCTCATGTTTCTTAGCTGGATAATTGGAACTCAAGCAAATAGTCAGTACCTGAACCACCTGAACACTGTTCTAGCTCACCGCCTTTTTTCTTGTTTGTTTAAAATTCCTGAGTATGTGGTTTGGACAGTACCCTCTCTTTTGTGTAGAGTTTACACAGTGTTACCCACGGGTTTGGTCATATGACAGGGCTCATACATACATGCATGTATTCGGAAAAGGTAATCTAGTCATTCAACTGAATGAAATTCACAATACTGTTTCAATATAGTTGGTTTTTATGGAATAGCAAACCAATACACATAAGTATTAACTTTATTAAGTTCATTAGTTAGTGACGTCTTTTTTTTAATTTGTTTGGAAGTACAAGCGAAGAAAGACAATTTTGTATAAAATCACAGATCTGGTACAAAAATGAGCCTTTGGATTCTTGTAAGCTAAAATCAATTTACAAGTACAGTATAACATTATGACACACAACATATTCTGCTTGTATTTACATTGGATGGTTTAGTTCAAATTGGGTGATTACAATGATTCAAGGAACAGAACCTGTTCCCTGTTAGGAAACCATAATTATAATATTGGTGTAAATAATTTTATTGTATACATTATAACTGTATAGTGACACATTTTATGATCATTACAATTAGTATTCATAAGCAACAGTGTAGGCCTGGGCCGTGAGTCTGTTTATTCTATTGAGGTGGTTTTCTTCCTGTTATCCAACTAGGTATACCTCCTAAGATGAAGTTGGTCCAGGTCTGACAATTTTTGTCCAACTTATCAAGCTTTTTGCTGAAATTTTTTTGATAGTCATTAAACTTTTTGTTCCAGTCTTTTATTCTTATATCAAGAGCTTGTTCCATTTCTGTTTTTACATTAGTGATTAATTCTTTTATGTCCTCTAACTCCTCTTTGACTAGCTTTTTAAAGCCTTTTGTATTATGCTTGTTAATATCTCTTTTTAAAGAATCCAATTTGTCTGAATATTTTGCATCAATCTGTGCAATTTGATCCATAATTTCTTCCAGTATGTGTTAGTCTAGGATGAATCTAATATCTATTTTAAAGAAATACTTACCTTGCTCTTTATCAGCTTCATATTTTACCATACCATATGCAATCCAACCAATTATATATACACTCCAAACAATTGATGTATACTTAAGCCTCATCTTAATGTTGCCTGGAACAGAGCTGTCATTACAATGTAATAATACAATGTAGCTTACTATCTTCTTCCTCCTTTCTTTCTTTCAATTTCCTCCCACTATATGCGGTGTAACCACAATCAGTGTGGGTTACACTTGATCTATATAGTGTAGCCCACAAGTATGGGATCTATAGTAGTCAGTGTACTGTGAATTTGAAATTGATATTGATTGAGAATAATACTGCTGAATTCATTGAGTAACAATAATGGTGTATTGCTTGTATGATACAGCTATAATTATTTAATTATGTAGCCATTCCATTTGACATGTATATGTTCTTCCAGTAATGTTTTTTTTCTTTTCTACCTATAGCCCGACTCCTTTTGGCCTTTTCTTGATATGGTTTAGACAGAGCAACCCACAAATAAACAGTGTTTATATTAGGTGATTTGGTAGCATTAAAGTCTTAAGAAATCTCAACTGAAATACTGTACAATAATACAAATGATATTTACAAAAATGATACTGCTGAATTGATGATAATACAAGCTTTGTTTTATGATACAACATTATAACTACAGTTACTATAGTACATATTTACAATGTATAAATGGAAAAATTCTCATGTATACATGTACCTCCTCTTGAAATTATCTCAGCAAATTTCTTCAACAAATTTCTTGTAAATAACAAAAAGACGTGAATAGATCTCCTCAAAATCGGCTCTCACTTGAGGTGAATGAACAAAACACCTTCTCAATACAGCATAGACCTCAGTGGGGCAGGACTCCGGCTTTTGAAGAACCTCTCTCTCCTCACCTTTAACAGCATCAGCTATAACCTCATCATCTTGAAGGTGAGAATAAGGCAGTGAACGACACAACATGAATACTTCCCAAACTGTAACACCAAAGGCCCAGGAATCAGACTTGACTGAGAACTGTCCATAATAAGTCTCAGTGGACATCCATCGTATCGGTAGTATCAACTGTCCTGCCACACAGTAATAGGAGGACTCATAAAGACTCCGGCTCATTCCAAAGTCTGAGATCTTTGTCACAAAGTCTCGACCAACTAGAATGTTACGAGCAGCAAGATCACGATGGACGAACCTCTTGTTAGCAAGATAGCGCATTCCACTGGCAATCTGTACTGTAATGTAGAGTAGAATAACTGGAGATATGTGGTCACTGGATACAGTAGCTGAGTTTGGCTGTAGCTCCAGTTGACGGAGGAATTGATGTAAGTCACCATTCTCCATGTACTCAATCACAATGAATGGAGACTCATCGGTCAAACTAACTGCCAACAGACGAACAACGTTAGCGTGTTGGAGGTGCGACATGAACTTGATCTCTTGATTGAAAGCATCTCTCAACTCAGGACTAGCCTCTGGTTTAAGCTGTTTCATAGCAACAAGGATGCTCTTGTTTCTATCGGTGTCTTCATTCAATTTGAGATCTTTAAGGCTCACGTTTACCGTCCCGGCTAGAAATATTTTTCCAAATCTTCCGTGACCTAATTCGTCCAATATTTGCAGACACTGCGGCGGAATATGGAACAACTGCCGAGCCAGCAAATTACTGCCGGTCTTATATATCGGAGCATATGGGAGGGCCTTTTGGTCACTAGGGGGAGGAGCTTGGTTGCCATGGAGCATAGAAGGCTCAAGTACTTCAGTATAGATGTGGTCAAAGTCTTTAGTGGCTAAGTCGGCAGTTGAGATTGGCGGAACAAGAGGGAGGGAGGAGCGTCTGCGAGAGCGAGGGGGAGGAAGGGGAGGTCCCTCGTTCAACTCAAACTTGTCTTCGTACGGATTAAACGAGAACGAATTGCCGTGGTTACCATTGTTACCACTCCTCTCCATAGTGTTAGGCTTAGACCCAGTGGTTATCACAGGTTCCTCGTAATTACTAAACAATGGAGAGAGAGGAGGCAGTGATGATTGTATAAAGTGGACGGTTGGAGGAGGGAGGGCTGGATAAAAAGCATCAGCCACAGAATCATAAGATAATAGTTCTTGTGGATCAGTACTCAAACCACCTCCATCTTGAATAACATCGTAATGTCCTTCATTCAACTCTTGATCACTTTTATCAACTCCTTCTTCTCCTCCTTTCCTCTTCCTCCTGTCACTAACATTGCAAAGACAGACACATACCAATATCAAGGCAGCTGCAACTGCCATTAGTGACAGAGTAGCGGCAACTATTGCAAATGTTAGTAGCAGCCACCTGTTACCAAAAGGGTCAGAATCTTGTCCACTGCTTGTAGGAGAAGCAGTTGGAGAAGATTGGAAAGAGTCAGGAGGACTACTTGAAACAGTAGGAGACGCTATATCACTGGAAGCATTAGCAGCATCTAGATATTAATAAAGAAAAATTAATAATTTACAGTATGTTGAATTATTACAAGTTAAAACTACAAACAGGACTGGTCATAACTTGAAAAATTTAAGCTGGAATCACCTCAAACTTTCTACATAGCATAAAAACATCAATATGCATCTGAAAATGTAATAAAAATTTCGGGTCATTTTTTGGCCGATTTTTGGAAAAAAACCATGGGCTATAGCACAGGGTATTTTTCAGATTTTTGTCGTTTTCTTAAAATGGCCGTAACTTGAAAAATTGAAGTCGGAATCACCTCAAACTTTCTACACAGCATTAGTACATCAATATGTGTCAGAAAATGTAATAAAAATTGGGGATCATTTTTTGGCCATTTTTTGGAAAAACCATGGGCTATATAGTACAGTGTATTTTTCAGATTTTTGCTGTTTTCTTAAAATGGCCGTAACTTGAAAAATTGAAGTCGGAATCACCTCAAACTTTCTACACAGCATAAAGACATCAATATGTATCAGAAAATGTAAAAAAAATTTGGGGTAATTTTTTGGCCATTTTTTGGGAAAAACCATGGGCTATAGTCTTGGGTATTTTTCAGATTTTTGACATTTTCTTAAAATGGCCGTAACTTGAAAAATTGAAGTCGGAATCACTTGAAACTTTCTACACAGCATAAGGACATCAATATGTATCAGAAAATGTAATAAAAATTTCGGGTCATTTTTTGGCCATTTTTTGGAAAAAACCATAGGCTATAGCCTTGGGTATTTTCAGATTTTTGACGTTTTCTTAAAATGGCCATAACTTGAAAAATTGAAGTCGGAATCACCTCAAACTTTCTACACAGCATTAGTACATCAATATGTGTCAGAAAATGTAATAAAAATTGGGGGTCATTTTTTGGCCATTTTTTGGAAAAACCATGGGCTATAGTACAGTGTATTTTTCAGATTTTTGCTGTTTTCTTAAAATGGCCGTAACTTGAAAAATTGAAGTCAGAATCACTTCAAACTTTCTACACAGCATAAAGACATCAATATGTATCAAAAAATGTCAAAAATTTTGGGGTAATTTTTGGCTATTTTATTTTTCAGATTTTTGCCATTTTCTTAAAATGGTTGTAACTGTAACAATTTCTTTAAAATTACATCAAAAAGTAGTAAAAATTTAAAAAAATAATAAATTTTGAATAGACAGAGCGAGAGAAAGAAAACTACAGCATATGTGTGTGTAAGCACTGGACAAATGGATAAAACCTAATAATAATAATAATAATAATAATTAGCAAGAGTAGCTCCAGTCTACACAGCCTGACTAGTGTATGTCATATACAAACGCGAATAGATCTCCCCAAAGTCGGCCCTCATTGCGGGGTCATGTACCCAACACCTCAACATCACATCATAAACCTCTCTCGGACATGCCTCCGGTTTAGGGAGGAGCTTCCTGTTTGGCCCCCTAATGGCATCTTGTATCACCTCCTCGTCTGACATCTCATCATAAGGATCACACATAGCAAGAGTGTAAACCTCCCACAGTGTTACCCCAAAGGCCCACGTGTCCGATTTAACTGAAAACTTTCCATAGAAAGTCTCGCAAGCCATCCACCGGATAGGAAGCACTAGGGTACCCTGGACCCGGTAATACGCCGACTCATATAATCTACGGCTCATCCCAAAGTCGGATATCTTGACAATAAAGTCCTTTCCGACTAGACAGTTCCGAGTGGCTAGATCCCGATGAACAAACCTCCTGGAGCCCAGGTAGTGCATTCCACTTGATATCTGAACCCCAATGTAGAGTAGTATGATCGGAGTGATCTCCCAGTCACCTAGCCCTGTCACAGTATCAGGTACCAGAGTGTGCTTCTGCAGGAACTGGTTCAAGTCTCCATTCTCCATATACTCCATCATTATGAAGTGTTCCCCTACAGTGCAAACTGCCAACAGTCGGACCACGTTGTCGTGATTCAGTCGAGACATGAACTTCACTTCCTTATCAAAAGCTTCTAACAGCCCGGTCTCAGCGTTGGTCTTCAGTTTCTTAATGGCGACTAGAATAGACTGGGACCTATCTGTTAGGGTTTCACTTAGTTTCATATCCACAAGACTCAAGTGTCTTGTACGTGCTAGTATAACTTGACCAAACTGACCGTTTCCGAGTTTACGTATTTCAATGACATTATCACTGGTCACCTGAAGGAGGGACTCAGCTGCTGCCAGTGGCTTTGGATCATCGTAAATAGCACTGTAGGGGAGACCCTCGTCATGGGCCTCTCTCTCTGAGATACTAAGCATTGTAGCTGGTTCTATTGGCTCCGAGTATATCTGATCATAATCATTATCGACAACATTATAAGGGGCGAGGTCTTCCTCGGTGAATCCATCTTGGTATATCGGGTGGAGATCAGGAGGATTCTGAGCATCCTGTCTCTGTAATGAGCCACTCAGTACATCGTGAGGTGATGGTACAGACTGAACACTGATTCCACTGGCTCCTGGTAGTCCATTGGAAGCAGCTGCCACTGACTGGAGCATATTCACGGAATCATAATATGTCTTTCGTTTTGGTTTACGAGCAGTCACAGGAGGGGGGCCCCCTCCTCCTCTCTCCGGGGGTATAACCCGTGGGTTACCCTCAGGGGCTCCAGTGGTTGGTACGTCGTACTGTACCGTGGACGATGGTAACTGGTGAGTCTGTGATCGCTGGAGTAGGTCAGGCAGTTCGGCGGATCGACCACTTTTAGTGTAACTGCCACTCTGAGAGTGAGTCCTCATTGGGACTGGAGGGGGTGGATCCTCTATCTTAACCTCTGGTTCATTATTATCCACAGCTGCTGGTAGGTAGGTTACTGTAGCTCCTCCAGTTGGTTGTACAAACACATCAGTCCTTCTACAGCGATGACAGGCCACGGCAATTATTATTATAATTAATATTATAACAATTAGCCCGAGGAACCCAGCGACAGCTGCTATTATGATTGTTAGTAATTGATTGTTGTCACCTCCTGAACTATTGCTCCCTCCATTATTGGCAGTATCTACAGTGTGTGTGTGTGTGTAATGGAGAAATAGTGTAATATCAGTACTTGTATCATATCAGCCATTATCGGACATGCCAGCAGATCTCTTACTGTGGGTGTGGTTTATCCAACACCCACACATTTAATTAAATTTTAATCTGCAAACATGGCATGTGTGATAATGGCCAATATAGCGATTGCAATAAATAAAATATTTTAAGTGATTTTTGTTGATATTACACTCTTTCTCCATTAATATACACAAGCACACACTTTGAATGAGAGGGAGATTTTGCAGCTGCTCCATAGGAACTATAAACTAGCCCATACAAGTTAGCCAATTACCACTGTATATACAATGGGTAGTAGTGGTTGTTAACATGAAATTAACAGCTGCTATAGAGTACCAATTGATACTTCAAGTGGTACAGGATTGTGATAAGGACTGCCATTAAGACAGTTAATGTAATAAAAGAGAGGGAGAGAGTGGAGGGAGGAAGAGTGAAATGTCACAATACAAGAGGAGCCAGCATTCCCTGCCACACCTAACATCCTAATATGGTAATATTAAACCAATAACCAATTATAACTTATTAGACCAAGTGACTGATGTACACACAAGATCATGTATATACACAGGCAAGGTCAGAGTCTAATGAACAACTGAATGACAACTGATCCTTAATAGCATCAGAATATATAAGTATTAATTAGTGTTAAAGGTTTGTGTGTACTATCCATTATAAGGATGAGGTAATTTACTATACTCCTGTATTCACAAGAGATCCCATATTAGTACAACCGTTTGATTAGGTGAGGGCCCTTAAGTAACCAAAGGTGTGTGAACAGGATAATGACATACTTAAAATATCAACAACACCTTCAGTACAAATCATTTCATCTCTGTCTTTTAACTCACCGTTTTTAACTGTTAGTTGAACTGATCTTGTCAAGTGACAGTATCCTTCAATCCTACACTGGTACTGCCCTGAGTCCTGTACTGTGGGAGATGATATGACCAGGACTCCAAGGACACTGCTACTGGTTCCGTCCTTACTCTCTTTCTGAGCCCTCCTCCACCCATCCCTGTACACTATAGAGTATCGACCAGTGTTAGTCAATCGGGTGCCGTTACGGTACCAGTGTAAAGAGGACTGCGGTGGTACATAGCCGGCCATGTCACAAGAAAGTTCTGCAGCTGGTGAACTAGTAGTAGCATTAACGGTTGGATGAACAGTGTTGAGATGCACTAGATAAGGAGAGATAGAGAGAGAAGAGATATGATATCATTTCTGTTCATGTTAGCAGACAACTGCTCTGATTCAATACAACTCAGCAGCTGCTGGCTGTTAACAGACTGTAATGGCTACACTCTTTCTAGTTACAATTAGCCAACAGGATATTGAGTCTTTCTCCAATGACAAAAGACATTACAGTTTTAATAAATAAAGCAATAATAAGGAATGGTTGCTGTAGAGATAAAGAACTCTCCGTGGCACAAAGTATTAAAGTTTTAAGTATCAAAAAACTAACAAAATTTAAAATGTAAACTTCGTTGCGAACAAGGAAGGTGAAATTTAAACAACCTCCTACTGGATAAGGACATAAACAACACTCACTCACTCACTAACTTTGTCCTCTTTTGGTAATAATTTAAATATTAATGAACCAAAACAACCCACAACCTCTTGATGTACGTGTACTGATAGACTATGGTATACAGGAGTAACGCTAAAGGTCTCATCACTTTTAGATGTCAATTTACAATAACACAGTAACATGATCCCTAGCTACTGGGTATATCCCTGCAGTAATTGAATTATTGTCTCACCTAACAGATGGAGATTAGTCCTGGCTGACGTCCAATTAGAAGATGAGTTACCTTTGTCCCTCACTTGACAATAGTAAGTACCATTGTCTGTGTACATTGCTGGTAGGATGGTCAGTGTCGTTGTGAAACTGGTGTCATTGCTGGATGTAGTGTTGAGAATGGATAAACGTCCGCTAGAATTATTCTCAGTGGATGAGTACGTAATTCCGTCATGAATCCATCTCAGTTCAACCTGATCAATGGATTGGTTTACCATACAGACCATTGAAACGATGATTGGGAGAGAGGTAGTGTTACTGCCAAACGTGTAAACTGGCTTCATCTCTTTAATTGGAGCTGAAGAAACATCTACAGCAAAGAGAGAGAGAGAGAGGAAGGGTTGTTATTATTATGATGATGAAGGCTTGTTATGATATCTCTTACTTGTGAACAAGAGGATTGCTGCTGCTGAGAAAACAGCAAACAAGAGCTTCAGTGTAGACTCCATTTTAACTAAAGTGCTTCCAAGCGGGAAGATGGACTCCTCTCTTTTGATAGAGCTCACTTAGAACTGATACGAGGCTTTTAAAGAATCATAAATGAGCTTCGCGTACCTTCTACCAAGAGGAAGAGAAAGAGGTGATCTATGACCGCAAGGGACACTCAGTGATTGCATCCGGTTAGGCAAGTAACAATCGTGGGTGTTAGTAAATACAACTTTGCTGTACTTCAAACTTTTTTGCTTGCAAAAATAACAAAATCACATAAAAATAAAACAAAATTAGATTTCCACACAAAACAAAAGTTCAAATTACAGTGACAGATCATACAAGATGCTATCCCTGGCCATTACATGTGACCTGCGGCTAACGTTCAAATCCTTTGGCTCCATCTTCTCTCTTATCAGCTGGTGATTCTCTGACATGGTGACATTCACATAGAACTCATCGCTGCTACCGGAAACACTCTTTTTTATTTTCTTACAAAAGCAAATCTTTCTAAGAAACGTCCAAACTCCAAACACCGCATAGCAAGCCACAGGTATCAGACAGAGACAGTATACCACTAATATCAGCATTCTTGATGTGCTTTTACCAGCTGTCTCATTAGTTATGACCTCCACATTCCTCTGATCGCAGACAATGCTACATAATATTTGTAAATCAACCAGCAAAAGAGTATCGATAACATTGAGCCATTTAATTGAATAAGGTTGGAAAACAAAGTGAGCCACAGTAGCCCCAATCAATACAGCAGCCCCCAAAGAGAAGCTGGCTGGATACGTTATTAGTGGAGTTGATACTATCCATGTTCCAAAATAAAGTGAGCAGCACCAGCGCCATTTGTCTTTATAGCAGGACTGGCAGACATCAAGTACTGCCTTCATACGTACAGTATTGAACCTCTTAGTCTTCGCTAGAAATGGTGACAGTATCATGAAGATGATCACGATATAAAGAGAGACATAAATTGGGATGACCAGCAGCCATATAAAGGTATAGTTTGAGACGATGTTGACATTGGGGTCAATGAAATATGTCATTCTGTTACCAAACCTTAACGGGAGGAGTAAACTGTTGCTTGTCCTGGCTAGTGACCAGAAAGTAACGAGTGCCAATAAACAAATAACTTGAAGTGGATTATCGAACATTTTATTGGAGTAACGTGGGCAGCAGTTAGTGATTATAACTATACTGACTATCATTGCTATGATGACAAGAGGACCAATGTAGTTCAACAGCTGCTGCCCTACACCAGTAGATATTGGAGTACAGGCTGGTATGTACCCTAAGATGCTGTTATCCAGGATAAAGAGGGAGAGTATGGAAAAGTACACCTCCAGTGGTTCAAATGCCTCGTAAGCACCAAAAGGCTCCAATCGTCCAAAGGCAATGAATATGAGAGGTCCCAGGGATATCCCAAAGGTGAGGCCTCCTTTAAACTTTATAATACCAATCCAGACCAGTCCAACGATAACGTTTATTATAATGGCGAGTAGGATGAGACCCAGCAGATTCCAACCACAGTTAGCACCTTTGACGCACTGTACCCCAAGGTATGTGAAATGGTAGCCATCCCTACACTCTTTACATTGTTTCTTACCTTTATTGAAGAGGCACTGCTCATCTTGAGCCTCAGGAAGAGAAACAAACGTCAAGGACTCCTCATTCTTTATCTGGCATCTACTCCCGCTCAGACAGTATGGATAATAGCACAGGTGAATAATGAAATTATGATCAGTATCATTATTGCCATTATCCTCTTCCTTACCAAACCAGTTCCCAGCTTTAATGCATGCTTCACCTTCCACTAAAGAGCACTGGTAATACTTAGGATCACAGACACTCTCACTGCAGCATTTGCAAGTTGCAGTGACACTGTCAAAGAAGAATCCTAACGGACAGTCCGTAACGTCAATCGTTAAAGTTTTATGAGAGTCTTGACAGATGAGGTGGAGTTGTATATCATCAAATGCATCAGATATGTTCCTGTTGATAGTAAGGTCTGTTGTGACTGTACTCTCTTTCTCAAGCAGCTGCACTTTTGACCCAGAAAGAGGTAATATCTGTGACGGACATACACGTCCATTGCATGTTAGGTATACGGTAGCTTCACAGATTGCAGTAGAAGTACTCTTAAAACGAATGAATTGTCCAGGGAATACACTAATACGAGATTGACTTCCATCAATACTTGAAATATGAACATCATAATAGAGTTGAGAGGTGTAGCTAGTGAGCGTACAGTTACCTGTAGGTAGTGAAGGACCATAGTCAAATAAAACGTCATTTCCTTTGGTCAAGGCAGAGTTGTTTACAAAGCTAATATTTCCCAGTTCAAAAATGGAGCATGGTATCTCATCAATTGCTGATAGGTCAATGTATACAGCCCCACCTAGTAATGCAACATTTGAATTAAATTCGACTGTTGCTGTGTCTTCTATCTCAAAGACAGAAGTCAAGCCATCCTTTATGAAACTGAGAGAAAGGCCACCTCCTTTTAGTGCTGTGTTATTTCTTATCGTTATGCTGCTCCATTCTTCAAATGTTAGATAAGAATTTGAACCTTTGAGAGCAGTTCCGACATTATCCTCAATGATAATGTCTCCATAAAAACTAACCTGTGAGTTCTCAACACTGATCAACTGAGACGTTGAGAACAAAGAGACATAAGCTCTGATAGACCTGATATTGACGTCTGATATATCAATACGTCTGATATATCAATACGTTTGACTATACCTGAATTAACGAATACGCTACCTTTAGACTCCTCAAAGCTGCTGTTTGAAATGGTTAACTGTGCTAGCAAAAATTTAACACTGACAGCTATAGCTGTGTTGTCATAAAATACAGAGTTTTCCAATTCCACTGTGCTCTTGGTGGAATCAGTATCAATGCTGATTAGACTGTTGTCAGACTCGAAATGATTCTGATGAAATGAAAGATGAGAAAGATAGACCTTACACTTATTTGATGCTATAGAGATGACAGATGTGAATAGATGATCACTTTTAGTAAAAGAACAACCAGTAACAATTATCTGTATCAATTCCTCTAACCTGTTTGAAATAAATAAAGCTGCAGGGGCTGTCATTTCTAATTTACCGTCAGTAAGAATCTCACTATCAGTGAAATGACAATTGCTAATCGTGATATACTGACTGTGTGTTGAGATTTTGCTTATGAAGTTATCCGTTAGTTGTGCCAGGGAATGATTGAACATTGTTTTTGACATATAGACTGATGGAGCTGTCAGCTCTAATAGTGCTCTGTCAAAATGATTAGCAGTGAAGGAGGAAGAGATGATGGTGATATTCTTCCTGATATTTGTCATCTTCCAGTCACTGCTTTTGGTGACAAAGGAATTAATCATGATAAAATTTTGAAAAGCGTTAATAATGACTGATTTTTGAATGACTGCTTTCCTTTTTACGTTAAAATCAAAAGTTAAATTGGAAATAATAATATTACCACTGTTGTGTTTGGACTTTAGCTCTAAGACAGGAGATAATACAGTGGTTGTGAATATAGTCACTGATCCATCTCCACATAAAATCAGACAAGAGAAATCAATATCAAATGTCACTCGAATCACTGATGATATCAACTGATCACTTGATATCAACACTAGCCATGTTGTATTAGTAGTACTGGCCTGAAGATTAATCTGATTCAATGTATAGTTAAGAGACTTACAAGATACAGAGTCATCAGTGATACAATGAGGTCCATCAGTTCCATTGATACTAATACTGATGATACGTACTGGGTCTCTTGTACAGAAAGAGTCTTCTTCTAGTATCGACTGACAGTGAGAAGCTGGTGTAGTAGAAACTGGTAGGAATAGAGTGGAACTTAAAAAGAGGAGGAGAATCAGGAATCTCTTCATGACTGATTGTAAGCAAGAGGACAGTTGAATTGACAGCACATCAATAACTACTATAACCACACCATGTACTATGGAAGCTGTTGCATACTTCAAGTGTACATCTTCATGAGTCACCAGATAAAGAGTGTGACACTGTGTATTCATGGTCTTGTGTTGTGTAGAAAGGTTGAGCTGATTCTGATCAAGTTTAGATTTTTTTACAAATCTTTAAGTTGTTTCGAAATTGGACCAAAGTCCCTGTACACAATACAGCTAGGGTCAGGAGCAAAAATTTGTCAAAAATGAAAAGGAGAGAATGCTCCATTTTCTAATTATTTTGACATATTTACAAGTCTGTGATGAGTGACACTTGATGTCTCATGTGGTGGTTAGCATGACTCGTGTTGCTTGAAGTATTTAGCACTTATTAAACCAGGGCCCTGTGAATGTACTTAGAGCTGCCATCTTGTTCCAATAATAGCCTCTCTCTTCTTGTCAATGACTGCTGTACTGATGAACAATTTAATTGTAATATTCTCTGCTGCTTTAATCTTTTTCCAGATACAAAACTGTAAGTATTTTGAGGTTAATGTATAAAGAATATTATTATTAACAGGTAGTCCTGTATCTGCTCCAATGGAAGATATTGTATTTAAGGATGGTAGTATCAGTGTAGTGACATTAGGACCAGATAACATTGAGTCTTCAATCAGTATCAACTGTACTGTACTCAATAATGGATCATTTCAGTTGGACTGGTTACATAATGATCAGCAATTATTCGGTGATAGGGTCATGATTGATATAACTAGAAGATCAACAAAGTTACAAATAACTAACATATCATTCCATGATGAAGGAGTCTACACCTGTATAGTGTACCGCCAAAATGACCCACGGGAATATCAAAAGAACTTTAAAGTTGAATTAAAAGGTGAGATCCAATAATAAAAGAAATTTTTCACTTTCTCTTTATCATAGCTACATTAAGAAGTCACCCGACCGCTAGCAGCTGTCACGATAACATTGGATTGAGCTGTGAGATGAGTGGCTACCTCAGACCAGAAATAAAATGGATGGAAAACAATACTAAAACTATATCCAACAGCGAGCAATACACTGTACTAACAACTGCAGGTAGGAACCAGACCTCCATTAATACTAAAGGAGATTCCTCTACCAGTGTAGTAAGCATACTCTCCATTCATGATCCGTTAAAAGTTAAAGACTCTTCCTTCACCTGTTCAGTACCTGGTACTGATCTAAACATTACTCTACCTTTTACACTAAATACCTCAACACATCACGAGGATTTAACGTCCATTGTCCCTCCATTGTCCACCAGTCCTTCGTCCAGTAGTCCAGTGTCCACTGTTCTAGTTACGCTATTGTCCATATTGGGTTTAGTGACAATACTCCTGTGTATTTCTGTACTGTCTCTTGTAACGGCAACTTTTTACTGCAAAAGTAAAGAGACTAGAAAAGAAGTTCCGTCAAACATAGTTGGAGGTACCCTACAGTCGGTGATACTAACAAATAATGCAGCATACTCCAGTGCACTGACGGGTAATGTTGAAACTGAGACGATATACGAAGAGATAAAGACGTCACAAGATGAAGATTATGATGATGGATACATTTAGTTAGAAAAATGAACAAAACTTTAAGTATCTGAGAAAACATTGTATTTGCAAGTATGAAACTATTTAATCATTGCATACTTTAGATAGCGGTAGTTTAAGTTCCATAAACTTCACCTGTAAATGATGTTATCTATTGCTAGCTGTAGTGTGTACGACAGTTTGTAACTAATGGCAAACAAAGTAGCCATTGTTTGGACAACTATTACTTCTTTAGTTAAAATAAACTTTATAAACATCTCTCGTCCTCCCCTAAACATACCTCTGCCTCCTTTGTCCCTCCCCTCTCTCTCTTCTGAAAGAAGAAAGAAGATCTGTACCTGATGGCTATCACCATTAGTGTTGAGGTAGTCCTCATTATTTTAGCTTTGGGCATCCTTTTCTTTAAGTTTGGACTCATCACTTGCCTAGTCTACAGATACTGCAAGAAAGTGAAGGAGACAGAGACTGGGGCCCTCCCTCAAAATGAAAGCAGTAGATATGAACTGATGGTGTGAAATCTTCTCAAGTAGTAGGAGGGTAATCCTTCTAATGTGATACAGTCTCTAAGTATTTCTTACAACTACTGTACATAATTTCTCAACTAATTTTATTAAAAAACTATTGAAAACTTTTTATACAAATGATGCATTTAAGGGTGAAATGGTGAATTCAAAAAAATAATAAAAAAATAATAAAATAAAAATAATAAAAATAATGTATGCATTTTCAGTTAATGATACAGTGTTGAGAGTCTTTTGTGTAGTTCTTCAAAACTTGGTCTATCGACAGCTCTGGGTCTCCAACAGGACGTCATGATGTGGTACAAGTCGGTTTGGCAACACTCTGGTTTATCTAAAACCTTTAGACTCCCATTTAAAGCTCCTTCAATGATCTGCTTATCTTTCATGTTAGTGTATGGTCGCTCCAAACATAAATTGAACATTTCCCAGAGAGTCACTCCAAATCCCCACACATCCGATTTCTCAGAGAAACGACCGTAAAAGCATTCCGGAGCCATCCAGCGAATCGGTAAAATGGCCGCCCCGGTTAACCTGTAATAGCACGAGTCGTATAAGTTCTTGCTGAGTCCAAAATCAGCAACTTTCACGAGAAAATTATCACCAACAAGACAATTTCTAGCAGCCAAGTCTCGGTGAATGAACTTGCAGGAAGAAAGGTACCTCATGGCGTCAGCAATCTGGAGGGACATGTCGACTAGCTTGTAATAAGAAAGGGTTTTATTGTAAGTTTCCTGTCCCATATTAACGGACTTGTAACACTGAAGGAAGGTCTGTAGGTCACCATTCTTCATGAACTCTAACATTATGAACTTCTCTTCTCTCCAGCAAACTGCCAGGATCTGGACTACGTTCCTGTGTCTCAGTCTCGACATGTACTTTACTTCTTTTTGGAAACATTTTAAATCTTTTTCGGTTGCATTTTGGTTGAGGAACTTCACGGCAACTTCATGAGACCTGGTTCTATCAGAATCAGTCCCAATGCCAATATCAGCGGCACTGAGACCCCTTGTGTGGGCTAAATGCACTTGTCCAAATTGGCCCATTCCAAGAGTACCATCAGTGACAATGTTGGACGGTTCAATCTCAATAATGGTCAAGTTTAAACTAGAGCTGGTACTATTGGACCTGGTGTATAATGGCGGACTATAGTTGGAATCCTTTTCATAATCAATATGGGCCTCTGAATATGTCCGTAGAATTTGAGCTCCGTTATTGAAGAGAGAGGGAACTTCAAGAGAATAACAGGTTCCCTTGAGAGGTAGGTGTGGCTTCAGAAGCTCCTCCCTCCCCGTTTGTTGGCTGCTAGTTCCACCATTACCATAATCATATTCATCACTAACACGAGGAGAAGGAATTGAAGTTACGCTTTCTGGTGAGTCAACTCCACCATCTTCCATCCGAAGACAATGATAATGTTGATTGGTTTCCATGCCAACAATATCATGGGATATCGTAACCAAAGGGGCGTGTCTCTCCACATGATAGGAGGGACTTGTTACTGTCGTCTTTTCTGCTGACTCGACACAATAAGGAGCTTCGTTAGCGATGGTCTTCTCTTCAGTTGAAAGGACTTCATCAACTGATTCCGTTCTCTTCTTGTATCTAATGCAAACTATTAGAAGAACAATGAAAAGGACACCGACAAATAGTGCCAACACTAAAGCAACCACTAGGATATGTATGTTCCTTTCCGTTAGCTTGAGGGAATTGTCCAATGAAGTGTCGGACATTTTTATATCTATAAAAAGAAATAATAATAATAAGAATAGTAAAATTATTATTTTAAAGTGCTGGTTTAGCAACTTAAAAAATTCGTAAAAAATCCAATTGTGATCGGAATCAGCTCAAACTTTCTATGCAACATAAGTACATGTATATGTATCAGAAAATGTAATAAAAATCGAGAATTCTTTACTTTCCATTTTGGGCAAAATTTGGCTCACGAACCTGTACTATAGTACAGGGACTTTTGTCCGATTTTGGAGCAACTTAAAAAAATCATAAAAAAATGCAAACTTGATCGGAATCAGCTCAAACTTTCTACGCAACATAAGTACATGTATATGTATCAGGAAATGTAATAAAAATGGAGAATTCTCAACTTTTCATTTTTGGCAAAATTTGGCTCATGACCCTGTACTATAGTACAGAGACATTTGTCCAATTTTGGAGCAAATTTGTAAATAATCAGAATCAGCTCAAACTTCCTACACAACATTACTGGTTACTAAACAACATTATTAATACACTCCCACACGTCAGGGCTGGGTGGGTTACAAGCAGTTTCATTGTTGTTTTTATTAATAATTAATGAGAGTCCAATCAGAGGGTGTGGTGTGCTATACGCCCACTCTAATCATATATGGACGTTGTTTGTGAGAGATAACATAACCTAAACACTATGGTGTTATTTTACTATTATCTACTCTTGATACCAGTAGTAGGGGGACTTGTTAGTCTACAGATGTTACAGTTTTTATGTATTAATATAATGAATCAATATGAGTTTAGGAGAGACATGATGTCAAACAATAAAGATACTCCTTCTTGCTATGACTAATGGTCAAATGGTGTGTGCTACACGATAGATTAGGGCAGACTTAAATATTTAGACTGAGTGTCTTGTGTTGGCAAATTAACATTAAAATAATTTGTAATATTGTGACTTGGAAATCAATTCCCATCTCTTTGCATTAATCCTTAAATAATACATCATGAAATATACTGTGACAGTAACAATAGTAACACTACTATCAGAATGATATACATAACGTCACGATGCCAGTTGGTGACACGCACTAATGTTATTATAAAAATTAAAGGAAGTTCTTACAGCATTAGTGCTAAAGGAAATCATACCAATCATTGGAGAGTAGTGGGTCTAATCTCATATGCAGATATTATGATAATAACAGAATCATGTACTGTTGGGCCAATACCAGACTCTATTGTAGACTGAGATTAGTTCTAAATTAAGTAAATGAATTGCAGGTACAGACGTGAGGTCATGCCGTACCAGTCTTGCTAATAGTGTCACCAGGCTACTGCATAGTGTAGCGGTCACATCACTCCTTATAATAAGAAGAAGAATTGTGTGACAGTTCCAATAAACACAAATTGTCCTACCACACACAGTCTTTGTGCTCTAATGACTACAAGACTAGTTAAAATAACAATAATAGCTATCATTTAATGAATGAGAGCATTAAAACCAACAGTTAAGATCACGTATTAACTCATGGACCAACTTCCTAACTAAATGCCTCTTAATGATAGCCCTAGGCAGCCATAGATGAATATGGCAGACAACAGGTCCTCATTATCCCAATTTGTACTTCATTAGTGAAGGCTTGGCTGGGTCACTGGAGGAATTCTCATACCAGAGGAGCTAGTTAACTCAAGAATTAGCCTACATGCTAATACATGCCTTATATGTAGAGTACACACAAATATCTTCCTAACAACATTAGTGCCTTCTTTAAAGGCTTTACTGCTGACCGGACTTGTTGTTGAGTTCAATGGGGACTGTCTCTCACTGTTTGCATTGTTCCCTAATAGTCAGACTAAGGCAAGAAAAACACTCATTGTTTCCCTCTAGTTTCAGACTAACAGGCTATATACTTGTACTTCGACAATAAATAGGGAGATATTTGTGAAATGGGTTGGTGTTACTCTTCGTTTTAATTGGGAAAAAATAATAAGAATTCTCTTTCTTAATCTTCCATCAAAAGCATAACAGCTTCTAGTGACAATGAGGTTAACAGCAACTCACAAAGGAAGATGACTACATGCTTTATACAAAGCAGTGTCTCTGGCCCATTGGAATCAATTACTATTAAACGTGGGGTGGCCCATGGCAAGGCAGGGTAGGGCAAGGCAAGTTATGGTACGTAATTAATTGTTGCTGAATAAACCAATGCAACAATATGTGACTGGTCACTCCTACACAGAGTCACATACACTCACTGAATTCTATAGCCCATAGCTGCTGATATGTAGCCTAACAATCACTGAAGCTCATGTGGTAGTAGGGGGAATGAATCTTGTAGTTTTGATGTACTAGCAATGTTAGCAAGGAATGAGGGACTGGGTTATAAATTCCTTTTGTTATTGATCAGTGTTGTTCTGTAGATAGGGACACATGTTCTTTTAAAAGATGCTCTGGTTGTCTTTGTTGTGAAACAAAGGCTAAGATCAGAAAGGGCTTTTTCTCAGAATCTTAATATCATCTCAATATCACAATGAGGAAACTATGCACACACACACACACTCATTGTGATATCATCATGAGAACTTACTATAACTTAAAAGGCTAACATATAAATGATACACACACTGTCATGAGTCATTATACTCCCACACTACAGACCACCTCACAGGAGGACAAGTTGTATGGATCAGTAAACAGGGTTGAGTAGTACACTGACTACAAGCCAAGAGGATATCAGGTTGCATGAGCTCAAGGAACTAGTTGCAATATGCAGACAGTCATAGTTACTATACAGCATCAATGTGTGGCCTCATTGAGCAGCTTACACTGCAACATTGTTAGAGGGGCAAGGTTGCTACTGCTAACATTAAATGTTTGCTGATGCTAAAATGAAGTTTACTTTGGATAAATCAGTAATTAGTTTAAATACACAAGCACTGGAGCATTGTTGTTTATCATAGCACATATGGTGGAGCTAGGGCAGCAGGCAAACAACAATGGCGTTTAAAAATAAAATAATACAAATAAACATGTGCAAGAGATGATGTACTACTATAAACTATGCAGATCCACAGCAAATGAATGAATTGAAATTACTTCAATTTATTGCACTAATTATTACAAAATGGCTACACAATTTAGACCCAAATATCCCTCCTATTTCATCAACTTACCTCAGTCCACTGTAGCTGCAAAGAAGGAGGACTATTTCTTGAGGTATTCTTTGTTCTGGTCAGCTGGAACGAGGCACCAAAAACGAGTGGATGATCTGTTTTTGGCCTTCGCTGTTTGGAGCCTTTTCCTTTTCAATCATCATCGGCTTCATAATGCTGGGAAAGGAAGTGCGTCATAATGAAAGGAAGCCTGACCGCATTATCATGAAATTACTTGAAATTCAAATAATTTTAGGAAGGACATACACCACAGCATCACACTCGACTTTAAAACTACAATAAAACTTAAGATAATTATCATAAAATTTTTAAACATTATTTATTGTTCTAAAACTATAGAATCTCTACAGTGTAAATTATTTATTAAAAGTGTAGTGAAAGAAAGGAGGATCTAATCTACTCTACTAGTTCCAGTGGAGTACGTCACAGTACTGGTAGAGTCTTTGATCAGCATGAACGAGCTCTTTGTGAACTTGAGCAAATGTCTTCCTTTCTTTTGACCAACACAACTTAACAATGACAGAGAATACTCTCTCCGGGCAGGTCTCTGGTTTCTCAAGTAGGACACAGTTAAAACCTTTGAGTGCATTATCAATGACTTCCTGATCCGTCATGAAGGAGTAAGGGTAGTCCCTTGACATCATGTATATCTCCCATACTGTCACACCGAATGCCCACAGGTCAGTGACCTCTGAGAACTTGCCATAAAAACACTCTTTAGCCATCCATCGTATCGGCATCTTGGCTTTACCAGAAACCTTGTAATAAGAAGAATCGTAGAGATTACGACTGAGACCAAAATCACCAACTTTGACAATGTAGTCCGGACCAACAAGGATGTTTCGTGAAGCGAGGTCTCTATGAATGAAATTACGAGAAGAGAGATAGGACATTCCGTTAGCTACCTGGATACAGAATGAAAGGAGGATATTGGGACTTAGTTCATTCTCTTCTGGAGGATGAGAGTCAGTGAAACTGTGATCCATTAAGAACTTATTCAAATCACCATTCTCCATATACTCCATCACTATGAACTGCTCTTGACAACTTTCAGCACTAACGGCTAAAAGGCGGACCACATTATTATGATCCAGCTGGGACATGAACTTTATTTCTTTCTTTAAGGCAATTATTGATTCATCACTTTGATTCTCTCTGATCTTTTTCACAGCGACTCGAACTGTTGCAAACTTATCATCATCAGTCTTATCCAACCTCAAATCCTTAAGACTCAGTCCAATGGTCTTAGCTAACACAACTTCTCCAAACTGTCCTGTCCCAAGCAGAGCTATCTCCTCAAAGCTCTCATTCTTTATTCTCATGACTTTATTCACTTTTGGCTTTGCATATATCACATCATCATCATCTGCTGGTGGATTTGTTTCTTCTGGTATGTCTGGTATATCATAAAGGACATCTGTTAATGTGTTTCTTTGAAATAAAGGAATATCATTTTCTGGTATGAAATCTGTTTCATCATTTCCTTCTGATCTAAAGCTGCTTTTGTTGTTAGCAGTAATGTTATAACTGATCTTATACATTGGTACTTGAAGAGATCTGTTGGCACATCTCTTTCTACACTTCACCAGGACTATAGTGAGGAGGATCAAACCAACTATGATGAACGCTACAATTCCTAATGATACTGACAAACCAACAACAACTGTATCCAGGCCTCCATTAGCAACTGCAGGAGTAGTTTGAATAATTGTACTGCTGGGTATAAATGCTACAGTAATACTTGTTGTGGTGAAAGCAGGTGAATTGGTTGTACCTGTGTAAGTAAACAAGGAATGGAGAAATGATGTGTACTTGGACTACACAATGGTTTGTTTGGACTCTGTGTAGGTGTAGGTTGCTTTTATTAGAAGTTTTGATAATAAGTATATGCACATATAGCTTGTTATTTCAACATTAATGGAACAACATGAAAGCAATTAATGAACACTTACCAGTAGCAGTGGCAATGGATGCACTACTCGAGGAGATGGTATTACTGGTTGAAGATGAAACTATAAAATACAGTAAATATTATTTAAAATATATAAGTATTTTACTTCTTATTTGAATAATTTTTGATGCCGTACTCCCAGCAGTACTATTAGCAGTACAAGTGTAGTTTCCTTCATTAGAGTAAGAGAGTCCATTAATGTTCAGTATACTAGTTCTGGTAGCATCTTCAACGAATAATTCATCAGTTATAGGTATAGTATTATTGAATAGCCAGTTCCAGTGAAATGATCCATTATTGAGTACAGTACAGTTGATACTGATTGAAGACTGAATGTTATCTGGCCCTAATGTCACTACACTGATACTACCATCCTTAAATACAATATCTTCCATTGGAGCAGATACAGGACTACCTGTTAATAATAATATAATAATACATCAACCACACATTAAGTATCTTACCAGCAAATAACTGAACTTCACTGACTAAAAACCAATTGATTCTACTGTTGGATGGGAATATGAAATCAATCTGAACTGTTATCAATTTTTGATTTAGGTGTAATGTGACAGTTCTCAGTTGAGAGTCAGTTAGTGTCAGTTCATCATTATTAGAGAAGAAATAAGGAACAGGAGGTAAGCTTATTGATTGTAGAACCTTTAACTGAGGCAGTCCAATACCGTCAGCAGGAGAATTGAAAAAATACAGTACTACTGTTGATACTCTGGTACTGGTAGTGACCTGGAAAGTCACTCTACTGTTATTTTGACTAAAAGCAAAGAATTTTCCTAATTGACCATTGAGTGAATCCATTGGACCAAAGTCTCCATTGATTAGTTTAGAAGTAGAGTTAAAACAAACCACTAGAGTAGGACAGTTAGGATCAGTTGTAGTGAGATTAGATCCATCAAAGGAAGCTGGGTTAGTCACATCATACACAGCTGAAACTAAAAAATATTAAATTGAATCTAAAGCTGATGTTCAATCACTTACTCTGAGAAGAAACCTTGACAGTAAAAAGAGACAAGAAGACAACAACTATCAACTCCATGTTATTATTCCTAAGCACCTGCTGCTGCTAGCCTCCTGACGGCTGACCTTATAACTACTAGATAAACAATCAGTAATGTTTATCATTAGCAGTTTAGACTAATTTATGCTAAAAGCATCAATTAAATAAAAAAATACACAAGACAGACTAAAAATACATTAATAATAATAACAACAATAATAACAATAATAACAATAATAATAAAACACACACACAGCATGAAAAATAGAGAAAAATGAAAGACAAAAATACAAATAATGCAGTTATTATTATCATTATCTAACTGGAATACAGAGTCTTTTCTACGTTAACCAAAGAGCTGTATATATCAGCGAATCCTCCCCTCTCTTCAGTCTGATACTCCCAGCACAACTTCTTAATGATATTGTAAACTGCTTGAGGACACGTTGTAGGTCGAGTGGGAAGGACCCGGTACTGACCTTTAAGAGCATCATCAAGCACTTCAGCATCCGTCAGTTGATGGTAAGGAACATCACGGGACATGTTATAGACCTCCCATACCATTATACCGTACGCCCACACATCAGACTTCTCTGAGAACTTCCCGTAAAAGCATTCGGTTGACATCCATCGTATCGGCATCTTAGCTTTACCAGAAACCTTGTAATAAACTGAATCATAGAGATTACGACTGAGACCAAAATCACCAACTTTAACGACGTTATCTCTACCGACGAGAATATTACGAGTTGCAAGATCTCTATGAATATAATTACATGAGGCAAGATAGGACATTCCATTAGCAATCTGGATACACATGGAGAGGAGGATATTAGGACTGAGGTATGACTCAGGAGGAGGATGGGACTCAGTGAAGGTGTGGTTGAGCAGGTGCTGATTCAAGTCACCATTCTCCATATACTCCATCACTATGAACTGCTCTTGGCAACTTTCAGCACTAACTGCTAAAAGGCGGACCACATTATCATGATCCAGCTGGGACATGAACTTTACTTCTTTCTGAAACGCCTCCAGAGCCATTTTGTCCTGATCTTCTCTGACCTTTTTGACAGCAACTTTAATAGAAATGGATCTGTCATCATTGGTAGAGCTGAGGCGTAAATCCTTAAGACTTAGATCGATGGTAGTCGCAAGAATGACTTCACCGAAATTACCAACCCCAAGCATTTCAATGACATTGAGATTATCAATTGTGACTTCAGTTATTGTGTTCAATACTTTGCTTGGCTCTGCATAAATGGCTCCGTCAATGTAATCTGCTGACTCTGTGAATTTAAAAGGATCGGTCTTACCATAATAAATAGGATTATTGACGTTTAGCTCATCTTTCTCACTCTTCCATTGTGGCTCAGAATAAATGTCGCCTTCACAATCTCCAGCATAAGAATAATGACCAGTGATGACTGTAGGGGACTTATCATACAAAGCATTGTCGATCATTTGGAAACCAGCGAATGTTGATATCTGAGCTAGTTTAGGTTTATTAGTTTCTTTTAATTCAATGACATCATACTCAACTGCACTGAAGTTCTGAGGAGGTATTGGAGGAGGTTGTTCTTTATGAACCACAGCGTATTGCTCCATGCCAGCCTCCTCCTCTTTGGACTGACCGAGATCAGTAACATTATACTTGATACTGGTTCTTAGAGGAGCGTCTTTAATGAAAGGTTTTTGCTTACGTTTACAGTATATGACAATGATGATACAGACTATCACTGCTATTACTAGTAGAACAATCAGTACTATGGTAACTGCTAGACCAATGACCAGTCCAGTGTTAGATGATGGAGAGGTATTACCAGTAGGAGCTGGTGTAACTGATTGGGTTTCTGAAAAATAATAAATTAATGTTATTACTACACTATTCAATGGGCGACACTCATCACCAAAAGTTTTAAATAACTTGTGAACCTAAATAAACCATGGACTATAGCCTTGGGTATTTTTCAGAATTTTGGCGTTTTCTTAAAATGGCCGTAACTTGAAAAATTGAAGTTGGAATCACTTCAAACTTTCTACACAGCATAAGGACATTAATATGTATCAGAAAATGTAATAAAAATTGGGGGACATTTTTTGGCCATTTTTTGGAAAAAAACCATGGACTATAGCCTTGGGTATTTTTCAGATTTTTGACGTTTTCTTAAAATGGCTGTAACTTGAAAAATTGAAGTCGGAATCACCTCAAACTTGCTACACAGCATAAGGACATTAATATGTATCAGAAAATGTAATAAAAATTGGGGGACATTTTTTGGCATTTTTTGGAAAAAAACCATGGACTATAGCCTTGGGCATTTTTCAGATTTTTGATGTTTTCTTAAAATGGCTGTAACTTGAAAAATTGAAGTCGGAATCACCTCAAACTTTCTACACAGCATAAGGACATTAATATGTATCAGAAAATGTAATAAAAATTGGGGATCATTTTTTGGCCATTTTTTGGAAAAAACCATGGACTATATAGCCTTGGGCATTTTTCAGATTTTTGACGTTTTCTTAAAATGGCTGTAACTTGAAAAATTGAAGTCGGAATCACCTCAAACACAGCATAAGGACATCAATATGTATCGGAAACAAGTATAGAAATAGATTATTCTCTCATTTTTATTTTTGGTAAAATTTGACCAAAGAACATGTGGGCCAGATTCTTGACTAACTTTAATGCTCACAAAATGAATAAATAAATCAGATGTGTACCTGTAGATGTAGATTGAATAGATTGGCTGGTCGAAGAAATGGGTGTCTCTATAATCATAGTGGGCCCCTGTGTGGTACCTAAGGGAAGGGTGACCTTTGAACTAACTGCAACTAGTTAACTGTTGATACTACCAGTATAACTACTTAACATTCAACTTTTACTAAACAGAGTAAACTGCTTACATACACTGTATAATAATTATAATAATTTGTTGCAGTAAAATTCAACATTAATACTTCACTTACTAGTACTGGTACTGGTGGGCATTATACTGCTAGTAACTGGTGAAACTACTACAGAAATTACAATAAAACATTACTTCAATATATTATAACAAGTTCACTTTTTAGCTCAATAATTTTTGATGCCATACTCCCAACAGTACTGTTAGCAGTACAAGTGTAGTTTCCTTCATTAGAGTAAGAGAGTCCATTAATGTATAGTATACTAGTTCTGGTAGCATCTTCAATGAATAATTCATCAGTTATAGGTATAGTATTATTGACTAGCCAGTTCCAGTGAAATGATCCATTATTGAGTACAGTACAGTTGATACTGATTGAAGACTGAATGTTATCTGGTCCTAATGTCACTACACTGATACTACCATCCTTAAATACAATATCTTCCATTGGAGCAGGTACAAGAGTATCTGTTAATAATAATAATATAATACATCAACCACTCATTAAGTATCTTACCATTAAAGAACTGAACTTCACTGACTAAAAACCAATTGATTTTACTGTTGACTGGAAATATGAAATCAATCTGAAATGTTGATAAACTTTGATTGAGTTGTAATGTGACAGTTCTCAGTTGAGAGTCAGTTAGTGTTAGTTCATCATTATTAGAGAAGAAATAAGGAATAGTTTTATTGCCAGACAAAATAACCTCTAGCTGAGGCAGTCCAATACCGTCAGCAGGAGAATTAAAGAAATACAGTACTACTGTTGATACAGCAGAGAACGCAGTAAAGGTCAGTCTACTGTCATTTTGATTAAAAGCAAAGAATCTTCCTAATTGACCATTGAATGAATCCATTGGACCAAAGTCTCTATCAGTTAGTTTAGAAGTATTACCAAAACAATTCTTCAGATTCATAGCGGCACAGTTTGAGTTAGGATCAGTTGTAGTGAGATTAGATTCATTAAAAGGAGAAGAATTAATGACATCATAAAGAGCTGGTATATAGTATAATACAATAATTGACTCATTTATTATTCTTACTTGAAATCTGTGAAGATACTGATACTATTAGCAGTGTAAGTATAAACACAACATTAGCCTGTCCAGCCATCACTTGTGAAACTGCAATACAAAGATAATAATACATGTACTAACATCATAGATATATCTATACTAACAACCTAATCTTTGTTTATGTTACTATAGCTCCATATATCAGAGCTACCATGAAACTCTAAACAACACCACTAGCCTACACTAACTGTATCAGTAATGGTGAGTGCCATTATCCTGGCATAACTGTCATCTCAAATCATGTTTGTCTTACCATACTCAGTTTAACTTGCTAGTAGCAACCAATTAACCTGAACATCAACACATTGCAGGTAGTCAATGGTCCGTGTGTACACTAACATCATTCATTCATTGTACATGCAGTCAATGAATGGTATTTAGACACAATAGGGAGGCACTGAAATCACAATAAAATCAACTTTATCATCTGCAAAAATATATACTCTTCTTCTTTGCTAATATATGAAATGTTTCAGCCTCACTACTCTCAGTTGCTGTTGCTCAATTTTATTTTGTTTACACAAAACAAATACAACACAAACTACAAAGGAACAAGATGATACAACCCAATTTACTATTAGGAATTACCAACTACTACAAACACACTCACATGAACTGTATAGTCAATGGTACATGCACTAGACCATGAGAGCAATATTACATTTAGTGTAGTGTTACAAGTAAATATCAAAGGCTTCACTACTTCCTTTTTCTTTATAAGGTAACATTACAGTCAATGATGAGGTTAGGATGGAGGGATAGTAAAGTCAATAACAGGTGGCTGACTGCTGCGATGTTTTTTATACAAAATAATACGTTAGTTTAGGCTTTCTTTTAATAATAAATAAGGCATAGAATCTCTTGTCCAGCAGTTGAAACTGCTGGAATCATTGCTTGGAGTTTGTTTAGTACTGGGTCAACAGTTGCAAGCAATCCTTTAAAAGGCTCCTACTTGTATTATAGCTACAGTCATTGTAAGCAGGTGAGCAGTTAGAGTAGTTTTTACAACTAGTTTATAATTGTCATAACAAGCTAGTGGAATTAATGGTTGACTGCTATTGTTTAATAAAACAAAATCATAACAAAGTCTTGTAGAATTGTACTTTTAAGAGTACAAGTAATTATTACCTTTTCACTGGTGAGTTGTAGAGGACAGCTTTAGGAGGGAATCTTGCAGCAAAGACGACTGGAAAACGCTGTAAATGTTGGCGTGTGACCGTAGAGCAATATGCTCCATTAAATTAACCTCGCCCACATGAGGGAGGGCTTTCTGAAAATTCAATTTCCGGATACTTGGTTAAGCTATTATAGTTAATTAAATGTCCGTTATAATTAAAACTGCATGCACAACTATTGGACTATCAAACAAAATAAAAAAAATAATATCAATAAAGGTAGTTAGTAGTTAGTCGTATGCATGTATCTGGGCAAGACGTCCGTGCAGTTCCTCAAAAGAAGCTCTTGCCTCAGGATCATCAACCCAGCACCTCAACATGATATCGTAAGCATCATTAGAACAAGAGACTGGCTGGGACAGGAGCTTCCTCTCTGGGCCAGCTAGTGCGTTATCAATCACCTCCTGGTCATTGAGTGTCTCGTATGGTTGACACTGACATAAAGTGAATATCTCCCACATCACCACACCGTACGCCCAAACGTCCGTCTTCTCTGTGAACCGTCCATAAAAGCACTCCTTTGCCATCCAGCGGATCGGTAACATGGCCCGCCCACGGATCCTGTAATAGTTATTATCGTAAAGCTGTCGGCTCATACCAAAGTCGGCTATTTTAACAAGAAACTTTTGACCAACGAGACAATTGCGAGTGGCAAGGTCACGATGAACGTAATTCTGACCAGCCAGGTACCTCATTCCTCCTGCAACTTGTAAAGCAATGTAAACGAGAGAGCTACTGGTTATGAAGGAGCCTCCCTCCACCTGGTCGTCAGGTGAGTACTCAAACTTCTGAAGGTATTGGTTGAGGTCTCCATTCTCCATATACTCCATCATTATAAAGGAGTTTTTCTTCAGACACACCCCCAGGATCTGTATTATATTCTCGTGCTTAATACGAGACATGAACTTGACTTCTTTCTCAAAGGTTTCTCGCTCCAACTCGTCAGCATCAGAATGAAGAACCTTAACAGCAACCAGGACACTAATGGTGGTCTGTCCACTACCAAGGTTGAGATCAGAGAGGGTAAGTCCAACCGTGTGAGCTAGGAACACTTTACCAAACTGACCGACGCCCAGTTCACTGATGATCTTCACATTGTCTTCAGTCACCTCTAATAATGAAGATGATTGTGACTTCTCCACTGGCAGTGGTTGAGCATAAGTAGAAGGGAAGGGTAGCAGTCTCTGAGGAGTCCCTCCGTCAGTGACACTGGAGGGACGGGTGAGGTTCTCTTGTGACGTGAAGTGAGACGGATCAAGATTAATATCAAATAATGATCCTTTGTAGTCTGGAATGGGAGGAGGAACATTTGGTGTAGCATAGATATCAAAATTCGATCCTTGAATATTATCGTAGCTTTTATTAAGAGTACTACGAGAGACAGCTGGTTCATACTGGGGGTTCTCCCTCATGAAGTAAGGTTTAGTGCCTGATATCGGAGCAGGGCGTGGCGGGAGTGGCTCAGGTATTTCCTGATACATATCGTTAGCGTCATTGTTACTCATAATCTGAGCCGTGGAGTGGTCTATGTAGCTGTATTCAGTCGTACCGTGGTTAACTGGCAGTGGAGCATCATCTGATAAGAACTCAGTCTCGGAATATGGTAGGATCTTCTTGGGCTGCCTATAGTACGGCTCTACTGGAGTTACCTGCTCCTTAGGGTGTCCCTCTAGCTTAAGAACAGCTTCGTAACTCTTACTCCTCTTCTTCTTACAGACCACACAGGCTAACAGGATAATAATAACCACTATCAGTACAAGCACTAGCACTGTACCACCAGCAATACCACCCACCAGGGCAACAGGAAGAGAAGCAGCTGTTGAAGTAGGCGAAGTTGAGGATGTTGTCATAGTAGAAATTGTAGCAGAAGTAGTATCAGTAGATGCTACCATAGTGGACATTGATGAAGCTATTGATGGAGTGGACAGTATAGTAGATACTAATACAGATGTAGTAGGAGACATGAGGGATGATCCTATAATTGATAATAAATAGGAGTATAACATTATGTTTGACATGAGATCCTAATCTTGTAATGTTGTTCAGTTCACACACAGTACAGCGTAATGGAGCTCTGGTCTAATTCATAAATTTGTAAAAAACCTAATTTTGATCGGAATCAGCTCAAACTTTCTACACAACATAAGAACATGTATATGCATCAGATAGTTCATTTATTACAGTTGCATGCATTAGTAAACATCCTTTTTGAGTTTGGCCAATGATTACATAGCAATGGATGGCATTGTTTATTCTTCAAAGTATCGAATCATAAACACACATCAAAGGGCTGTCGTATTTTTATTCTAAATTTCCCAAAGATCTCCTCTGGGAAAGATAACAATATTCCATAGCTGTAAGATCATTTTTAGTGTAGCCTTATAAACAGGTTTTGTTTGTATTACACTTAAAAAGATGATGAAAGGATTCTCTCATGTAAAGAAAATGTGTTTATATAAGGACTCGCAATAATAATGAAATCTCTTTCGTGAGAATTATTATTAAATTAAACTAATGTGCATATGCCAAATAAGGAGTCTCAAAAGGATATCACTAATGCATAACTGCATGGCAGATCAGGCAGTGCTAGTGTGTGCTAGTGCATGTTAGTGTGTCTAGACAATGTGTTCATGATATCCCTGTTTGCTTTCATTATAGACTCTACATTTGTGAGTATATTATACTATAAAGACTCTTTGACAGCCAAAGTTACACTGCACACAATTGATACACTATTACTGATATTATGATGAGTCTATTACCTGTTGCTGTTGATGAAGTACCAGCCACACTGCTAACTGTAGAGCTAGTACTAGTACTAGTACTGCCTGTACCTGTAAATGGATAGTGAGTAATAAAGATGAAAGAAGAGAAGTCTTTAAAGAATTCACAGTATAGTCTACCATAATAGCCACACATTTTTACCATCAAACAGAATCAGTAGAACTAGCAGTGGAGCTCTTGCATAGCTCTGGATTCACCAATTAAACATTACTACTGGTTTACCAAGGGAATGTACAGAGGGGCACAAACACATTATGGATTGTGTACTTAGTAACTTTTAAAATCAAAATATCATAAAGAACACAATAAATAATAACAGTGTGTGTTTATTTTAAAAAGGTGATCAAAACAAGTGAAAGAATACAGCACTGCAGTGCTCCTATATTTAGTATTTCTATTACTGATAATTCTCTTATAGCCAGTGTGTACTGGATACAAACATTGGGACAAATCAATGATACAACAAACAAACATGGCCCACCCTCACTTTGAGCCACAGTGGATCATAATGTGATCAGAGACACAGCCCAGCAGTACAATAAGATTAGTAGCAGAGATCATAAAATCACTATAAACTGTTATCATAACTTTAACCACAGAACGACTGATCATCCATCAATACAACAGGTGGCCCCACACAGTAACTCTACTCTACAATAATTCATTTATAATATACTCACCTATACTCACTGTGATGGATTGTTGTTGATCAGTGCCTGGTATCTCACAGGTATAAGTACCTGTATCACCATTGAGATTATTAAGTATACTAATGATACCACTGGTAGTTGCTCCATTGGTATCAATAGCAGCATTAGGATCACCAGTTGCAGTAGTTATAACATAGTTATTACCATCACTCATAATATCCACACCATTCCTCTTCCATTGTATTGGCCCTGGTCTCAAGTATCCAGTCATTTGACAACTGATAGTAACTGATTGACCAGAAGTAATGGCAACTGTAGTCTGGGGTGTAGTTAAGGAAACTATAGGAGAAGGCATTTAAAATCAATGGACTATATGATACAACTAACCTTCTAGCAGTAGATTAATTCTTTTTGATGCCATACTCCCAGCAGTACTGTTAGCAGTACAAGTGTAGTTTCCTTCATTAGAGTAAGAGAGTCCATTAATGTACAGTATACTAGTTCTGGTAGCATCTTCAATGAATAATTCATCAGTTATAGGTATAGTATTATTGAATAGCCAGTTCCAGTGAAATGATCCATTATTGAGTATAGTACAGTTGATACTGATTGAAGACTCAATGTTATCTGGTCCTAATGTCACTACACTGATACTACCATCCTTAAATGCAATATCTTCCATTGGAGCAGATACAGGAGTACCTGTTAATAATAATATAATAATACATCAACCACACATTAAGTATCTTACCAGCAAATAACTGAACTTCACTGACTAAAAACCAATCAATTCTACTGTTCGATGGGAATGTGAAATCAATTTGAAATGTTGGTAAGGTTTGATTAAGATGCAAAGTGACAGTTCTCAGTTGAGAGTCAGTTAGTGTCAGTTCATCATTATTGAAGAAGAAGTAAGGAACAGGAGGGCCAGCATTACTAACCTCTAACTGAGGCAGTCCAATACCGTCAGCAGGAGAATTGAAGAAATACAATACTACTGTTGGTACAGCAGAGAATGGATTAAAGGTCAGTCTACTGTCATTTTGATTAAAAGCAAAGAATCTTCCTAATTGACCATTGAGTGAATCCATTGGACCAAAGTATCCGTCAGTTAGTTTAGAAGTATTACCAAAGCAAGTGATCAGAGTAGCAGCACAGTCCGAGTTAGGATCAGTCATAGTTTCATTTGAGCCATTAAAAGGAGAAGGATTAATAACATCATAACCACCTAATAATAATAATACAATAAATGTTTAATGATATATTCTTACTTTTAATCTGTGAAGATACTGATACTATTAGCAATGTAAGTATGAACACAACAATAGCCTGTCCAGCCATCACTAGGCCCTAACAGGAACATGACATATGTCACACCAGCTAGTATAATAGCTTACTTTTAGTTTGCGACTCTTTACTGAAGAAAAGAGAGCCAATAAGAAGAAGCCACCCTCTACGATAGCAATGAACCACTCCTACACAATATACTGGTTATTGAGTTATGCAGCTGACACACCTACCGACCAGAAGATAAAGTATCCAGGAGGAGAAGAGAAGTTCATTATACTTATAAAATGAAGCAAGATACTCCATTTAGCATTTAAAATCCTTAAAATAATAGTATATAACCTGTATGCAGCTCGAGACGGACCGAAAACCTAAGTTCAAATCTCACACGTGGTAGCACGTGGGCAGTCATGATGTCACTGATACGTCATCAGTCGTATGTCACTGGTAAAATTTCCTTTTGTTTTGGTGGATGGCTAATCAGTTGTGTCCATATATTACCTAAAATGTCACTGTGGACACTGTCTCATGTTTCCTTATTAATTTCAATCATGACTTCTCCTCTCCATCTCCTGCAGTTCATGTCATACAAGGTATTATTATGTTGACGTTAAAAATCTTTTAAATTGTAAGATAAAATCACTGAAATGTGTAGGGAAATGTGCAACACAAAAGAAGATAAAATGAGACACATAAAAGGAGAGAGAGAGGGTGGGAGGCAGAGAGAGAGAAAGGGGAATATTGTTAAATTATCATAACTCACATCTCAACAAACTGAAACTCATAAAAAACAACACAACATAAAACCATCCACCATTGAACAAACACACACACACAAAGCATATCAATAATATCATGAGAAGTCATTATAAGCATGTATACTAGAGAGTAGATCATAGATCTGTTGAAAGGAGGCTCTCTCCTCCGGTTCATGTATCCAGCAGTCCAGCATGACACTGTAGACCTCGTTGGGACAGGCTTGAGGCTGATAGGGGAGGGTCCTCTCGCTTCCTTTTATGGCGTCGTCAATGACCTCTTGGTCCGTCATTCTTTCAAACGGTTGCAGCTTGCACAAAGTGAATATCTCCCACATAAGGACTCCAAAAGACCAGACGTCAGTCTTCTCTGAGAACCGACCGTAGAAACACTCATTAGCCATCCAGCGAATAGGGAGGATAGCTCTTCCTTGGATACGGTAGTAGAAGTCAGAGTAAAGGTTCTGACTCATTCCAAAGTCGGCTATCTTGACCTTAAAGTCCTGTCCCACTAGTATATTTCTAGTAGCAAGGTCACGATGAATGAATCTTAACGAGGCCAGGTAGCACATACCACGAGCAACTTGTAAGCATATGTATATTAGTACAGGGAGTGATACTGCACCTTCCGGTAGTGGGTTGATGTCTTCTATTAGGTCCATGTTCCTCAGGTAGTGGTTGAGGTCACCATTCTCCATATACTCCATCATTATGAAGGCATTTTTAGACAGACACACCCCAAGAAGACGAACTACATTCTCGTGCCTGAGTCTAGCCATGAATTTGACTTCTTTTTCAAACATTTCTCTCATTTTATCGTCAGCCTCTGCCCTCAGCCTTTTAATAGCTACCACTAAACTAACCCCTGGATCATTATTGGATTCACTCATCCCCAGCTGCTTCAAACTGAGACTCACGGTATGAGCCAGCACTACTACCCCAAACTGACCCATTCCAAGGTCCTTTAGTTCACGGATATTCTTCTCCTTTACCTCCAGCAGCTCATTCTCTGATCGCTGGAGAGGCTGTGGGTCGTTATATATTGCCCTATACCCACCATATATGGAAGAATCCATGTTGAAAGACTGTCTCTTAAGTGCTTCTGGATTAATATCTTCATCAGTGAATATACCATCATCAGGATCAGGGGTACCGCGATACGGGGGGACAGGAGGTGGGACCAAGTTAGGCTTAGCATAAATATTAAATTGAGATCCCATTTCCCTCGGCTCATCAGCGTCAGCAATATGAGGGAGAGACCTTGTCGGCTGAAGGTACTCTCTAGGTTGGAAGTGTCTGTCAAGGTTCTCTGATGAGGCATACATTGGATTGGGCTGAAGGAAGGTTGGTTTTAATGAGATCTGGGCCGGAGTGGGTCGGTCAGGAGAAGTGTGTTGTGGAGTAAAAGCAGGAGGTAGAGGACTATGAATATCATTCAATGGGAACCCGTTGCCAGGTATATCAATGGAGGCATACCCTCCGTTGTCTGCTATACGAGAGGGAAGAGGAGGAGGCTCTGGTTTGCTGAGCTCAGCATAAAGACCGTTATTGGAATCACTGATCACCATTGTTTTAGAAACTGATCGTCTCTTACAGTAAAGAACAGCAATGACGATACTGACAATGATAATGAGTATTAGCAAGACAGCGGCAGCAGCAGCACCTGCTATTATTGGGAGAGGATCACCTGATTGAGGAGAAGGAGATGAACTGGAAGAAGGAGCTGAACTGGTTGATGTGAGTGACATTGAAGGAGTACTGCTGGTAGTCATGGGTACTGGGGTTGCTATAGAAACAATAAAAAACAACAGTAAATTAAATAAAATCTAACTGATGCTTGGCAACACACCAACAGTAGTATCAGAACTTCCCTTTAATTTATTTTATTATTTATCATTAACTTACATGATATGGTAGCACTATTAATCACTATCAGTGATATAGTTTCCTTCAGTCTAGTTCCATCCATACTACAAGTATAGGAGTCACTGTCATCTACTTCAACTGACAGTATAGTATAGTTACTCTGTACAGCTGGACCAGGAGAAGAACCGCCACTTTGAGAAATATTCCGAGTATCATCACCATTAGTTATAGTACCATCAGCCATGTTGCTGCTGTCCATCCAATTGATCTGATAATCCATTGGTAGGTATCCAGTGAAGATACATGATAGTGTGACATTAGTGTCTTTTTGAACAGTCACTGTATTCCCTGCTGGTACTATGAATTCATCATAATAGACTTCTGCTGATACATTAACTATAAAAGAATTAAATGAATATCACATTTATAAATAGTATGTGTATGTACATTTCAGGAATTCTCAAAGTCTATCACTAACTTACTAAAAAGTGTTAAACTGACACTATTTGTAGTTTCCATGTCAGGTTTTATAGAATTAAAAACATTATTTGGAGGACCTACAAAATCACCAAATGCCAGATAAAATGCAGTGCAGGTATAGTTCCCAGCATCATCAGCACTGACATTAGATATCATCAATATACTGGTCCTTGTGGTATCTGCTAGTTTAATATCTCCAGTACTAACTTCAGGGCCACTCCAAGTCCAATGAAAGGTTCCATTATTGTCCACTGTACAGGATAAGTTGAGAGATGACTGTACTGTATGAGGCTGCAGTGTTTGATTAGGAGACATGAATACAATAGGAACAGCAGGAAATGAAGTATCTACAGAAATAATATAAAAGGAGTTATTATGATAGATTAATGTATTTACCAGTATTAGTGAAGAACCTAATTTCACTGATAAATGTTTGAGTTGCAAGAAAAGATGAAGAAAAAATGAACTGTAAGCGAAGGTATTGGTAAGGGACCAATAACACCAAGGAAGGGGAAGACTCTGATGTTAGTATAACCAAAGAAAGGACTTGGACATTATCATCAGACCGAGATATTTCAGAATTATCAATAAACGTACAGACAACAGTAGTATAACTATCTTCAAGACCAGTTCGAGATATACTAGTCCTTATATCAGGCAGTCCATACCCTCCTGATGGATTGTTATAATAATATATGTCAATACGAGTGAAGAAGAAATTTTCAGTGCCAAAATTAAACTCAAGATCAAAAGAACGGTTCCATCCCATAAAATTATCAGTAACAAAGGCCATTCCTTCACTTGTTACATTATCTGTGAGTCTAGTAGTGTTAGGACATCGTGTTAATCCTCTAGCATCACCCAAAGTACAGTCAGATGTAAAGCTGCTACCGGTATATGAGGTGGGAGGAGTGATCAGGTAGTTAGTTGGTGGCACTATAAATAAACAACTCATAAAAAATAATCAACTGATTATTAAAATCATACCTTTAGTTTGTAATGAAAATTGTATCAGAATTGCTGATAATAAAAGTCGGACCTATAATTATAAGAAACAGTAACTTTATAAGAACATGCAGGTTGTGTAAAAATTAAAATAGGAGAAGTTTTCCTAAAACTAGTGACACCTTATCCAATTGTTTACAAATGCCTTTAGCAGTTATCAATAAAAAACAAATAACAAAGACAAAACAAAAGAAAAAGAGATACATATGTAAACTTGACACTAATCTCACACCAAGTGTACATAAACACTGACCATTGTTATTGGTATGCTCTTAGCCTAATTGACTGAGTTAGGATAACCTCACTGTCCTCTGTCTCTCTATCTACTGATCATTTCACTATATCTTCCCCATCTCTCTTAAGACTATAAATTATGTCAACACTTAAATCTCTTCATAATAAATACTTGAAGTACTAACCACACAATCACTCAAGCAGTGAAGTGTCAAGATAAAATATCTATCATGTACTAAAGACAACATTCCATCAGTTATGATCACCCTAAGATAGAGTGGGCGGGCTATGATTAACATTCCTTATAAGGCACTCACGATCACTGGAGTACATGTACATGTACACTTAGGCAGGTCACATGCAGCTGCTGCCTTATACACATGTATATACAAGTAGTGTTTATCAGGTGAAGTTAAGGGGTTGTTTTAATGAGAAGGAGTGACAATAAGAACTGGTGATATGATTACTTTAGCCTGTGTGTGTTCTAACTTCATTGCATAAACTCAAGTGACTAGTGTTTGGATTATGACACCAGAAGAGAAAAGCATGTCTACTTAATCATAACAGGAGCATCAACAAGACCCACTCTCTCTCTTTCTCTAGCTATTATTATGTCTTCGTGCCTTCATTTCTCTTCCATAAATCATCCATTATTCAAATGCCATTCACATTACACGTTCATTAACTGTATTGGCAGGATATTCCCATCATTCCAGGAACAACACCCTGAGACAGGATAATAACAGTCACTATTGACAGCCACTGTGAGAGAGTGTGTCTAGTGCTATATTGTTGTTCTTATGTTTGGTAGTATGATACTGTACAATAATGTGCTTATCAAACCACTGGAATGCTAACAATCTCATTCATAGTATCGTTACTATAGAGAGCCACTGAACCCAAACACACAGGGCTACTGCTACCTTGTTGTTGATGAAGACACAACTCCACAGGATTATAACATGGAGGGTATAACTTCTGTTTTAATGTAGAGGGACATTACAAGATGATATAACTTCTTAAAAAGGAAATGGAGAGAAGGAAAAGACAGCATGTCGAGGGAGATGAGAGAATCCTTACAAGATTGTAACAGAATAACTGAGTGTTGAGATCAGACTGAGATAAACTAGTTAACACTCTCTTCATTGCATTATGAATGAGACATCATCTTTATAATGAATCCACTGTTAACACTAGCTGATACAGTTAAGTGGCCATTAGGTTAGAATAACAAGAAGGAGAGAGAGAAAGAGATTGGTGAATGAGATAGTTAGCAAGTGTTTTTAATTTCAATTTCGCCGAGAGAGAAAGAGAGGTAGTAGGAAGGGAGTGCCAGGTTAGTAAACACGAGCTATACTACCCACTACTAAACATAAAATATGATTTGGCAACAACACTGCATTAAAAAAAACAATGCAGCTCAAATTTATTATAATATTATATATACATCATTAGATCACTGCTGATAATATTGGATGTACTACAAGAGTATCCATTACCAAGGAGGAATAGCCTCAAAGAAGAGGAACAAGGTATGGGATTTAAACACAAGATAAAAGCTATTATAGTTTGATTTTGTTATCATTATTAGCAATAACGATAAATAAATACATTTAAATAATAAAGTCAGTCTTTACTTACCGGGTTCATGGTGACGAGGTACTTCGATCAGTAAATGGAGCGTCCGTTAGAAAAACAAGAGAATAGAAGGAGAGAATACAGCAACCCTGAGCAGGGTATAGAGGGCAAAGAATGGAGAGAGCTTTAGCAGGAGGAAAGAAGACAGCGGGCAGGAGTTCAGACACAGTCAAAATGTGTGAATATTCGTAAAGTAGATTGTCACTGATTGTGTATAGGAAGGAAATGGATCAGTAATCATATGACGTCAAGTTACTCCCACAAATGAAAATAAATGGCCACAGGAATTTAAAAGCAGGATTGATCTAACTTTCCTTATCTACTGGCAGGAATAACTCCTAACCAAGAGAAGGAAAGAGCAGCTTTAGAATGCAAAAAAACTCTTAAGATCTTGTCATTTTTGAGGCTTAGCAAAGTCTGCGTGGGCGTTAGCTCGAGGTGTTAATTACAAGCTCAGCCCACGTGTTACAACATGGCTACCAGTGACAAAGGATCATCAGTTGCTCCTCCTCTAGCACAAGAAGCTGTACTAGCTCAGAGCCAGCCAATGCCAGAAGGATCCCAGGAGGTGAAAGGTTACTCCTGGGACAGTGTTACTGATGGAAAGGTAGACTATTCTGCGATGCTTGAAGCATACTTGACTTCAGGATTCCAAGCTACTAACTTTGGACTAGCAGTACAGCAAGTTAATGATATGGTGAGACCTTACATATCATTATAAGTGATAGCCAGACTTGGGGTCAATTACAAATTTCCAATTACAATTACACTTTTATATACATACATTTGTTCCACATAGTCTCAATTACAATTACAATTATGTAATTGTAATTGTAATTGACCCTTAAATTACAATTACAATTGTAATTGACCCCAAGTCTGGTGATAGCATTATTGTTTAATTGCTGCTGATATTGATATATTTTTGATTTTCTCACTAGCTTAAGTTAAGATCTCAGCCGATTGATGAGTCTTCATTGAAGCCAGCTTTAGATGAGCCAGGAGACCGACCTGTTACTAACTGTACCATTTTCTTTGGATTCACTTCAAATATGATATCTTCTGGATCAAGAGAAACTATAAGATATCTCGTTAAAAATAACATGGTAATAATAAAAAATAAACATATGAGAAGCTGCCATTTTGACATTTTCCAATGCTGTCTTATTTAATTAAACAGATAATCACTTAAAATTTTATCACTTTATCAGCTTCAGATATTACCCCACCCACTACTCATTGATAGAGTATTATAGTATTTAATTGGGTTATTACCTTATTAGGTCGATGTTATTGTTACTACTGCGGGTGGAGTTGAAGAAGACATTATAAAATGTTTAGGTCCTACATACCTTGGGGATTTCTCTCTGTCGGGCCGAGACCTTCGTAAACGAGGTATCAATCGAATTGGAAACCTTTTAGTACCAAACGATAACTATTGCAAGTTTGAGACCTGGCTGACGCCAATACTGAATCAGATGCTGGAGGAACAAAAAAATGATGTTAGTAATTGAAGCATTTTTGTTATTACTGCAGTTGTCATGTTTAGGGAGTTGTTTGGTCTCCATCAAAAATGATATCACGTCTTGGTAAGGAGATAGACAACCCTGAATCAGTTTATTACTGGGCACACAAAGTGAGGAAAGATCAACAGCTAATCATCATTTTCTGATACATATTGATGTCCTTATGCTGTGTAGAAAGTTTGAGGTGATTCCGACTTCAATTTTTCAAGTTACGGCCATTTTAAGAAAACGTCAAAAATCTGAAAAATACCCAAGGCTATAGTCCATGGTTTTTTCCAAAAAATGGCCAAAAAATGACCCCCAATTTTTATTACATTTTCTGATACATATTGATGTCCTTATGCTGTGTAGAAAGTTTGAGGTGATTCCGACTTCAATTTTTCAAGTTACAGCCATTTAAAAATCTTCCTAAAATCATCTATAGTCTTGATCCATTCTGTAATTCAATAGAACAATATCCCAGTGTTTTGTCCTGCCCTTACTGACGGCTCTATTGGAGACGTCATATATTTCCATACCTACTCCAAGCCTGGACTGATCCTTGATATAGTACAAGGTTAGTGAGTCAATTAGACTAGGCTAATACTATAAGTGAAAGTTGTTTATTATTTCGTTTGTAGATATTAGAAGATTAAATAGACAAGCACTGAGAGCTATCAACAGTGGTATGATTATACTGGGAGGTGGCCTAACTAAACATCACATCTGTAACGCTAATCTAATGGTAAATCAACATTGTATTTATTTATTTATTAATTCATTCATTTATTAGCGCAATGGTGCTGACTATTCAGTGTTTGTTAATACTGCCAGTGAATATGATGGAAGTGATTCTGGAGCGAGACCTGATGAAGCCATTTCTTGGGGTAAGATCAAAGAAACTGCTAAACCAGTCAAAGTAAGGAGAGATGAAATATTTGATAGTATTTAAATATTTGTGTTTCAGGTTTATGCTGATGCTACACTAATCCTGCCGTTGCTAGTGGCACAATCGTTTGCTAAGTATCACTCTCTTCCGTCGTCATGGAGACATCATTGAAGAATTTTAGGTTTTTGAAAGTTATTTAATTTATTAATGAAACATTAAAATGAACTAACACTATCATACAATTATTATGAACAGAAGGGGATTAAAGACGAAACTGTGAGTGACATGATTATAAAACCGAATTGACAGACAAAATTTAACAACAAAATCCATCAACACATGAGAGAGATAGAGAATGACTTTAGAAGTTAAATGATTATGTTGTCATGACAACCGAATCACATATCGCAAGAATCAGCGGAGCAGCTCCCAGTGTTGGTCTGATGCTGCTGGGGGAGTGAGCCTGTGAAACTGAACTTGCGCATTAAACCAAAATGAAGTCTAGTATCCTGCAGGACCACACCCCCAGGGCCTAGGGGCATGGCCGTGGGTATGGGACTGCCCCCTCCATAGAAAGCTGATGCTGAGTAAGCACGAACCAGTTCACTGATCTGACTGGCTGGAGGTGGGGAGAAAGGCTCGGTTTTAACATCGTCGCTAGGGGGCGGCGGCTTGTTGCTAAGGGGAGGACGAATACCTAGTCTGTAGGTTGAACATGTTAATGCTGTAATCTGATTGGTCGATTAACTCACATGATGTCACCTTCAATCACTGGGAAGTCGGGGGGAGGGTTCACGTATAGAAACTGCTGAGTCGACGGTCTTTTCAACGGCTCAACTAAAATAGAAATAAATATTTAATGAATTTATTTATTAATATTACCATTTCTCTTTATCCCTAAACTGTGGAGTTCACTAATCAAAAACAGTCTCAACTTTTCCAGCTCTTCCTCACAATATCCTTTCACATACTGAGGATCCTAAAAGAGAGAGAGAGAGAGAGAGGGAGAGGGAGAGAGAGGGAAAGAGGGAGAGAGAGAGAGAGGGAGGGAGGGAGAGAGAGAGAGAGAGAGGTAGGATCAAATCAAGGTCAAGGAAACCTCTACTTACAATATTATGATCAACGTTTGCTGTCCGATACAAAGCCATTGAAGTGAAGCTGAATGAAGCGACGAGTCTCTGGAAGACTCTTACATAAGTGTGTAGCTTAGCCAATTCATTATTGACAGGAACCTGGTAACAATAAAAGTTACTGAAACCAATAATATGTGGCACTACCTTCCATAGAAACCCTGAGCCTTTGACTTGAGTACAGCCGAGGAGTTGCCGGAAGAGTTTAATGATGTAAGGTTTCTGGTAAGACTGGTAGAGGAGAGTGTCCAGCATTGAACTGGAGAATGCTTTGGATGAGGCAAACTGAGGTAGGAAGAGGTAGGTCAAGTGATCCACTTTACGAGCCTAGGAAAATAGGAATGGAATAAAATGAAGAATTTTTATTTTTGGTAAAATTTGGCCCATGACCCTGTACTATAGTACAGGGACTTTTGTCCGATTTCGGAGCAACTTTAAAAAATCGTAAAAAATCTAAATTTGGTTGAAATCATCTCAAACTCTCCACACAACACAAGCCCATGGTATCAGTATCTCTCAGTGTTACCATGTGTCTCAGCCTCTGCATGCAGAGGTCTTCGAAAGGCGTCGTCCTAATGAACCTAATGTTGAACCTGTACTTGATGTCACAGGATATCTTCACATGTGGAAACAACCTACCAATAAATAAATAAATGAATGAATATCAGTCATCAATACCTGGCTATCTTCTCTATAGCAGTAATGTGTTCAGCGTCTGCCAGGTGCTCCCCTTCATCAGACTGTCTCATCTTGTTTGAGGAAAAAACAACCAAACTCTCAGCCACCATGATACCAGCTCTTAGCAGGTCAGATGTACTGTTAAGAATTATCATTAATTATTATTAATAATCATTAATTATCACCTTGATATTGATCCTACCATGAAGTAGATCATTGGAAGTTGTGAAATTGTTGAAATGAAGTGTCTCTCTGGCCTAAAGGAGACACAATTTACTCAATAACTGTACAGTGACCAGTGTGTGTGTGTGTGTCTGGAGGTGAGTATCAGTAATGTAATACCTGAGTCCCTTGATATCTGCCCTCAGCTTCACCTCAAGCAGATATCTCAGTCCTCAGGTATTACATTACTTATACACACACACACACACACACACACCTCCAGACAGGACAGACTGTACATGTACTCATCCTAACATGTTTCCAAGTAGAAATACAATAGGCTTCAGTGAAGAAGGAGGCAGATAAGCCGCTCTTAATGGAGTAATGAAGTGGAAGAGACCGTCAGATACAACATCAGAATAAACGATGATGGCATGATGGTACCACTGCCTTGTGATGTCTTCACCAATAAATGACTGGAGGAGAGAGAGAGATAGAAATAGAACCATTAATAGTAATAATTATCATTTCAATATTCCGTCTGTACTAAAGACACAGCTGGTAAAAGTTGGCCACACCCCTCACCCTGTCAATAATGATATCCTCATAAGTCCTAGCATTCTTCATGAGGTGACATTTGAGTGGCTCACAGCCACAGTAAGGGATAGGCGGTACATCTTCATTATACTCAACATTAAAGACATCATTATTATTATGATGATGATGGTGATGATGATGATGATGATGTAATGGTGACCCAATGACTGACGGGGTACCGATAGACTCAGTCTCTGCTTCAGATATGAACCCTCCCTCTGTCTCGTGCTGACGTCCTTCCTCAAGGTCCTCTAGTTCCTCAATATCAGAGAGATCCTCAACTTCAAGAGATACCTAGTAGGTGTGGTCCATTAATTAATCGGTGGGTGTGGTCATGCTAATTAATTACTTACCACATCGTCAATGCTGTGATTAGACATGTCACTTTTAACACTCGCATTGGACGATACATAGGACTTCATTGAAGCTATAGCAATAATAATAATAATAATAATAATAATAATAATAATAATAATAATAAAATTATTAATTCATTCTTACTGTTGTCGTGGAGTTTGAGAGAGTGTTTCTTAGCTTTGAGGAGGTGATCATCATGTTTGGACTCCGACTGTCTCTTGTTGAATCCAAAGTGAAACAAAGCCGGCTGACTATGAACCCTGTGCTTCCCTCCACCTCCTCCTGAGCTGTGCTGCTGCTTATCCCCTACCCTCTGGAGGTGGGACAGGAGGTGTGGCTCTTCCTCTCCAATCACAATCACATCAGGTTCATCCTCCGGTATCACTCCTAGCGATGGTAGGGGGTGTGCCAGGGGGTGTGGCTCCATTACTGTACAAGTAGTAGCTGCCACTGGTAGTGAATGGGACCGTGGTGAATGGTGACCTTCAAAATGGCTCTTCACTGACAGCTTCACACATGGTTTCCTCTCGGGTAGTTCCCCCTCCCCATGATACTTCAATAACTGGAGACCATGCTGTACGTCATGCTGCCAGTTCGTAACTTCAACCGCTAGCTGCTCATCAAGGACCTCCTCCTCCTCTCCAATTGATGGTAGCCCCACCTCCTCAGTTAACGAGAGACCGCTGGCCACACCTTCCACTTGTATCTCAGGAATAGAATCGGGTGATGACAACTTCTTGAGTCTATCGTTGGACGCTGAGCGAGGAAACCCCCCCTTGTTGTCAGAGTCTCTCTCCTCATACTCCTGGGTCTGGTGGAACATCTGGTCTGGATCAATACCTGATATGTACATGGCCAGTAGACCGAGAGTAGCTGATGTCCTCCATAAACTGGACTGGAAGGTGCTAGCAGGTATGATCTGATGGTCGGAGTTATGCTCATGAGTGTCACTGATGTAGTAGCACTCATCATTACGATCCATAATGTGGTTGATCCCAGGGTTGAACAATATATCAGTACCACCTGACGGACATATCCCTAACAAGAGGACGTGGAACCTGAAGGAAGGTACAATTCTGCTAATATTAATAATTATTATTATTAATTACTTTCTATAAGCTACTACAGAAGTGAATAAAAAGTTCTTTCCAGCGAAACGATGAAAGTATCTGCTCTCTCCGAGTTTCACGTGGTATATCTCAACCGGTGAGCACTCCTCATACCTCTTGTACTCCGGAATATTGAACCGACGGCCCCTGGGGGGAGAGAGAGGGAGTGGCTAGATGAATACAGCTGCTGGTATATCTTACTCATAAGTGAAGGTGTGGACTAGTAAAGCTGATAGTGTCAGTAGTCCTGGACAGACACTGTTTAGTGCTAGGACAGCACTGGTCAATTCTCCATCACATATCACCTCATCTAATGAAAGAAAAGAATGAAATAACCTCCACATAAAGGACACCTCTGTATAACAGAGACACTTTCAAAGTGTCCATTATATAGAGGCTAGTCTGTACATTATTATCCTTACCTGCTATGTTTAGTTGGAATTTGCTCTCTGGTTGTCTGACGTGTACAAAGAGGCGTGTCTTTGGAGCGTAGTTCTTAACAGTCCAAGCACTCATGATGGTGTGTTGGTCCTACAGGAAGTGGGAGGAGTTTCAGTTAATTAATTAATGATTAGTTAATTACTAACAGCATCAGCTGCCCTCCCAGTTCTTGATGAGTGAAGGAAACAAGCATCAGCCGTTCTTAGCCTATTAATGATAATAATAATACATGTACTTATGTTGCATAAAAAGTTTGAGTTGATTCCAATCAAAATCGAATTTTTTTACAAATTTTTAAAGTTGCTCAAAAATTGAGCCAAAGGGAACCCTCCATTCACATTATGTCACTCACTTGACTCTTGCTAGGTCGCTTGGTCTCAAAGCAGTTCCTCTCAAAATGGCTACCCTCTGGGACCATATCGGATGCAATAGAATGGCTTTGATATAATCGGCAGGTTCTTCTTTAATAAGAACAACAACTTGAGTATCCTACAGAGAGAGAGAGAGTCTCAATTGTTCCATTAAAGTAAAGGTTCATTCCTCCATACCATTTGTCCAGGGTCGGAGTAGAGTTCACTGAGGAAGTCCCTCAGTACGAGCGGCTTAAGGTCCACAGCTGCTAGTACCACGTGTTTAGTGATGTTAGCTTTGTTGTACTGCTTGTAGTGTTTACGATGTAACGTGAAGGATCTCCATAGTTTATCAACCTGTTACTAAAAATAGACACAAGTGAAGAGGGTGTGGCTCACCTTAGGTGGGAGGTACATCAGAGCCGCTATTATGAATATCGTTATAATGACCTTCCCTGTCCAGTGGGCGGGGCTAATGTCCCCATACCCCACAGTACTAAAGGTAACGACCACAAACCAGTAGGTATCAAACAGAGATATCTTTTTACCCAGCCGCTCAAAATGATGAATGAGACACAGACTAAAGGAAAGGGGTGTGGTTTAGGGTCAAAGGGTGGAGCTTACCACGAGAACATGAAACAGAGAAGGAAGGTTGCCAGGCTGATTGCTGTAGTACGGAAGCCGTGGAAGGACCTAAAGAACGATACTTCACTTTTCTGCTGTACTATATACATGAAGTTGTGTCTTGCCGGCCAACAAAAGAGGAACGTCGGAATCCAAAGAATATGGAGACACTGCGGCATTAGTAGCTATGAGAATTAATAAATAAACAAATAAAATAAATAAATAAATAATAACTTACGGTGACAAAGAATGCTAACCCAATTAGCACACATATGACAATACTGTGAGTCATGTATCTAAAGACATGTCTTAAAACAGGAACTGAACCCTGGTAATAATAGTTAATTAACTGGTGGTTAATTAACTACTCACGTATGGCTCCTGGTGTACGTAAATGACAGTAAATGCTCCAATTAAACAAATCAACGCTAAAAACAACTGTAAAATAATAATAATAACAATAATTAAACTAATTAATGAGAATATCAGTACCTGTAATGACCAGAGAGTATAATCTTTAGGAATAATTAGGAGATTTAAACTAATGGAGGAGAGAGAGAGAGGGGGGGGGGGAGAGGGAAAACAACAAAGTTGTAGTACTGGTGTTGTTACTATTCTGTTAGATGCATGCCAAAATTTACAGACAACATGTTCACAAAAGAACATAAAAGAAACGAAGAGCAACTCAATAACAAACCAACAGAATAAACCAACAACTCAAGTACAGGGATGATTACTTTAATAATAAAAATAACAAACCCACTCTCTTTCCTTCTTTCTTCCTGTCTCTCTCTCTCCCTCCCTCCCTCTCCCTCTCTCTCCCTCTTACTAAGAAGGCTCCGTTATGTTCACCCATGTCTGGTTGAAGCAGCCCAGTATAAACTCCTCTTCATCAGCACTTTTCAGTAATCTATCGATATATATAGCTTCAGCAACGTAGAGGATGCAGCTGATAATGTTCAATAAAAGTGCGCCAAAATGTGCAATGAGACCTAATGAGAACCAGTTAATGGAATGAAGTGTGTGTCTGGAGGTGAGTATCAGTAATGTAATACCTGAGTCCCTTGATATCTGCCCTCAGCTTCACCTCAAGCAGATATCTCAGTCCTCAGGTATTACATTACTTATACACACACACACACCTCCAGACCGTATTGTTGCTATTCTTACGTGTTTTTGGATGTTTATAGAGGACATATGCTAGCCTTTGTCCAAATGTCTTTCCATGGGAATATCGTTTTACAATAATGAGTCTACGAGAAGAAGAAGGGGAGGGATAATGATGACAACAATTCCAACAATGAAAATATTTATTGATTTTTATTTTGGGGCATCATATGAATTGCAAAATTGTGCAATGATGCAATGGAATCGCAGAGAATGCCAAATTTTATTTTTTAAAAAGCAAAACAGAAAGCAATGAGAGTGACCACCAATAGTAATAGTAATAATAATAGTAACTCACTCATGGTGGTGAACCAGTTGGACAGCTTTGTTATAAAATAGACCCTCCAGGGCTTGTTTAACTGTGACTGACTGGCCGTCTTTGTCAGGCAGAGGATCCTCTTCTTCTTCTCTATTGCTCTCACATTCGCTGTCGCTGGAGGAACAGCTCAAGGAAGTGAGGGATGGAGAGGCAGGAACAGGTGCTGACTGATCGTACACCTCAGGACGGGACCGTCTCCGTATCTTCTTCCTCTTCCTCAGGAGAGGAGAGTTTGGGAGAGAGTGCTGCTGAGAAATTCGGTGCTCTACTCTGTCTGCCATTGGATCTTTTCACAAGATAAGCAAGTAATGATAGCAAACTTTGCACCAGTAATGTCAGTATACTATTAATTCCCCGGATACTAAAATTAATGGGGCGTGGTTTATTGGGTCTTGAGACAGCACGTGGTTGAAGTAAACGGAGTTGGGTCACGTCCGGTTACACTAACCACGTGCTTCCTTAATGGTTAACTAATTATTATTCATTAACATGCCATGTGGTTGCACAGCCATAGCTAGGCCTTGCATCATTCTTCCCTTTAAGTATTTCTATTGTTGTCTGTCCTCTCTTAAATCAATTAGACCTCCTGTTTATTCCTCGCTCCTTCAACTAGCCGCCAAAGGAAGGACTCTAGCTCGTTCTTATCAGTCAGGAGTCAAACTTTATTCAACAATGGCTGAGAATAATGGCCCTGGAGCACCACCTGGTGGAGAGCCCGCCCTTGAACTGACAGAGAAACAGCTCAAGAAAGCTGCCAAGAAAGACGCTAAGAAAGCAAAGTTTGATAAGAAGATTGAAGCACAGAAGAAAGGCCAGCAACAAGCCACACCTCCTGGAGACGTGAGCCAATGTAGCAATTGTTAATCATTATTGTTGCCTTAGAAATCAGACAAAATTAAGAAGACTAAAGATGTCCTCAGGTACGAAATACTGATACCAAAAGGAGACAAGAAAGGTTATTAATTAATTACGAATAATTAATTAATTCTAATTAATTATTCATTAGACGTGAGTGGTCCAATGCCCAGTGGTTACAGTCCTAATTATGTGGAGGCGGTTTGGTACGACTGGTGGGAGAAGGAAGGTTTCTTTAAACCGGAGTATGGGGTGAGTTAAGAACCTTTGAGTATACCCTAGACTCCGCCCCTTAGGGTCGTAAGGTAACAGATCCCTGCCCGGAGGGTAAGTTCATCATTTGTCTTCCTCCGCCCAATGTAACGGGAAACCTTCACCTTGGACACGCCCTCACTAACGCTATTGAAGACGCTATCACGAGATGGTATATGGGTCTGGTCAATGGGTGTGGTTTATTATTATTATTATTACAGGCATCGTATGAATGGTAAGATGGTTCTTTGGAACCCAGGAACTGATCACGCTGGAATAGCTACACAAGTGGTGGTGGAGAAGAAACTGAAGAGAGAGCAAGGGAAGTCAAGATATGACTTAGGAAGAGAAGGATTCATTGAAGAAGTTTGGAAATGGAAGAACGAGTAAGAATAATAATAATAATAAATAAATAATGATGATGATGATGATAATAATGATTAATTCCTTCTTTGTGTAGAAAAGGTGACAATATTTATAATCAGGTGAAGAGAATGGGTTGTTCTGTGGATTGGGACAGAGCTTTCTTCACAATGGACAATGTAATCATTATCATTATTATTGATTGTTGTTTATTATTATTATTATTATTATTATTATTATTATTATTATTATTATTATTATTATTATTATTATTGATTGTTGTTTATTATTTATCTTTAGCAATTAAGTCGTGCAGTGAAGGAATGTTTTGTCCTGTTACATGATGAAGGAACTATTTATAGAAGCAATCGTCTGGTGAACTGGTCATGTACTCTCAAATCAGCAATATCTGATATTGAGGTAATGCTGTTACTATTAATAGTAACTGTTACTAATAATAGATTAGTGGGTGTGGTTCCCAGTGACGACAATTGATAAATGGAGGCACCAACAGACTCTTTCTATTCTTCTCTCTCTCTCTCTTCCTCTCTCTTCCCCTCTCTCCCTTCCTCCCCCCCTCTCTCTCCCCCTCTGAGTCTGGCTAATGACCATTAAGATTATGAGAGCTGAGGGTTGACCACACCCATTAATAGCCACACCCATCAGTTATTAATAATCATTATCCTATAGGTTGATAAACATGAGTTGTCCGGTCGTACCTTCCTCTCTGTTCCTAATTACGATAACAAGATTGAGTTTGGAGTCCTAGTCTCCTTTGCTTACAAGGTGGAGGGGAGTGACGCTGAGATCGTCGTGGCAACCACTCGAGTAGAGACGATGCTAGGAGACACGGCCATTGCAGTACACCCTCAGGACCAGAGATACAAGGTGGGCACTAATTAGAAACACTTTACTATCAGTCTTTATAGGACCTGGTGGGGCGGCTCTGTCTCCACCCATTCTGTGACAGGAAGTTACCAATTATTGCTGATGAAATGGTGGATATGTCTTTTGGAACAGGAGCAGTTAAGATAACTCCCGCCCACGACCATAACGACTACGAGTGTGGGAAGAGACACAACCTTCCATTTATAGAAATGATCAACGATGAAGGATACATCACTGATGTGGCTCAGGAATTTAAAGTATGTAACTTTTTATTACATTTTCTGATACATATTGATGTCCTTATGCTCTGTAGAAAGTTTGAGCTAATTCCGACATCAATTTTTTGAGTTATGGCCATTTTAAGAAAACGTCAAAAATCTGAAAAATACCCAAGGCTATAGTCCATGGTTTGTTCCAAAAAATGGCCAAAAAACGACCTCCATTTTTTATTACATTTTCTGGTACATATTGATGTCCTTATGCTGTGTAGAAAGTTTGAGCTAATTCCGACATCAATTTTTTGAGTTACGGCCATTTTAAGAAAACGTCAAAAATCTGAAAAATACTCAAGGCTATAGTCCATGGTTTTTTCCAAAAAATGGACAAAAAACGACCTCCATTTTTTATTACATTTTTTGATACATATTGATGTCCTTATGCTGTGTAGAAAGTTTGAGCTAATTCTGACTTCAATTTTTTGAGTTACGGCCATTTTTAGAAAACGTCAAAAATCTGAAAACTGGTACCATTATTATTATCATTGTAATGTTTTAGGGTATGAAAAGGTTTGATGCTCGTAAGTCAGTCCTTGCTGCCCTCAAGGGGCGTGGCTTGTATCGAGAAACCAAAGACCATCCAATGACTGTACCTATCTGTAGGTTAGTGGGTGTGGCTAACTTTATTATTATTATTATTGTTGTTGTTGTTGTTGTTGTTGTTGTTATTGTTAGTCGTTCTAAAGACATTGTGGAGCCGCTTATAAAGCCTCAGTGGTGGCTGAACTGTACAGAAATGGCTCAAAATGCTGTCCAGGTTATTATTATAAATTATTAACGCTAATATTCTCCCTTCAAAACTACCAGCTGGAGTGTGTGTATTATAGAGTCTATTCTTGTTCCTTAGGCGGTTAAAGATGGCAGTCTTAAGCTGATTCCTAATATTCATGACAAGACCTGGTTCAACTGGTTGGATAACTCCCGTGACTGGTGTATCTCCCGTCAGTTGTGGTGGGGGCACAGGATACCAGCTTACTTTGTGACCTTTAATGACCCGTCACTACCCGAAGGAAACGTAATATTAGTGTAGTGGGTGTGGTTAATATTAGTGGGTGTGGTTCCCAGTGATGACAAATGACTAATGGAGGCAATTAACAGACTCTATTATTATTATTATTATTAATTTATTAATTTATTTATTTTTATTATTTTCTTGGGTCTGGCCGATGACTATTAAGATTATGAGAGCTGAGGGAATGACCACACCCACCATTTGCCCACCCACTCTATTAGTTACTATTATTACCTTATTAGGAATCTGATGGCCAGTATTGGGTCAGTGGGCGGAGTCAAGATGAAGCCTTACAAAAAGCTGCCGAAAAGTTCAAAGTACCAAAGGAACAGATAGTCCTAAAGCAAGGTAACCTTAATGACATTCATAGATTAGTTAGCCACACCCATTTTAATTAGACGAGGATGTACTGGATACTTGGTTCTCTTCTGGACTCCTCCCATTTTCCATATTTGGATGGCCTGACAAAGTACGCAATACATATTATTATTATTATTATTATTATTGTTGTTCTTGTTGTTGTTTTAGACGGATGACCTAAGTTCTTTCTATCCTAATTCATTACTGGAAACTGGTCATGATATCCTGTTCTTCTGGGTTGCCCGGATGGTGTTCTTTGGTCAGAAACTGATGGGGCGTGTCCCTTTTCCTGAGGTCTACCTCCATGCTATGGTGAGGGATGCTCATGGCCGGAAGATGAGTAAGTCCCTTGGTAACGTCATTGACCCACTGGACGTCATGAGAGGGATCAGTCTAGAGGGTCTCCATGAAAGACTCTTAACAGGAAACCTGGACCCCAAGGAGGTGGAGAGAGCAAAGGCTGGACAGGTAGTTGTTTGTTTATTTGTTTGTTTGTTTATTGTTGTGCTGTTGTTAGAAAGCAGATTACCCCAACGGTATCCCTGAGTGTGGAGCTGATGCCATGAGGTTTGCTCTCTGTGCCTACACTGCTCAAGGACGGGACATTAATTTGGATGTGAAACGTGTTGTTGGTTACAGACACTTTTGTAATAAAATATGGAACGCACTCAAGTTCTCTTTGAATATATTTGGAACCGACTTCACTCCTAATGCAACTAGCGAGGTGAGAGGCCATGTTGTAGGCGTGGTCAATGGGTGTGGTCTTTAGTTCACAGGTTTTTCCACTGACGTTATGGAGAGGTGGATACTGAGCAGATTGTCTTCAGCTGTTGATGATTGTGATAACGGGTTCACTGGCTATAACTTTCCCGACGTGACAACGGCCATTTATAACTTCTGGTTGTATGAACTGTGTGACGTTTATTTAGTAAGAATGAATAAACAAACCAATAGATAAACAAATGAATATATTATTAATATAATTAGGAGTATTTAAAACCAATAGTGTATGGCAGTGATGAAGGAAGGAAGCTCATGTGTAGAAATGTTTTGTAAGTTTATCTATTCATTTTATTATTATTATTATTATTATTATTATTATCAGGTATACTTGTCTTGAAACTGGTCTAAGACTCCTCAGTCCTTTTATGCCTTTCCTTACCGAGGAGCTATGGCAACGGTTGCCACGGAGACCTGGCGAGACAGCAGTATCGATATGTGTTAACAGCTACCCAAAGAAGGTAAGAGGAACTAATGGAGAGACATATTGTAGTCACTCTTGTAGGGAGGAGTGAGGGAGGAGGCCATTGAAGAAGAAATGAAGTTAGTACAAGAAACAGTGACGGCAATAAGGAGACTCAAACAGGACTACCTCCCTCCTAAAGCACGACCTGAAGGTTGTTATACATGAACATGTACTCCATCAGTCTATCCCTTTACAGTTAGTTTGATAATGAAGGATGAGTCTGCTGGTAAAATATTGAATAGCTACCTTGAAACCATGATAACTCTGTCACAGATCAACAGGTGAGAGTCTTTGTGTTGATACTAATAATGTCTTCTCTTCTTGTAGCCTAGTGTTGCTGGCTCCTGATACTCCTCCACCAAGAGGCTGTGCTTTCACTACCATTGGTAACCAGTGTCTGGTCTATATGCAGCTTAAAGGGCTGGTGGATGCTCAGAAAGAAATCAACAGATTAGAAGAGACGCTAGCTAAGAAATCAGGTCAACGTGATAAGTTTGTTAAAACAACTGAAGTTGATGGCTATACCGAGAAGGTATTATTATTATTATTATTATTTATTTATTTATTTATTTATTTATGTACAGGTTTCCATTGAATTTCGTAATGCTAATCAAGAGAAGGTAAGTGTACACTCCATGCTGTTGTAGCTAGTGATCAGTTCCATTGGCTGTAGATTGATGGATTGACTGCTGAGATTGCTGACTTGACTAGAGCACTAGAAGGATTTAGGGCATTTCAAAAGGAAACTGAATCATGAAGAACTTTACGATAATAATAATAATAATAATAACAATATTGATAGTTGCTATAGAAACTCATATTTTTCCGTATTTATATTTACAGTAGTGTTAATAGTATACTGGCTTTCTGCCAGTTCTATTTTTAGTAACAGTGAGTCTATTGTTAGTAGCAGTATTGTTGAAAGATGGACTGGAACACAATGAAGACTGCTGTAATCCTATGCTCCTTTATTTCTACAGTCTTGAGGTAAATAAACATCATTTAATATTAATAATATTGATTGATTGATTTGTTTGTTATTAATAGTCTTCCAATATCTCTTGATACGAGCTGCAAACAGGAGATGAGCAATACTGGATCTTCAGTAGTCTCCTGCACTTTTGAGTTTACCAACAGAGGACGTGAAGGATACTGTCTACTGAAAAGGAACACTCCTCTTGAAGGACTAGCCTCTCCATTCATTACAGTGTCTCATGATGGAGTCCCCTTGGAGTACCAGGGGATTGACTTTTACCGGTTTCCCCCTGAGAGACATGACTTTGTTTATCTTTCAATGGGAGAGAGTATCACTGCTACAGTTCACATAAATGACATGTTCACCTTTTCTTCTGACGGAATATACAAGATACAGTATACTCATCCTTTGTGGTACTTTCCTAAAAATAAAATGGGTTCTCATATTGGAGAGATAAAGGCAATCAAATCAATTTTAAGTAACGAACCAATTTACATTAACATCAAGAACCTGCAGCAGCTCTCTCGTCCAGTAAAGAAGGAGCTGTTTAAAGATGAAGGAGTTCAGTTGGAGGTCAAAGGATGTGGAATGGTAACATTATTGAAAGGTAGCAAGAAAGAAAGGAACAGTGTCCTTACAGTACAGAAGAGACTTTGCTCTCAGTTGAAGAAGACAAGAAGTACCATCAGTAATAGTGACCTCTACCGGGTCTGGTTTGGTGAATATAATGAGGAACGTAGCAATAAAGTTAGAGAAATATTTCAAAATATAATCGATGGTTTATCAAGTCATGGTATTACTTATGATTTGAATGGTGACCGCTGTACTCCTGCTGTTCCAGCCTACACTTTAACCAATGTACCGTCGACCGTCTACCTCTGTCCTGTGTTCCATCAGTTTGTAACGACCATGGATTGTACTAATATTGGCATTTCATCAAAGGAGAGTATCATTCTTCACAAGTTGTCTCAAGTATTTGGATCCACTCAAAATTACAATGTCTATGGTCAAGATAATAATAAAGAATTGGCGGTGACCAGTCCTGAAGCAGCTGTCACTCATTCAGATTCATACGAGTGCTACTATTGTCATTCTTATGGACACTTTGATCACATGATTTACATGTGATGTGATTTAAATTGATTACATAATATTATATATTTTGATTAAAATGAGCTCAAAATGTACGTATGAATCAAAAATGTATTATAGTCACTTTGACAATCTACCATGCACTATAGTACAAGGACTTGGGCCTAATTTTGGAGCAACTTTTAAAATTTGTAAAACAATTCATATTTGATCATAATCAGCTCAAACTTTCTACACAACATAAGTACATGTATCTGTGACATATCTTGTCTGGTTCATGTAACAGCAGGTGTTCTTGTTTTCCCAATAAGATCATACTATACATTCTTTAACTGTTTGTGTAAACTGAAAATCAAACTACAATAAACAATCACAAATGATCCTTAAATACAATTAATAATAACAACAACAGTAATAGTGTGGGTACCGAATGATTATTATGTGTGTCAAGAGAATATTAATAATAATAAATAATAATAATTAATAATAATAGTAATAATAATAACAATATCAACGACGGTATATTCTTACAGTCTTTAATTCTCAAGAGGTGCAGCTGTGAGGCTAACGTTGAGATAATGGTACCCGATATCAGATATTATGGAGCGGTCAGGAATTGCCTGTGATGTACCATAAACAGCAGCTGCTCCAGAGACCTTCTTACCAGGATCCTTCATGATGAGGGAGACACACTCCTTGACGTCATTTAGAAACTTTAGATCCATACCATCCCTAGTGTGTATCATAGTGACACAGATGTGAACGGCAGGGGGAAACTGGAGGGGGTTCAGGCTCCAGTTCCTTTTACGCATTTCCTCGTTTAACTCGTAAATATTGAAATCCTTAGACGCAATAGCGACCACATTAACCATGGGATTACCCATCACATAGAGGTGGGGGATGGAGTTCAGCTCTTGTGCCAACCAGCGAGTTGTCTTAACAATAGACCGAGTGGATTCAACATACCCATCCATACCCATATACATCATTGCTGCCCACGTGGCAGCTATAATACCACCTGGTCTGCTACCAGCAACAGATGCTGATGGATAGATCCCTCCCTCCCAATCTGTCACCACAAAGAACTGGTGCTGGCGGAGTTCCTTATTGCGATACAAGACGACCGAAGAACCTTTAGTAGTGTAACCATACTTATGAGTGTCTGCTGAGATACTAGTAACACCTGGTACCCTGAAATCAAACGGATCTAAAGGGTATCCTGCACTTTCCATAAAAGGAAGTAGAAACCCTCCGAGACAAGAGTCCACGTGAAGTCCTATCTTATTCTTAAGAGCCAGTTCACTTATCTTCTGTATCGGGTCGATGACCCCGTGCGGGTATTGGGGGGCGTTGGCCACTAACACGACAGTGTTACTATTAATAGCACGAGCCATGGCCTTAACGTCAACCTGACGAGAGAGTGGATCACATTTAATGATCGTTATTTTCATCCGAAGGTAATGAGCTGCTTTATTGAACGCGGCATGCGTAGCGCTAGAACATAATATCTCGGGATACTGGATACCTTTAGAGTACCCAACCCCACGATAAGCTTTCATTGCCAACATAATACTCTCGGTTCCTCCAGAAGTGACACACCCACAGGACGTGCTGCCTCCGTTGAACAGTTTAGCCGTCCATTGAACAATCTCAGCCTCCATCTTACGGATTTGAGGGAATATGTCAGGATGAAGTGGGTTAGTCCAGCAGTATCTCCGAAATACATCACAAGTTATTTTAGTTAATTTATCGTCGCAGTTATAAGCACATCCTGAAGTGTATCCTTTTCGCCAGTCGTATGGTTCAAGTTTATCCATTCCATCCAGTTCTTTCATTATTTCTTCGTGTGAAAGTCCCTTCTCTGGTAACGAAAGGTGAAAGGTTTCTCCTGGTTTTGGTGTCAAGAGTTCAGTTTCTAAGAGTCTCCGTGTCTTATTTAACTCTTTCTCAATCTTCCCGTTAATGAAAGGAAGAGAGCGGACGGTTTTAAAACAGGTTCCCTTGATTCTCTCCCAAAGTGTCTTCTCTCCAGTTCCAACAAGGAAGAGGTAGAGTTTATAAAGGATGAGTGTGGCACCAGCAGTCACAGCTATGATCTGCCATCCTTCATAGCCTTTAACTGAGCGGTTTATGTGACCCCTGGCCTTCTCTAACTCGTCTCTAAACTGATGTCTAGCTGATGGACTCTCCCATAGAACTGCCAGGAAGAAAGTAATGGCAGCCAGAAAGAGAAGTTTGAACAACATGGCGGCTACTGGAGACAGAGATAGTGACGGGTTAGGTTAGTCCAATTAAGGAAAGTGAAAATTACTACCTTCAGGGCTACTCTTCAAGAAGCCACCACCAGTAGTCTCTCTCTCTTTGTTCTTATTAATAAGAGTTGCTGTCAGTCTTTCTCTGTCTTTCTTATGCTTATTATGCAACAAAGTCACGTGGCTAGTACAGTTAGGTGTACTTACATAATGGCTGCTAATGCTGTTCCGAAGTTATGGCGGATTGGAGGAGTTTTTGTTACAACAATGGCACCATTTTACATATACAGGAGAGCCTACTGCTCCTCTACAGTGACTAACAAGACTCCATCACTGGTTCTGTATCAGTATCAGACCTGTCCTTTCTGTTGCAAGACAAGAGCATTCTTAAACTATTATGGACTCCAGTATCAGATTGTTGAAGTGAACCCTCTCTCCAGGAAAGAGATAAAGTTTTCAAAGTACAAGAAAGTGCCACTTCTAAAAGCTGGGGACGTGCAAGTATGTAAATACTAAAAGTAATATTGAAATGTTATCGGAGGCAGCCATTGGGTGGGGCTTACCTGTACCTTTAATTAGAATTAACGAGATGTGATAATACCGGAACGTCTAGACGTTTACAATTAATATATTGTAACTGCCATAATTAAAGCTGGGAATATAATAAAAATTCATTTTGTAAATTCATGAAATATAATTATTATTAATGAATAACATAATATCAAATAATAAGATAAAGTTCCTCTAAAATCATAATAATCTTCTGCGGCAGGTGAATGACTCCAGTCTCATAACCAGTGTCCTTCGGTCGTCCATGATCCTTGGTAAACCAGTCTCCAGGGTACTCAATATGTACCCAGAGATTGAGTTTTATGACGCAACTAATAAAACCCAAGTCAAAGAAAGAGCCAACAAATACTTCCTAATGTATGGAGAGAGAAGCACTCCTCCATTGAATGAACTAAGGTATTATAGAGAAGATTTTAAAATAATAATAATTATTATTTATTTAATTTATTTTCTAGGGAGGAGAGGGAATGGAGGGAATGGGTTGATACTCACTTGGTTCACACCTTCTCTCCTAATATTTACCGGACCCTTCGTGAATCTTGGCAAGCGTTCCAGTACATATCAGAAGCTGGTAATTTCAATCCGTTCGAGAGGGCAGCTGCTAGATACTTTGGTACAATAATGATGTACTTTATTGGGAAAAGAATAAAGAAAAAGTATTTATAAAGAAATAATGGTGATGTATTTTAACATAATAATAAACAGGTATAGATTGAAGGAAGATGTGAGACAGTCACTTTATGACGAATGCAACAAGTGGACAGCTGCTATAGGAAAGAACAGGAGGTACATGGGTGGAGACAAACCTAACCTAGCGGACCTGGTATGTGATCCTGTTAAAGATTGGCATTGGTTACTCATGTTATAATTTTGATCATTTTCCATTAGTCGGTTTATGGGGCACTGACAGCTCTTGAAGGATTGGACACTTTTGATGACATGATGAAGAACACTTCAATAAAGAAATGGTATGGGTCCATGAAGCAATGTGTGGATGGACATGAAGGAGCAACTGATAAACAATAATAACAACAACAGCAACAATAATAATAATAATAATAATAATAATAATAATTAGTCATTTTAGCATGTAGCATCTGGTGTAGCATTATAATGTCAAGTGTCAACACTCAAAATGAACATAATAATTGTGCGTGGGTGTTGGTTGGAGGTGTGGCTCAATGATTTAGTGCAGTGGGAGGGGCTTGTAACTAATGGACAGGAGAATTTGCTGACTGGACGAACTAAAAATAGAGACAGGAGTAGCCTTTATAAAAGGAGGAGAGAGAGAGGGAGCAGGAGAGATAGATATGGCATCAGGAGTGAGTGACTGTACAGTGAATATCTCTACTGCTGATGGAGGGACAGAACTGGACTTCTCTTTAAAAGAACCTCCACATTCATGGAAACAGCTCCAAAGCTGCGAGGAGTTTGTAGGAGCTAAAAGAAGCAAGCACACGATGGTGGCCTGGGACGACAAGGTGTACGTGTTTGGAGGTGATAATGGGAAGAGAATGTTGAACGATTTCCTCGTCTCTCACGTTAATGACTCCAGCTGGGCCAGGGTTGTCATAACAGGAGGCCAGGCCCCGCCCCCTAGGTACCACCATTCAGCTGTTGTGTTCCGTAACTCTATGTTTATATTTGGGGGTTACACCACTGGCGATATTAATTCGAATTCTAATTTAAGGAACAAGAACGATCTTTATGAATATAATTTCACAACCAGTCAGTGGATTGACTGGGCCGATAAGGTAACTGGACCACTCCCACCTGCTCGCTCTGCCCACGGAGCCGTCATATATGATAACAGATTGTGGATATTTGCCGGTTACGATGGAAACACTCGATTAAATGACATGTGGTCTATTGATCTTACAAGTGCCACACCTACCTGGGAGAGAATCGACCAATCAGGTGACAGCCCTCCCACTTGCTGTAATTTCCCGGTAGCGGTTGTTGGTTGGAGTATGTACATGTTCTCTGGTCAGAGCGGAGCTAAGATCACTAACAACATGTACGAATTCAAGTTTAACGAGAGACTCTGGGTCCGTATCCCAACTGAGCACCTGCTGAAAGGAGACACTGCCCCTCCTCAGAGGAGGTATGGCCACAGTATGGTCGCTTATGCTGGCCAGCTGTACGTGTTTGGAGGAGCAGCTGATGGTATTTTAGATAATGAGGTTCACTGCTTCAACGTTGAGACTAGGAACTGGTCGATTATAAAACCTTATGATGGAAGTCAAGTACCTTCAGCCAGGGTGTTCCACACTGCGGCAGTCTCCAGGGACTGTATGTACGTGTTCGGAGGTACGGTTGACTCCATTGCCAGCAGAAGTGGAGAACTGTTTCGCTTTAAGTTCTCGTCCTTCCCTCCTTGTACTTTGATAAAGGACCTCACCAAACTCCTCCATGATCTCCCTCTTTGTGACGTTCATTTCATCGTGGGTGACAAAGAGAGGAACATCATTAAAGCACATGCTGCCATTGCTGCTGCTCGCTCTCCTTATCTCCGTAGGAAGATCCTTGAAGCTTACGAGAAACCTTCAGGAGAAGAAGACCTCCCGCCATTTGTTCCCTCGTCTCCTGTAGAGGTCACTCTTGGGGGCGTGTCCACATCCACATTCTCTCATTCCATGTATTACATGTATACCGATCGGATTCATCCGGAGCTTGAAGCCCCACCCCAGGGGGACCAGGTCCTGCTCATGATGGAACTCTACAAGTTTTCATTGCTTTTGGAGGCTCGGAGACTTGAGCTGTTGTGTATGCAGTATCTTGAGGCGTCGGTAAATGTTGATAATGTCCTTCTGGTTCTTGAGAATGCGTCAGAGTTGAACCTCCAGCGACTGAAGGAATACTGCATGAAGTTTATAGTGAGGGAGAATAACTATCGCAAGATAATAATGATGCAGTCGTTTGAGAGGCTAGACCACCCCCTGATGGTACAGATAGTTAGACGCCAGCAGTACAGGTCCCGCCCTACCTCTCCCAGCCCAGAGTCCGATGATCAGCCATTACCTTCAACCCTTCAAGATGATCTTAGGCTGTTTCTATTGTCAGACTATGGTCGTCCATTGTCTGATATTGTTCTTAAAGTTGGTCATCAAAAGGTCTTGGCACACAAACCTTTACTAGCTGCCCGTTGCTCTTATTTTGAAGCTTTCTTTCGCTCGTTTATGCCGTCGGACAATCAAATAGAGATATCATTTGGGAGGACTGTCCCAAGCCAGCAAGCGTTCCAATCTCTCCTTAAATACGTTTATTATGGAGACACTGACGTCCCTCCTGAAGATGCCTTATATATATTCTCAGCTCCTAACTTCTTTGGATTCTCCAACAACTGCTTACACATCCATTGTAAAGCAATCCTGGAGCAGAACATTAGCATCAGTAACGTAGTCTCACTATTGGAAGCATCTGATCTGATTTCACTGGCAGAGATGAAGGAGCACTGTCTTAAACTTATTTCTGAGCATTTTCCATCTCTTGTTCATCAGCCGGAGTTCAGGGACTTGAATAAATCTCTCCTTCTTGACGTTCTGGAAGTGATTGCAAAGAAAATTGCTTAAACAACCAATCTATTATTATTATTTTTTATTATTTTTATTTTTACCATCATTATTATTTATCATCAGTTATCTTCCTTGTTAGAACAATTAAAGTATTTTTTGTTAATTTTTATAAGTACTTGTACAAAGTAACTGTTTAAACGTTTATTCTTGCACTAAAATAAGATCCACTCTCAGTTAGTTTGACTGTTCCTTTTATGTGCCCATTGTTCACTTGTTTCTGGAGATTGTCACGACCTTTGACCCCATCAGTGTCCTTGGAAAGATTGAACCAAATCTACAGAAAATTAATAATATAAAATTGGAAAATTGTATGCAAAGTTTATCCCAAAAATGGTTCTGAAATCACTTCAATTTTAAAAATACATTTTCTGATATATATTGATGTCCTTATGCTGTGTAGCAAGTTTGAGGTGATTCCGACTTCAATTTTTTAAGTTACGGCCATTTAAAAAAAATGCCGAAAATCTGAAAAATACCCAAGGCTATATGGTTTTTTCCAAAAAATGGCCAAAAAGTCACCCCAAATTTTTATTACATTTTCTAATACATATTGATGCTCTTATGCTGTGTAGCAAGTTTGAGCTGATTCCGACTTCAATTTTTCAAGTTACGGCCATTTTAAGAAAACGTCCAAAATCTGAAAAATACCCAAGGCTATAGTCCATGGTTTTTTCCAAAAAATGGCCAAAAAATCACCCCAAATTTTTATTACATTTTCTGATACATATTGATGCTCTTATGCTGTGTAGCAAGTTTGAGCTGATTCCGACTTCAATTTTTCAAGTTACGGCCATTTTAAGAAAACGTCAAAAATCTGAAAAATACCCAAGGCTATAGTCCATGGTTTTTTCCAAAAAATGGCCAAAAAATGACCCCAAATTTTTATTACATTTTCTGATACATATTGATGCTCTTATGCTGTGTAGCAAGTTTGAGCTGATTCCGACTTCAATTTTTCAAGTTATGGCCATTTTAAGAAAACGTCCAAAATCTGAAAAATACCCAAGGCTATAGTCCATGGTTTTTTCCAAAAAATGGCCAAAAAGTCACCCCAAATTTTTATTACATTTTCTGATACATATTGATGCTCTTATGCTGTGTAGCAAGTTTGAGCTGATTCCGACTTCAATTTTTCAAGTTATGGCCATTTTAAGAAAACGTCCAAAATCTGAAAAATACCCAAGGCTATAGTCCATGGTTTTTTCCAAAAAATGGCCAAAAAATCATCCCAAATTTTTATTACATTTTCTGATACATATTGATGCTCTTATGCTGTGTAGCAAGTTTGAGCTGATTCTGACTTCAATTTTTCAAGTTACGGTCATTTTAAAAAAAATGTCAGAAATCTGAAAAATACCCAAGGCTATAGTCCATGATTTTTTCCAAAAAATGGCCAAAAAATCATCCCAAATTTTTATTACATTTTCTGATACATATTGATGCTCTTATGCTGTGTAGCAAGTTTGAGCTGATTCTGACTTCAATTTTTCAAGTTACGGTCATTTTTTAAAAAATGTCAGAAATCTGAAAAATACCCAAGGCTATAGTCCATGATTTTTTCCAAAAAATGGCCAAAAAATCATCCCAAATTTTTATTACATTTTCTGATACATATTGATGTCCTTATGCTGTGTAGCAAGTTTGAGGTGATTCCGGCTTAAATTTTTTAAGTTACGGCCATTATTAAATCAAAATTTCCACTACTTTACTGTAGGCACTTTTGTCAATTTTTAAGTATCTTAAAAAATTTGTAAATAATTTAGACTTCTATGCAGCATAAGCTCTTGTATTTCCTGGTATTTTTTGACCATTACCTGTACCAAAGGAATAGAATCTGCTGAAGTCCTTTCAACAGTAGTAACTCTTACACTAATAATAGCAGCTACTGGTATCTGCAGTATAGAGGCATGGATTATACATTAGTAGTGGCAATGTTACCTGCAATTGTTGAGCTAGTATCATTCTCATTGTGTCCTCTACTGTAGCAATGTTAGTATCAACAGTAAAATTGGAGTTGAATACATTGCTGGTCATTGTATTCTATGGAGGATTAAAGAGATGACAATGATGATTATGTTGAATATTATACCTGTATTCTATTGTTTAATAAATCCCTGGGAACTTGTGGTAATTCTTTTAAAATATAATAAAATAGTAATAAAGAGACTAATGGTTGTGTATTACCACAAGTATAAGCCATTTGATGGTTAGGGCTGATATAGTGTAGGAGAGATGGGAGGGAATGAGCATAAAGACACACTAAATTATCACTGCAATCTCCATCAACTCTACAATTCTACAAGTTCATTAAAAATTAATAATTAATAATGAGCACTGTACTCTTACTTTAGACTGCATGCATTGAGTGCAGTATAATCCACCACAATCAGTGTCTGTTTCATGATTGCTCAATATACCATCAAAACAAGTAGACTCTGGAGATTATTAAAATATACTGCCACTGGTTTCATCATCATTACCTTGTACTGTTAGTGTAGCTTCTAAACTGCTATCAGTTCCCCTCTCATTATCAAGAACACACTGATAGACTCCATCATCAGTTAGTTCTACATTAGTTATGGTGAGTGATGCATTGTAGAGTGAGGTGTAGACTCTGCTGGTGTAGTTGAGCTCAACTCCATCTTTGATCCAAGTTACTTCAGGGAATGGGGCACCAGTTACTGTACATGTTAAATGGTAGGATCTGTTTGTTAGGATAGAATCATTTCTTGGACTTTGAATCACACTTGGAGCAACTATACATGATAATAATGGAGTCATTCTGTCATGCTGTTTCTTTAACTTACAGCATTGGAAATCACCTACTGCCAAGTCACGTGTTAAATTATTTGTTGGCCATTGACATCTCAATATGTCATCATCTTTTGGAAATACACCTGCTACAAATGAGTTTCGAAATAGAACAAGATTGCAGTCACATGATAAAGGATTTCCTGCTAGAAATCTGTTGATAATAATAATAACAACAATTATTATCAAAGTATATTAACAGCACTTACATTTGCAGTGAAGGTGAGGTTATCCCATCCGAATGACTCCCATCATTAAAAACCTCATTAGAGATTGTCTGTAACTGGTTGTATGTTAATGATATTAAGTCAATGTTAGGTATACGAGTAAACAGTCTATCAGGTAGTGAGTTTATTGCTGATTCATCAATATATCTGTAAGAGACCTATAGTCCGGCATTATTAGTAGCACAAGAACTTACATTTCATCAATTGAAGTTAATCCAGTGAACATGTCAGATCTTATTGCAGTCAGATTTGTTCTTTTCATTGACCTGGTGGCTTCATAAACTATAATTCATTATCATCACTGAACTCACAGAATCCTGAGGTTAGTCAAGTGTTCAAAAGCATTGTCTTCAATTTCAGCAAGTGGAGTACCATCTAAAAACCTAATGAAGTAGCCACACATTAACACTACAAGACTCTATGCAAGCAGATATTCTCTAATGTCAATGTCATGCTGCTGCATTTACAAGTTTTGAATAGATGAAGTTGCGTTTGCTAGTCCAACTGGAAGACTTGAGATGAGGGTATCATTCAAGTGGAGGGTGGTCAGGTTCTTGTAGTATGTGAGGTTACCAGGATACAGAACTGATATTGCATTACCAGTCATTATTCTATCATAGGACAGTGGTTATGTTCTATTATCATGTTTTGTTAGCTTACATTATCTCAACATCAGTCGGAAGGTCGTTTGGTATAGTGTAGAATGAGAACCCTCCAGTGACTGATGGACTGCAATCACTTCTCTTGAAGAAATTGGAATAAGAGCAAACTGCAGCGCCATCTTGAGAGCTGGCAAGAGAAAGGAAAGAGAGAAATAGAAGAAAAGAAGACAATAACAACATCTTCATTCCACCTTCTTTGAGCTCAGACTGGGTGGGGCTCATTAATAATTAATGATAGGTGTGGCTCCCTCTGCAGTAGAGGGTGTGGCTGACTGCCCACGTGTTAAATGGTGGTTAATCATGTACAAATTATTCCAGAGTATTTCTTCATGTCAGAGACTGAACTCCCTCCCTCCCTCCATTTTAAACTGTAGACTAGTTCCTCTATCCACCAGTGGGCCACTATGTAAGGGACTGCCTCCTAGACCACGCCTACCTGGCTTCGGATACAACAGATCCCAAATGGTTTATAAACAGCACAAACAGTTTAAATTTATATTTGATGGTGAGACGCTATAGCTGCTACATAATGATTGATGTATTGTAGGGGAGGATAGAGTGAAGAACATTTGGGAAGACTATCAGAGGAATCACAAAGGATCCGTACCGCCACAAGTATTGTTAATTAGTTTAATTATTATTTATCATTAATTATGTAGAAGACCCGACGGCTTTGTAGAGTAAGCCACACCTCTTATTAATTAACTAATTAATTAATCTTCAGTCAGGTAAAAGGAGTGCTTGTCCGTTGTGTAGAAAGAAAATAAAAGATATAAAATACACAGTAAATAATATTAATATTAATACACTTTTACCATAGTCACTGCTAGGATGTGGCCCTATTGAAACAGTTTATTGATGAACACACTGGACAGGTTATAAGAGCAGTAATCACTGGTAACTGATCAGTGACACTTTTATAATTTAATGAGAGCTACTCTCTCTCTCAAGGTTTGTGTAGGACACAGCAAAAGAAAGTTGAGGCAGCAGTTGAGAAAGCTTATGATCATGGTAACACAATGATGATGATGATAATGATCTATTCTCCATTGGTTAGGATACTTGAGTTACACCATACCAGTAACTAACCCTCCTTACTATAAACCAGTAGAAACAGGATTCAAGCATCATGGAGTAACATGGAATAGGATTAACACTGATGAATATTAATCAATAAAACTAGTATATATGAACTAAAGGTCTAGTATGTGAAACAGTTACTGCAGTATGATTCTATTATAATGGTATTATAATGGTATTATAATGGTATTATAATGTTATTATAATGTTATTATAATGTTATTATAATGTTATTATAATGTTATTATAACGGTATTTTGTGTGACTTGAACTTGTCAGTGATACTTTTAACCAGCAACTTTGCATGTTTTAAACTGTAAGCTATTATAAATAAACACACATGAATACATTAAGATTAATTAATAATGATTAATAATACCTTTCAACTGTGTCTTAATGGTGTCTTCAAAGAAACCGCTGTACGCCCACTCATCATGATCCTTGATATAATCAAAGGCAGTCTGTCCATAGGCATCAGTGCACTGGTAATCAGCTCCTGCGCAGCAACACATGATGAAGTATGTTATTATTATTAGAACTGTGTCTGATACACTATCCTACCATGTTTCAGTAGTGTACTAGCAGCATAAAAGTTATCAACTTGACAGGCAGAAAACAATGGGGTCATCTTGGCTTTATCAGTGATGTTGACATCAGCTCCTCCAGCAATGAGTAGGTCAGTTAGTTCAGGTAAGTGGATTAGGGTAGCACTGAGATGCAATAAACTGAATAATGATAATAATAATAATAATAATAATGATGATGATGATAATGATGATGATGATGATGATGATGATGACACTGACTGGATTGTATGGATGTACCTTTTACCAGAAGAGAATGTGGTGTCAACCTTAAGACCTTTCTGTATTAGGAACCGAAATACCTCAAGAGGGGTTTTACTATTAAATAAATAAAATAAATAAATAATTAATAATAATAATAAATTACTAGTATTCTTCAGTGTCGTTAAATAATGAATGACACATTGCCACCAGCTGATCCTCTTCAATCTCACAACCTTTACCAAACAACCTTTAAATATCGATAAAAATAAAATAAAATAGAATAAATAAATGCATACCATTCAGCACATTCCAAGTGTCCATACTTCAATGATAAGTAAATCAAATTTCTCTACAAATTAAAAACACAATAATTATTCTATGCTCACTATGAATAATTAATTAACCAGTCACCACACCCCTAATTAATTACCTCTCCATTAATAGATGCAGCTGGCAGTTGATTCCTTGTATCGGACAGTAACAGTTCAAGTGCTTTAATGTGTCCGTTAGCAGCTGCACAATGAATAGGAGTGAGTCTGTTATCATTCTCAATCAGTAGATTAGCACTGAAGGATAGCTAGTGGGAGGGGCAGCACATTAATATCATTAATAACTAGCTCCACCCACCATTAATTGAATATTCTTCTCCATATATTCAGTACAGTCCGTGTCCATACATATACAGTGTAGAGGTGTGTCCCCATTACAATCAACAGCATTAACTGAGGCATCATTATCCAGGAGGAACCCAACGGTATGAGGAGCCCGTGAATAATGCAACGGAGCAGCACCTGAACTACTGGTCACGTTAACACCCACACGCTCAGATAATAACAACTAGTAGTAATAATGACAGTACACAGCATAAGAGCATCAATATGTATCAGAGCCTTTACTACCTTTATAGCTTCAGTTGATCCTAATTGAGCAGCACAATGCAATAGAGTCAATCCATTGACACACCTCATGATTAATAAATAAAATAATAAATGAATAAATAATAATGTACCTGCTAGCTAGACTAATAAATGGGTTGACTCCAGTGATGTGTTTTTCAATGACCATTAGCAAATACTCAGTGTCTCTATGCTGAGCAATCCTCCTCACTATAGTCCTCTGCTCCTTGTGCTTACCTAATGATCAGCACCAACAGTAACACATCTTCCATTATAATCCTGTCAGGGTGTCTGTATCTAACCTTCCAGGAATCTCTTCAAGTCTTCATTCCTCACGTTATCAAGAGCAGTTTTGTTCTGTATATTCCTTATGTGTATATCAGCGCCCCACTCTATTAATAACTATTAATAAACCAACAGTTAATAACTATTAATAGTGTTTTTCAATACTTGACTGATCTCTTTGTGGAGTCCTTCAACACTAACAGAGAATGGAGTCCCTCCTGATTTATTCTGTGCATTAATACAACTGCCCCTCTCCAACAGGTAATGGGTACAATCCTATACCAATGATAATGATAATGATCATACATTAATTGTTCTATTATTATCATACCAGGTGTCCATTCCTTGCTGCTAAATGAAGTGCAGTATTGCCACACTCATCAACATTCTCTATAAATCCTCTCTCACTTTTGAAAAACGACACCTATTAATAATAATAACAATTAATACTTTATTGTTATGAAGTATAATACGTTATTACCAGTTTTTGTAGCATTTCCAAGTTCCCATTTTTTGCTGATTTCCTCAATAGCCTCTCACACTGGTCGGGGGTACCAGGGAACACCTGGTACAAGAACCTGAACGCACAATATCACCATCATCATCATTAATTAATTAATTCATTTATTAATTACTTTGATCCTTTCTTCAAGACTCTGTTCCTGGAGGTACTCTCAAAGTAAAGCTACAAGATACTAAGTAATAATAATAATAATGAATATTAATTAATTACTGTGTAATCCTTAAAGTCATAATTAGCTATTTCAATATTATCAGTTAAATGAACACCAAGCAGTCCTCTGATACTCCCTATTAATATTCATTGATTAATTAATAATAGTCAATGAATATTAATTACCTTTTGGACACTCAGCTCCACTGAAATCATCAAAAAACTGACCTAAATATAAAATAAATAATAAATAAATAAGTAAATTCATGTATAATAATTACCAGTAGCGTCCTTATAAGCCACTAGTTTCCTAGTGGGCCAGAGAGTCTCCTTAACATCAGATCCATAGAACCCGTTACCGTTAGTCAGACCCTAACAGTGTGTACAAGTACATTATAACTATACATAGCTATGTACTTACCAGGTTAATGACCATTGATTCACATAGATCATTTATTGTCATGCGACTATATAAGGATATACAGCACAGTACAGTACAGTATACAGTATACATGTTACCTGTGTGGTACTGTTAGTATATCAAACCTTTGCTTCATCTTCTCCATTATAAGACCTCGGGCCTCAGTCTGAGCTTCTTTGACAAGCTCCACCCACTTACTGCACTCATCAATGGAATAAGTACTCATCAACCATTTCAATTCTAATTAATAATAATAATAATAATAATAATAATAATAATAATAATAATAATAATAATGATCATTAATTAATTACCATCATCACAAGTTTCCAGTTGAACTTGCAGATCAATATTGCTACTTTGACCTCTGCAATCAACAATCAATCATTAATAATCATTATTATTATACATTACTTTTTCTTGTCCTTCTTGCTGGAGCTAGCTGAGCTGTTCTTCCTATCAGTTGATGATACAACAGTATCCATTGACTCAATTCGTCTCAACTGATGATGGATCTTGTCCTTCTGTGACCTTAACTCTTCCTATAGTAGCAACAGAAACAACATTTCAATAATAATAATGACATTCTAATAGATATAATAATAGTAATGATAATACTACTACCACTAACAGTTATAATGGCATACCATTCTCTTAACGAGAGCTGTTGCTTGTTTCAGTTGGTACCCACACATGAAGACATAGGCAAGTACTGCACAGGCACCAATGGGGTTACCCTGTAGTGGGAGGGGTCAGAGGGTGTGGTCAGACAGTAGCTACCTCTTTAAGATCTTTTGAAGTTAATTTTGTGTTCACACGAAACATTTTTGAAGCAACTTTTAACACAAGATCAATGGTCCACCTACACATGTATACATGTGAGTCAATTAATAGAATTAATACAACTACTCTTGATACAATACAGTTGATACATGTGCATTGCTACCTGTCATTCAGTAATACTTCAGTTGTAAAGGTACCTGGTACAAATGAATTTATTAAACAGCACCAAACCCTAACACAATTAACATTAATAATTAATAATTAACATTAATAATTAATATAATATTAAATACTCACTTGCTGTCTGTTACATCATCGTAATCCTGTTGTTAATTAATTAATTATAATAATTACCTGTACATGTATCACTTACTAAAAATTCAATTCTTCGTCCTTCAGGTATAGTCTATAGTGGGTGTGGTTATCAACAGGAAGTGGGTGTGGTCACCATACCTCCAGTTGTGCGTTGATTATTTCTCTCAGTGTGTGCTCGGTCCCTCTCACTCTACCCTCACCAGCTCTGCAGCATCAATGAATATCATTAATCAATGAATATCATTAATCAATGAATATCATTAATTATAGTATCTTTACCTTTTTGAATTGAGATATGTTGAATTCCTTCCATTGAAACTGGTGTAATATGGCTAATTAATTAATTAATTAATTAATTAATTAATGACTAACGATGATTACCTACTTTATATTCATGAGCAGTGTTACTTAGTTCAAATGGTCCATGCTAAGAAATGTAATAATAATAATAATAGTAATGGTTGCTATGGTTACATGAAAGGGTATTGGTTTTGATAACACACTCTTGAGAGCTGAGGATGACGATGATTGGAAAACAGGAGCAATCTCGTACAAGAAGGCCACGTCTTTCCTTATAAGGTGCCACAATACTGGATACACCTTAATATGAATGTAAATTATTATTATTATCATCATTATTATTACGTGATTGACTGAGTGACGTGCAAAGTAAAGAGAACTGGTATTAAGAGAAGGAATCAAATCTCTAAATAAAATAATAATAATAATAAATCTGATTTTACTTACTCTGATTTCAGTGTGTCCAGAAACCAGTCAACTCTTGTTACTTTCTGGTTGTCAGTCAGGCTATAATGAGTCCATTATATTAATGTACAGTTACATGATCATTACTTGTTCAATGATCCAATCCTTTTTGATGGTGTACCAGTTAATCCTGTAACAATAAAACCAGTATTACTATCATTAATATAGCTTATTACGCTCTAGTAGTGTCTTCATGACCTCTCCTTCCATTATTCCAATCACTATGTCCTCCACACACTGCCTACTAGCAGCCAGTCTAACGTTAGCCCAAGCTGTAATTTCTGCATTCACCTCAGCCGCCATCTTGGATAATATTTAACCCTTTCACATATGTTACCATAGTAACGAACCAAAAAAGTAATTTTGATATTTTTTCCTAAAAGAAGTCATTACGGTATTAAATCCCGCCAATCCGCCATTTTGAAGCAGGTGTAGTGGACCTAGTGGTAAGGAAGGATCCTTTCCTTTCTTCTTCTTTGAGTTTGTTTGTAGCTCGAGGAGGTCGTCATGTCTGGGAGACTGGAGAGACTAGAGCTGGATAACTTCAAGTCTTACAAAGGACACCAGATCATTGGACCCTTCATGAAGTTCACAGCAATCATTGGACCCAATGGAGCTGGTGGGCACCCTCACCATTAATTGCTAATAATAATAATAATAATAATTATTATTATTATTAGGTAAATCCAATTTAATGGATGCCATTAGCTTTGTATTGGGAGAACAGACGAGGAACCTCAGAGTCCGCAGCCTAAAGGTATCAACAACAATAATAATAACAATACTAATAATAATAATGACTTATGATTCCAGGAGTTGATTCATGGAGCTCCCATTGGTAAGCCAGTCTCCTCCACTGCGAGGGTAGTTGCTGTATATGTTGATAGTAATGGAGAGGAGACCAGCTACAGCAGGACGTACGTGTACATGTACTCGTCAGTTAATGTTCACATGTTATTGTTTAGTATCGTGGAGCACAAGACTGGAGGAGAGAAGAGTGATTGGAAGTCAGTGTACAGGATTAATGATAAGGTGGGTGTGGCTGGGGGTGTGGTTAGTTATTAATAGTTATTAGACTAAGAGTGCTTCAGAGTACATGAACGCATTGGAAGAAATCGGAATTTATATAAAGGCTAGAAACTTCCTCGTGTTTCAGGTTTAAATGATAATTAATGGATTAATGGATTAGTTAATTAATACCAGGGTGCTGTTGAGTCTATTGCAATGAAAACTCCAAAGGAACGAACTCAATTATTTGAAGAGATCAGTGGGTAAGCCACACCCCCAAAGACCACACCTACTAGTGGTACATCCCATAGTTCAAAGGAATACGCTGCAGAATATGAAGAGAAGAAGGCAGCAATGATGAAAGCACAGGAGGAGACACAGACCAGCTACCAGAAGAAGAAGGTATGGGTATTGTTTGTTGTTTATTGTTTATTGTTGTTGTTTGTTTGTTATTGTTAGGGTATATCACAAGAGAAGAAGGAGGCACGAGTTGAGAAAGAAGAAGCCGAGAAATATCAAAAACTATTGGAAGAACTAGTAACTAACTAACTAACTAATGATTGATGTCCTTGTCATAGGGAGAGGCACAAGTGAAGGAGCAGTTGTTTAAACTGTATCACAATGAAACTGACATTGATACACTAGCCACTGACACCAGGAGCAAACACAAGGAACTGGAGAGAGCTGTAAGAGAATAGCCGGGACCAGTGGGGAGTGAGGGAGGGATGGATGAATAGAGTGGTTGGATGATGGAATGGTTGGATGGTGGTTATTGTACAGTATGTGTACCTGTGTCTGTAGGTAAGGAAGAGAGAGTCTCTGGAGGAACAGGTTAAGACTAAGAGACAAGAAGGGGCTCGTTATACAAGAGAAATGAACACCAAAGAGAAGAAGATCAGAGACAAGGAAATGGAACTGGCAACAAAGAAACCGGCTTTCATCAAAGCAAAGGAGAGAAAGTCACACGTTAACAAGAGACTGGAGGCACAAAAGTACATTAATAAACATTAATAATTAATTAATATTAATTATAATAGGAAGACATTGACTAAAGCAAAGGAAAAGCATACAGAACACAAAGATAAAGTAATTTATTATTATTATTATTATTATTATTATTGTTATTATTATTAATTATTATTAATTATTATTAATAATAATTATTAATTATTATTAATAGGTTGAGTCCATCAGTAGGGAGTTACGAGAGGTGAAAGAAGCAGCTGCTTTGTTTGAGAGAGAAGTGATAGAACAGGAGGGAGAGGAGGAGCACCAGTTGCTGGAGAGTCAATTAACTGAATATCATAAACTGAAGGAAACTGCTGGCATGCAGTCAGCCTCACTGGCACAACAACTGGAGAGGGTAAGCCCCTGTCATTAACAGTAATCATTAACCATCGATTGATTAATATCACCTTGAATGGGGTGACAGGTTTCACCTATTAGGAATAATAATAATGATCACATTATATGTTCATGTATTTGGTTAGGTTAAGCATGAGCAACGTGTTGATGAGGAGGAGTTGGATCAGTGTCACACTAAAGAGGAGGAGCTACAGAACCAGCTCAACCAGTTACAAGAACAACACAACCAGCATCTTAACAGACTAGAGAGACTCGACCAATATATAAAGTATTATTATTAGCATTATTATTATCATCATCATCATTGGTATAGTACTGCTAGTTCTGAATTGGAGAAGTTCAAGGCTGATCATTCCAAGTTATCCAGTGAGATAGCTCAGGCTGAGATGAAGTCAAGGGACATTAATGAAGCATTAGGATCCATCCATGATAAACTGAGGGACGCTAGGGTAAGGCCAATGAGTGCTGGTATGAGTCTGTGTATCCTGGCAGGTTGACCATCATGAGAGCAGCAGGTCCCTCCGTAAGCAGGAACTGCTAGAGAACCTTAAGAGACTCTACTCCGGAGTGTATGGCCGCCTGTTTGACCTCTGTGAGCCCGTCCACAGGAGGTACAGGATAGCCATCACTAAGATACTGGGGAGGAACATGGATGCCATCATAGTGGACTCTGAGAGGACTGGGAAGGACTGTATCCAGTATATAAAGGAACAGGTGGGTGGAGCTTATAAGGGGTGTGGTTTATTATTATTATTATAGCATGGGGACCCTTGTACGTTCCTTCCACTGGATACCATTGAAGTGAAACCAATTAATGAGTCATACAGGTACTGTAACTGCATGATCATTATTGAAATGTACTCATTACTGTGATCATTTATATGTTCTTATATTCCGTTGGTTCCTTGTCCCAGGAGGTTGGGAGGTACTTGTAAGTTGGTGTTTGATGTGATTCGGTTTGACCCTCCGGTCATTAAGAATGCCCTCCAGTTCAGTTGTGGTAATGCTATAGTCTGTGATGATATGGAGGAGGCTAGGAGAGTGGCCTTTGGATCAGCTGAGAGGAAGAAAGTATGTTCATTAATTATTAATTATTATTATTATTATTATTATTATTATTATTATTATTAGACGGTATCTCTTGATGGGACATTGTTTCAGAAGTCTGGAATAATATCAGGAGGAGCTAGTAATGTGAAGGCTAAAGCTAAGAGATGGGATGAAAAGGTAATTAGTATAATGAATGTGAAGATGTACATGTACATGTATGTAATGTATAGTGTATGATATAAGCTCTCCTTTGGTAGCACATTGATAAGCTGAGGACACAGAAGGATAGGTACATGTCAGAACTACAAGAGCTGAACAGCATCAGAAGGAAATCAAGTGAACTGCAGCAGATTGACTCAGAAATGAAGGGACTGGAGACCAGACTCAAATACTCCAAGACTGACAGAGACAACACAGTAAGGACATCCACTACTGATAGTATAATATACTACTTATTGTTGGTACTCTAGCATAATAACACACTGGGGCGGGTGGAGAGGGACATGGAGAGAATTAATGAAGAAAAAATGAGAATTGAAGTAAGAGCTAACATTATTGATATTATTATTGATTATTGTAATTTGTGTCCAGCCAAAGAAGGCCAAGATCCAAAGGTCAATGGAGAAGAGAAGAAAAGAACTTCAGAAACTTGAAAATAAAATTAATAAAGTGGAGGATGAGGTTAGATAAATAACACAATATTTATTTATTTATTTATTTATTTATTTATTTATTTATTTATTTATTTATTTATTTATTTTAGATATTTAGAGACTTCTGTAGATCCATTGGAGTTGATAATATAAGGTAATGAATAATTAACTAGTAATTAATTAATTAATAATGAATAATTAACTAGTAATTAATTAATTAATTATTATTAATAGACAATATGAAGAGAAGCAGCTCAAAGCTCAGCAGTTGAGGTCTCAGAAATCGTTAGAATTCTCCAACCAAATATCACGTCTTGAGAACCAGCTCCTCTATGAGAAGAACAGGGACACTAAAGGTCCGTACCACATACTGTACTTGTACCACCTACACATAATGTGATAGAGTGGTAGCTACTGGTTTATGAGTGCAGTGTATGATGAGGATTGTCTTGTTGTAGCTAATGTGAAGAAGTTGAATATCAGTATCAGGAATGATGAGGAGGCCATTAATGAAATAGAAACTGAAGAACAACAACTACTGGAAGTAAATATATTAATAATAATAATGATAATGATATTAATGATATTAATAATAATAATGATAATGATATTAATAATAATAATGATAATGATATTAATACTGTGTGTGTGTTCATTAGGTTATTGAGGATATTGAGGGTAGAATTAATGAATTAATAATACTGTGTGTGTGTTCATTAGGTTATTGAGGATATTGAGGGTAGAATTAATGAACTGAAAGAAGAAAAGAAGAAAATACAAAATAAATATGATGATCAGGTAATGAATAATTAATGATTAATTAATTAATTAGTTAATTAATATTAACAGGACATTGAGGTCAAGCAGTTGCGTAAAATGTTGGGGGAAGCAGTGAAAGAAGTGGGAATATTACAAAAGAAGATAACCAACCTGGTATACATTAATTAATGAGTGGGTGGGGTCACTTTCCTTATTAGGAAACTGAAATGGATCAAAAGAAATCAGAAAGACACTCAATATTGAAGATGTGTAAAGTGGGTGTGGTTATATCATTGAGTGGGTGTGGCTTATTAATTAATTAATTACTAGATCAATACAATATTAATACCAATGAGTGATGGAACCATGGACGACATTGAAGATATTGAAGTATATTAATTAATATTAATTAATTGTTATTATTATTAATAGGGGGGCAGCAGTCAATCTACTGGTACTATGATGGAAGTGGACAGCACATCAACCCAGGTTAGTGGGTGTGGCTATTATTATTATTAGCTATCGTTAGGGGGCAAGGCTACTGTATGAGAAAGAGTCAAGAATTGTAATTGACTACTCACTGCTGGACAGAAAATATACCAATGTAAGCCTACATTAATACATAATAATAATAATAATCAATAATCAATAATTAGGTGACAGATCCCCAAGAGATGAAGGGGTTCATTCAGGAGTTACATTCTCAAGTCCTTCATCTTGAAGGAGTCATCCATCGTATCACCACTCCTAACTTCAAGGCTGGGGACAAGTAAACCACACCTACTATGAATAATTAATGAGCCACACCCACTAACAGATTAGGAGACGTTGAGTCCAGACTTCAAGAGACAGCAGCAGTTTTTGAGCAATCAAGACTACTGGCTAAGAAGACAAAGACAGAGTTTGCACGAATTAAGAAGAAAAGGTTTTAAAATCTAACATTAATACATGTACACATGACAACAACAACAGGTATGACGAGTTCACTAGAGCATTTGATCACGTATCTTCAGTTATCGATAATGTCTATAAGGTAAGAGGGGGTGTGGCTAGTTATTAATTAATATTTATTTTAGAAACTGTGTAACAATACCAGTGCTCAAGCGTTCCTTGGTGTTGATAATTCAGAGGTACATGATGAGGTCTCATGTTACTATTATAATGATTACTAATGTAGGAACCTTATCTTGATGGAATCAGTTATAACTGCATTGCTCCTAGTAAAAGGTGATTAATTAATAGCTATTAACTAATAGTTAATTAACTGGTAGGTATCGTCCAATGGATAATCTCTCGGGTGGTGAGAAGACATTAGCTGCTCTAGCGCTACTCTTCTCCATACACAGGTACATGATGTGTAGTGGTCATTATTACACTAGTGTCATTATGAATGTGTTCAGTTTCCAACCAGCTCCATTCTTTGTATTGGATGAAATAGATGCTGCTTTGGATAACACTAACATTGGAAGAGTAATGATGATGATGATGATGATCATTAATCATTATTAATAGGTGGCTAATCATATAACAGAGGAGACCAACAGCAACAGGTTCCAGTGCATAGTGATATCATTGAAGGAAGAGCTGTATGGTCACTGTGAATCAGTGATTGGTATATACAGTGAGGTATGTGTTAATGGGAGGCCTGGCCGGGTTCTAATAATGTATTGTTAATATTTCTCTCTGTCCCTATAGCCGGGGGGTGAGTGCACCATCAGTCACACTGTCACTTTGGATCTCACTCAGTTCCCTACTGGAGGAAGAGGGCAATCATCATCTTTTATAAACTCCACCCACTAGACTTTTAATTAGGGTTTAAGTGACGAATCTTAACATTAGTTACCATATTCCAAGCCACACCTATATCAAAACCACACCATCATAATTACGGAGATTTCTGATTGATTTAAAACTACTACACACACTACCACTAATACTTGATAAAAAGATAATTAGTTAGTTATTCATTATTATTATTATTATTGTCAATAGTCTATTGTGCTGTTATTTCTGGTTTGCCGATCCGTGCTTCAATGAAATCAACTTGTCTCTCCAGTTTGGTCAGTTTCTGATTCAACTGGGCCAGTCTTGATCTTGCTGAAAGATCAAATGCATTCAAAAACTCCGTAATCTTCTTGATACTACTGGTTATGAGCTCAGTAAACTCCCTGTTATTCCAGTCCTGTTGAATTAGTGCTTGTACTGAAGTCATCCGTTCCTTCTCCTCTACGGGACCCTGTCTCTAGTGAAATACCCCGAGCCTTCACTCTCAATGTAACGAGAGAAATACAACTACTAGTTTTGTCAACAGCAGCAATTAAGGAGTGGGTGGAGCTTGTAGTGGGTGTGGCTTAAGGCTAAAATATTTAACCCTTTGTTGCAGGTCCAACAGCATGAACATGATGGAGACACTCTAAACCTTATTATAATTATTGAGACGATGTCCTCAGTCCCTGTCCCTCCCTTCCCTCCTCCTCAGCAGCTGCTGAAGGAGTTCCTCTCCTCACCTCAGGAACTGGACATTCACCAGTACAAGAGACACCAAAAGTACCAGAAATAATAATAATTATTATTATTATTATGATAATGATAATAATCATTATCCAGGCACAGCCTTATGAGCAGGACAGAAATGATAGAACTGCATGAGGAGACTATAGTCTTGTGACTCTTGGCAATTTGCAACCGTAGTAGGGCTTAATCATGGCTCAGCTTCTGTTGATAGTAACAAAGAATTAGTCAATTCCCCCAGTCTTCTACCAGGGGATTTGACAAAGAATTGACCCCCCAGTAGTGGGGATATTGAACAGCTATAAAAGTCAAATCCCCACTTTGCCCCACCTATGCCCGTGTCTAGGGGAGTGGGGGTTAACATTGATAAGTGCATTATGATAATAATAATGAATGTATTGTGCATGTACATGTATTTCATTGTTAGGTTATGGTCCCGTGTTCCAATGCCCCGTTCATTACTGGAGGCTCCACTCTGCCCAGCTCATATCAACATTGTATCAGAGAGGGACCCCAGCACTGGGACACTCCTAGACTATAAGGAGGTACATATCAGCTCTACATTAGTTACCAGCTGTTCATTAGTTACCAGCTGTTCATTGATTAATGACTGTATTGTATTGTGTTCAGGTTGAATTAGATGAGGTTGGTTTAACGGCCAGTAACTCCACCTCCTTGCAGCGACCCCCCGGCCCCCTCGATCAATTAATAAAAGGAGAGGCCAACCAGTTCCCATTCTGGCCTGGTAATCATTAGTGGGTGGGGCTTAGACAATTAATTAATATTCATTAGGTGGGATGGACAGAACTGATGGTATTTGTAGTTATGATAACGAAATAAATTTTGATACAGGTAATGATTGATATTAATTAATAATGATATTAATTAATTAATAGATTTATTGACTGTCCCTCCTGGTTTTAGTGAAGGAATGGACTTTAGAAATAAAAGTAATATTTAACTATTAATTTTAATATTTAACTATTAATTTATTTTAATTTAATGTATTTGTAGCACATGCAGCTTCTGATATTAATAGTTTAAAAATTAATTTTGATGAATTATTTAACGTAACGGACATTGACCTTCAAATGGAAGAAGATCCTCAAGGAAACGAAACAGAAACTGGAGACACCAACCAAGAGGAACAGGAACAGGTTCTGACAATATATCCCTAACTGAAAGGATCATTGTGTCTCTGTTTAGATTGATGAACTAGTAATGATTCCAGACCCAGTGTCAGGGGGCCTGGAGACTAGTGCTCGGACCCCTAATAAGAATAATGAAGCGTGGGCCATTAAAGTTGAGCTACACGAGGATATTGATGATTTTTATAAGAAAATACCTTCAATGGCCCACACAGTAAGCACAGGATCATAATATTCTATTCACATTTCATCAATTCTTCAGTGGCCATTTGAATTGGATAATTTCCAGAAGCAGGCCATTTTAAGACTAGAATCACACGAGAATGTTTTTGTGTCGGCTCACACTTCAGCTGGTAAAACAGTTGTAGCTGAATACGCCATAGCCCTGTCTCTATCACACAAAACCAGGTAATATGATCATGTAGGGTACCTACAGTGGGTAATGATACTGTACTTTTATACTTGCACTTTGAGCTGTTTCTGATACATATTGGACTTTTTATGAATTTTTTAATTTTCTCCAAAATTGGTCTTGAGCCAAATTTTGCCAAATTGACAAGGATAGAATTCTCCACCTTTATTACATTTCCTGATACATATGCATGTTCTTTTATAATTCAGGACTATCTACACTTCTCCAATCAAGGCTTTGTCTAATCAAAAGTTTCACGACTTCAGAGGAACCTTCGGAGAGAGTGCCATAGGACTAGTGACTGGGGACGTACAGATCAATAAGGAAGGACCCTGCCTGATAATGACCACTGAAATACTGAGGTATACTGAAGTATACTGAGGTATACTATTAACATGAGATCATGTGGTTAATGTACAGGTCAATGTTGTATCATGGATCTGATGTGATCAGGGACGTGGAATGGGTCGTGTTTGATGAGGTTCACTATATTAATGACACTGAGGTAATCAAAGGGGTGGGGCTTATCATTAATTATTGGGTGTGGTGTATATTATAGAGAGGCGTGGTCTGGGAAGAGGTCCTAATCATGTTACCAGATCATGTTAGGCTGATCCTCCTCTCAGCTACCGTACCTAATACTATGGAGTTTGCTGATTGGGTTGGGTAAGGGGTGTGGTCTAGTAGGTGTGGCTTACCCTCCTCCATTAATAGACGTACTAAACAGCGTAAGATTCATGTTGTCAGTACCTTACAGAGACCAGTGCCGCTACAGCACTACCTCTATACTGGGAACAGCAAACACACTCAGGAAGAACTGTTCATGATAGTTGGAGAAGACAAGAAGTTCATAGTACCAGGGTAAGCATAGTCTCTCTTAATGGACACTCTCTATAGCGTACACCTCCATTTAATGGACAGCACCTAGTGTACCAATTACTGTATAAAATACCCTCCATGGAGAGGCTAGTCTGTACATGACATGGTTTAGGTATAAGCAAGCTCTGGAAGCAAAGAGGAAGAGTGATGAGAAGAGCGGACCAAAGGGCGGGGCTAAGGGGAGGGGCCAGCTAACGACAGCTCAGGTGATTACTTCATGTTATCAACTGATTTCAGTTTATGGTAGGAGAGGAATGTCTGGCAGTCGCTGGTGAATCTGCTAAAGAAGAAAGACAACTTACCTCTTGTAGCCTTTACCTTTTCAAAGAAGAGGTGTGACGATAATGCCAACTCTCTCACTAACCTTGATCTCACAACACGAGAGGATAAACACAAGATTGATTCATTCTTTAAGAAATCAGTCTCAATCTTGAAAGGATCTGACAGGGAACTACCCCAGGTTTGTAGTGTGGTTGTCGTGGTGATAGGCCCCACCTACTAATTACAGGTAGTTTGGATGAAAGATTTGTTGAAGAGAGGAATAGGAGTCCATCACAGTGGGATACTCCCCATAATTAAAGAGGTGGGTGGTACCTCGATTAATAATAATTAATATCATTATCTTTAGATAATAGAAATGCTGTTTGGACAGGGTCTAGTGAAGGTAGTTAATTAATTAATATTAATAACTAGTTATTAATGTTTATTGTTAGTTATTATTTGCGACTGAGACATTTGCCATGGGGGTTAACATGCCAGCTAGGACTGTAGCATTTGATGCCATTAGGAAACACGATGGGAACAGGAACAGGGAACTATATCCAGGTAACGTGACCTCACCTGACCTCATCATGTGACCTCATCAATAGGTGAGTATGTTCAGATGGCGGGAAGGGCTGGTAGGCGTGGCCTGGACACAACCGGGACTGTAATTATACTGTGCAAGACTGACGTACCGGAATCAGGAGACCTTGTCAAGATGATACTAGTAACGATAATTAATGAATATATTGATTATTATTAATTGATAGGGTAGTCCAGGTGTATTGGAGTCTCAGTTTAGATTAACTTATTCAATGTTAATGAATATACTGAGAGTACAATCACTGAGGTATGTCTATGATCATTAATAACTATTAATAACTATTAATTAACCAGGGTCGAAGAGGTGATGATGAAAAGTTTTGCTGAACTGGACTTGGTTAAGCATCATGGTGACCACACCCACCAATTAAAGGAGGTGGAGTCAATGATGTCATCAATAGACAGTGTACTCTGTCAGCTCTGCACTGGTGACATTGAGTTATACTATGAGCAATGTAGACTATTAGTTAATATTAATAATCAATTAAAAGTAATGCCCATTAATTAACATTATTATTATTATTATTATTATTATTATTATTATTATTATTATTATTATTATTATTATTATTTTAGGATATATTGATGTCCAATGCCCATTATAACAAGTCCCTGTTGCCAGGGCGATGTGTCATTCTTCAAACTAATGATTATAAATACATACCAGCTCTACTGCTGCGACATAACAGTGACCAATCATATACTGCCCTCGTCCTCTGTAACCATGGAAATGATCCTCCAATCTCACTGGTCGATTCTAAATCCACTTGGGTAGTTCCTTATTCTCCAATTAATGCCCTACACGTCCCTAGTGATGGTCCCTCTCATACCCTACTAAAGGTCAAAGGTCGTGAGGTTGTTGCTGTATTGAAGAAAGTGATTTCATTGGACGTTCAAAAGATACTGAGAGACTGTGAGAACAGAGAAATACCTCGTTTCAAGTAAGTGAATATAACTTACATTCAATAATGGACTAGCTGTTACCATAGAGACAATCCTCCTGCTGATGTAACTGGTAGAGCCATTGAAGTATTGAGAGAGTTTGGAGAGGGTGGGGCTAAAGGGGGAGGGGCTGAAGTGATGGAGTTTAATGTGAAGAGTTTGGAATATGCTGAACTGAAAAGAGAAAAAGAAAGAATTGAGGAAACACTGAGCAGCTGCCAGTGTCTCAAATGCCCGCAATTTATAGAGCATGTAAAAACTTCATTATTAATTAATTAATTTATTTATTTATTTATTTATTCATTTATTTATTTATTATAGTTTGACAGGACAAGACAAAAGGCTATATTAATTGAGAAGAGATCAGATTTAAAGTTCAAATTATCAGAAAAAAGCTTACAATTTTTACCAGAATACCATCAAAAATTAGACGTAAGAGGAAGAGAGAAGGCTAATTATATTTATTTAATTTCAGGTTCTTAAATATTTTGGATTCATTAGTAACGATTGTACTGTTAATCTCAAGGGGCGTGTCTCTTGTGAAATACACACTCACGAGATTATAATTACCGAATTATTGTTCCGGAACTTTCTTAGGCAATATGAACCAGCAGAAATAGCAGCACTTCTATCCAGCATGGTCCTCCAACAGGTACTGCATGTAGGGAGGCTTAAAATGGCTGTAACTTGATTAATTGAAGTCGGAATCAGCTCAAACTTTCTACACAGCATAAGGACATCAATATGTATCAGAAAATGTAATAAAAATTTGGGGTCATTTTTTGGCCATTTTTGGAAAAAACCATGGACTATAGCCTTGGGTATTTTTCAGATTTTTGGCGTTTTTAAAGAATGGCTGTAACTTGAAAAATTGAAGTCGGAATCGCCTCAAACTTTCTGCACAGCATAAGGACATCAATGTGTATCAGAAAATGTAATAAAAATTGGGGGTGATTTTTTGGCCATTTTTTGGAAAAAACCATGGGCTATAGCCTTTGGTATTTTTCAGATTTTTGACATTTTCTTAAAATGGCCGTAACTTGAAAAATTGAATTCGGAATCAGCTTAAACTTTCTACACAGCCTAAGGGCATCAATATGTATCAGAAAATGTAATAAAAATCTGGGATGATTTCGGAATCATTTTTTGGAAAATATCCAAGGCTATAGCCTTGGATATTTTTCAGATTTTGGGAAACCTAATCTTGATCTTGTGTATAAGTTAATTAATTTTGTTATTATTTTTAGAGTCACTGCAGTGACCCGTCTCTTACCGACAGATTGAAGCAAGTGAATAGAATTAAACTCCACATCCTCTGAATGACTCATTGTTACTGTATAGGGTAGGGATCATATTCTTAGTGTTGCTAAGGAGATTGCTGAAGTTGAAATATCATTTGGTTTACAAGCATCAGTTGAAGATTATCAAAGAGAATTTAAATTTGGTTTAACTGAAGTAGTCTACCAATGGGCCAAGGGAGAGGTGCGTGTTACCATAGCAACAAAATTCTAATTAAATTGTTTAGGAATTCATTAATGTGATACAACTAACTGATGTATCTGAAGGTAAGCCTGTCATGTGACATCATATGACATCACAATGTCCTTATTAGGCGTTATAGTGAAGTGTGTTCAGAGATTGGATGAATTGTGTCGTGATATTGGTAAAGCTTGTAAACTGGTGGGAGAGAAGCAGCTGTCTCTTCTAATGGAGGAAGTGTCTGTACTCTTGAGGAGAGATATCATCTTTGCTGCAAGTCTCTACACAATATAATGATACTGGTGTTTATTATAATGATGCATCTATACAATAATTTTGTTTACTTTTGTATGCAACATAAACTGAAAATATTAAAAGTATTATTGGAATGAATACACCGTCCACTGTTGTTTCACATTAACAAGATACACACACTCAAATAGTTTACACACACTCTTAATGGCTACTGTTGATGAGTGGTTCCTCTTCATCAGTATGAGTCTCTCCTTTCTCTTCCATTATACTTTTAACCACAGCAAACTGTATAGCCACTGCAGTGAAGGATAGGCTCACCCAAGCACATATCTACAACATGAAGAACAGATAATGGCTGCAATAGTAATAACCAGTATATGAGGTCATATGGTTTGTTTCTGTTCAAATTGTTTCCCCATTGCAATTGAAGCTTACAGTTTGACAATTGAAACGATTGCAGTATTTAGTGTTAGTCACTTACTGCAGATCCAAACATCTCCTGGTTAAGATATCTACTGCCATCATCATCGTTACAAGTTACCA